ATGAAGTTACCTGCATTCCTTTACTAATTTTTATCGATTTTGTAAAGATAAAAATATATCAATATATAATAATTTTAATTAAAATGGCTAGATAACACGACTTTATACGCAAAAAATTAAGTATAACCATCTATATATCTGTGTTATACATAGTTATCTGCAAATATCGCACAGGATTGTGCATTACCATTTCGTTACCATGCACTTTACCAAGCAAATGGCTAGTAATGAGCTGGGCACACTTAACGGTTCTAAGCTGTTGACACGCTTAACAGCTCACTGAACGTGTTTAACATTGTATGTAGAGGTTTGTTTAAACTACCTAACTGCATTCTAATCTATTGCAATCTGCAAGTTAAACTTGAACAAAATTAATAAAAAAAAACCCTAATAAATCAAGAAACTAAAAAATCGTGTACCTAATATTAATTTTAATATCAACCCTAAATTAACAATAACAAAACATAATTAGTTAATATATCAAAACGGCTACAGACTTAGTTATAGTTTATTCTAAGGTAGAAAATATTTGCAAACTCCAAAACTTTGCAACCATATTTGACAGTACACCAGTAGGTATACCGTATATATCTTCTATACATATAAAAGTTGATGTGTGTGTATGTATGTTCCCTATGGTCTCCTGGAGCGATTTTGATGAAATTTTCAACCAATCTTCTGATTAGCCCAGCGATACCCTGTAAAATGGGAGCGATCGAAAGCGTGAACGCGGGTGAATTCGCACTATAAAGTCATATAACGTGTCTAAATATTCAATAAAACTATTACTATAATAATACAAAGAAATAGAGCATTTATTGTATAATGTTAAAATACAATCAATAAAAAAATAAAATAAAAATAATAACACGAAGCAAAAGATACCCGACCAGTTTATGTAAAGATACGATTTCTACAGCACTTTCTCTCGCTTTGAGTAAGGATGTGAAATATGCCACCGTGGGCGGTGCGGTGCTAGGGTGTAGGTGTTTAAGCAATTTTAGACGTTGGACTCATGTTTCCGCGAAATCTAGATAGTAAATTGTTAAACAATGACGATCCAATGTCAAGTACATTTATAACTGCCTCGTCGGTCTAATGGTATGAATATTACTAAACTTGGGATCATGGGTTCAAGTCTCGAGTAGGGCTAAATAGTCAAGAGTTTTATGTAAAAAAAACTCAGTATCAAACTAGAGTTCGGAACTGGGTAATACAACCCTTGTGTCTCGAAGGGCATGTAAACTGGCCCTACGCCTGACATCTTCACCGATTGTGTCGGATTAACGGCCTTCCAGATATTGGAGTGAGAGTGAAAGAAACAAGAGAGCATGTGTCGCACACACTTGTGATGAAATATCACTTGTGTGATATTTTATCGCACAGTGAGATTGACCGTCGTGACCGAAATTCGGTCTAGAGGATTTTAAAACCTGTTTTATATTTTCATGTGTTGCTGCTGTAATAAAATTAATAGGTAGATTAGTTTTATATACGCAGACATACCGATTTATGTTATTAATAGAGTCAAAGGAAGAATAAAAAGCTAGATAAGTTGCTTTGCTGTAAAAGATTATTTGCAAGAAAAAATATTACAGGCTTTCATTATTTGAAAGTAGTTTTAATAAGTTGTGCCTTATAACTGGATTTAAATAAGATCCGAATAATTTACTAATGGAAGTAGACCGAATAATTGATGTACATAATTTAAATTATGCTAATTTGTTTATTTAACCATGAAATTATGTGCGTTTGGTTTTTACTCTTAACTTTTGATACGAGTATGTATATTGCCTATATATATTGATGTTACCTGTTTGTTTGCGCACTCACAAATATCGTAATACATATTATACCTATACACTAGCGACTCGCACTCGCTTCACTCGGGTTCGTGCCTAACTTGCTTCCCAATTTTTATCTCCATTTTTACCCTCTTAAGGAATGATTTTCGGGATAAAAAGTACCCTATGTCCTTCCCAGAGTCTCAAATTATCTTCTTACCAAATTTCATCTAAATCGGTTCAGTAGATTCAGAGATTACCCCCTACAACGTCACAAACTCACAATCTCACAAACTTTATCTCTTTATAATATTAGTATAGATATACTAACTACAAATACGAAGCTTTTATAAAACACTAGCAGCGACTTATCCTCTAAGCTTAAATGGCATAGGAATGCCAAAAGAAAAAATCTTTTTTTTTTGCGCCATTTACCTTCACATGCGTATACAGAATGATCCACGGATCGATACAGAATGACCATCGGCGGATCAATGGTTTAGGAAGGCATAGAGGACAAACATACGAACATTCATTTTTATTTATATAGATAGATATATAACCGGTTTTTTATTACGTTGTAACACGTTGATTTTACATCTAGACAAGTACATATTATATTTCTACTTATTGATTACAGCTTTACAAGTTACAACTGCAGTTCTACAGTGAAATGACTAATAAATATCAGTAGAACGTAGACGATGTGCATTATAATGAAAGTTTTTAAAATCAACATTTCCTATGGGCTAAATTTTTTATCTACATACAAACTACATAATTTATTTTATAACAGATTTCTTAATTCTTATACATCAAATTCAATACTTTTAAAAGCTACGTACACAATTGTCACACATAATTTCACATATAAGCTACTCGTATCTTTTCCATATCTTATCATTTATACAGATAAATAAAATTGAAGTGTCTGTATGTAATGTCAAAATAACAGTTTTTTGCTAAATACATATGAAAGTATATACGGTACTTATAATAAAAGAACAATTTTTTGTCTGTATGTCTGTTTGTTCCGGCTAATCTCCGAAACGGATGAACGGATTTTGACAGGATTTTCACTGCCAGATAGCTGATGTTATAACGGTAACTTAGGCTACTTTTATCTAAGAAAAAAAATTAAAAACCATGAAATTACGAACTAAATCCGCTTGTCAGATATGTCTATATTAATAATATATCTATCAATCTATGCACATTGCACACATTACGCACTAAATATAATAATTTAATGCTTAATAAAATATTTTAAATTTGACTAAACTGAAACTCTAAATAAATCTTCAAATCTCATAATCAAAACGTGAAATCTTCGTTTATTTAAGTTAAAACATCGACACAGACGAAGTTCATTATTTCTCAAGAACACTGAGAATGACTTTATTCAACATGCCATAAAAAATCTCAACGGAAATGTCATAGAGCGTAGATAGTTGAACAACCTTGGCATCGTTTGAGTAATATTTTTTCCCGATCTTAACATTTTCTCTTTGTTTACAAACAATTTGAACGGTAATTACTTAACACGTGTATAAGCTATTTTAATTATGAGGTTTTAAATTATGTACCGGTTAATTAAATATTCAAACAATTAACGAGCACCTTAAACGAATTATTTTTATACATATTTCAAACACAAATTACTTAAATTATGTTTCACTTAAAATTTTCTTATTATTTTTATTATACTACTAGGTTTTACCCGTGGTTCCGCTTATGAGGTACTAAGTCCCTTAAATTGCAAATAATTTGTTCAATTCAATTCAATCTTCTTGTTAATGGCTTCAGAGCGTGCCAGATGTGCAATGTCACAAAAAAAAATAAGTTTATCTACTTCTACGGTATAAATTATTTTGAATTTCATTCAAAAACCAGTAGCAATGTCAGAAATAGCAAATGCAAATAGCATTTTTAATATTAGCTTTACAAATATTATACATAAAATAATAAAAATCACCTAAGATTTAATATTTACAATATTCATCTTTACATACATATAATAAAATTGTAACTGATCGCTGTCTGTACATGGAAGATATTTAAGAAAAACTGTTATTCTACTACTCCTTGTTAACGCAATAGAGCCAAAACAATGATTTTTAGAATTTTTGTCTGTTTGTCCGTCTGTCTGTCAGAAACGGCTTAACCGATTTGGGTGCGGTTTTCACTAATATATTGTGGTAAGCTTCACTTAACATTTAGTGTTTGTTGTTGCAATCAGTTCATAAATAAAAAAGTTATGTCAATTTAAAGAATCGCCTAGGGACGAACCTTGTATGAATAAGACGAACATATAAATGATTTTTTATTAGTTAATAAATAAAAACTATACATAAGTGTTCGATTCTCAAAGCGGAAACGCGATTACACGTAAGATAGGAGTTTATTTTCAAAATGGACGTCTGCCAAGCACGTCACGGCGGGCACGACCACAGTTGTGCGAACATAAATAGCTGTATAATATGAGCGATAGGCTTGGCGATTGTTATTTAAAAACGCATTGTACTTAAATTAGTTGTATTGTGCGATTTCCCCTTAACAGGATAATAATAGATGAGTAACGGAAATTGTCAAAACTTTATAAAATTTTGATTTTTGATGTTGATTGATAAACAAAAATTAGAACTAATATTAATGTTAAAAGTAAATTATGTTTTTAGTAAATACGTCTCAATCAGATCAATCAATCAGAGGCCGAATCTATAGTTTTTAGAATTTTTGTCTGTGTGTATGTCTGTCTGTCTGTCTGTTACCGCATTACAGAAAAACCACTGGAGGGATTTTGATGAAATTTGTTATGGTGATTTAAGAAAAAACAAAAGAAAGAAGCTGGTTATCCGGGTCAACGTATAGGTTACTTTTTACCGCAGGAAAATACCTCATTTCTGTGGAAAAAATACAAAAACTGCAATGTAAGAGTATACTAATATGTAAAACCTAAGAATTTGGTTTTTGGTCATCTGAACGCGGGCGGAGCCGCGGGCAATGCTAGTATATTATATGCAGCACTTGCTAAGTTTAAACTTAGCAATAAATGTCTATAATACAGAAGACATCACGTGAGTCATTATATAGCACGTGTGAATAATGAGCAACGAATATATTAATAAAGTGATTATGTAAATCTACATAATATGAATTAATTTTCTTGATAGATGTTAAAATTAAAAATCGTGTATAATTATAAGATATTCTTACCTGTAAAGTTTCTGGGAAAAGACTTCTCGGTTTTGGCCATGATTGGAACAAGGTCTGTAAAGAAAGAAAATGCATAATAAATATTGTACGTACATATTTTTGATATGATTTTTTTTTGTGTAAAATTGTACCTATCCATATACTAATTAATCATGGTTTTTCCTGATTTTCTCGAAAACCGTATACTCTGTGTTCAAGATATTTTTATGGAACCACTTCGGGACCTACAATTTAGTCAAGCTGTCTGCGAGAAATCAGTGAACATACATAAAAAAAACATACACCCATACTCCTCCCTTTTGGAAGTCGGTTAAAAATATCTCGCTCCGCTTTTTATAATAAACATAAAACTTAATTAAATGTGGTAAATTGTAACTGCCCAAACTATGAAATATTTATTATTACGTATGTTTTTTTTTCTTTAATATATTTTTTTTTTGCATTAAATATTGTTTCTTCCTTCCAGAATCTTTTCGCCAAATGATATTTGGCCTCGACCGTGAATATGTTGGCTTCTAAATCAATTACCAATTCTGTTCTCCCGCAATGTGACTTACTCAACGACCTATGGTATAAAATCTACGTCCGATACCAGCAAATAACTAAGCAAATAGTATGCGAATGATTATCACCAAAGATAGGTAAGTAGGTACCTCGTGTCGGTAAATTCGTATCATCATTGATCCAATGAAATGTTTCATACGTGGGGACGAAGACGAAGTCTGCCATATAAACTATTATCGTCCCAGAAAGTTTTTAAAAACTTTTGTGTTTTTAGTGGATTTGGAAACAACATAAGTTGATATTTCCTATATATCATGCTTTTTTATAGGATTGATTCCCCATACAAACTTTCATCCACATTTTCACCCCTTTCAAATAAACATAAAATGATAAAAAGTCCTATGTCCTTCCCAGGGTTTCAAACTATATTCTTACCAAATTTCATCTAAATCGGTTCAGTAGGTCCAGAAATTACCCCCTACAACGTCACAAAACTCACAATCTCACAAACTTTACCATTTTATAATATTAGTATATAGATGAATCTTAATTTTAACTTTTTTTTTTTTGTTACAGAAAACTTCACAACAATCATGGTCATGGGATAGGCTTTATTCTAATAATTATAAATTTATTTATAATCTATATAAATAATACTTCACAAGTCACAAGTAATTAAGTACTTAAATATTTTACTTTTTCATTCACATTATATAATATTTTGTCATCAATCTTATAAGCAAATAAATAAAAATCGATCTAATCAATTGGAATTTAATTTTTATCGCTTACCGTAATTTCGGGCACCGTTACTTACACGAGACGAGGCGCCAGTAACGGACCGTCTCTTTGCGATAAATTTATCAATAATTAAGTATATCAAGGACCAATCACTTTAGACATCTATTACTCATAGGATATTTTAAGCATTTTCTTTTTTTTTTATTTTGTCAAAGGCAAAGTTTTGATTCCTATATCTATCTTCTATACATATAATAAAGTTCTAACTAATGTAAGCCGAATCTGTACATCAAATATTTTTTGGAAAGCCTTAATGAAATAGACATTATTATTGATACAGACATCGAATCTATAGATTTTAGAATTTTTGTCTCTCAGTCTGTCTGTCTGTGACTGCATCACGGAAAAACTACTGGAGGGATTTTGATGAAATTTGGTATGACGATAGCTAGTTATCCTTATCTGGGTCAACTTATAAGATATTTTTTACTGCAGGAAAATATCTCATCTCTGAGAAATCTATACTAAACGTTAAAAGTGAGTCACTAGTTTTTAATAAAATGCAGAAGGCAGAAATAGAGATAGTCAATATTATGTTTTCGTTTAGATTGTCAAGTTTTAAATTTATCTATGATTTTGATACAATTTACATTAAATAAACTTATGTCTGTTTTTAGAACAATTCAGCTACTTAAAATTATTTTGAAAATTTATTAATCTGATTGACAATTAGTTCACTCGTTGCGGTAAAATTTATAGGTATTTAATTATGTATATACTTTTATTTTTATTGACCGAATTCCAGAAAGGAGGTTCTCAATTCGTCGGAATCTCTTTTTTTATGTAAGTTCACCGATTACTCGAAGACGCCTGAACCGATTTGGAAATTATTTTTTTTTGTATCAAAGAGTATACTTCCCAGGTGGTCCCATACAAACTGGCACCGACTTCGAAAATTTCTGATTAGGTATCTATTCTAAATGAAAACCTCAGCTTAGTTATTTTTTACATTTTAGTGCCTGGAAGTCGGTTTTTTTTTAAATAAAAGTTTTATAGGCAGATGGCAAGCATCGCGAATATGAAAGGTGAAAGTGAAAACGTTCGAAGTCAATGATATTCGCGCGATCTATTTCGGTCGGTATCAAGGTTGGACGAAACATCATAATCGTCTTATGTAGGTAAGTATGTTCATGGCTGCGTTTTTTTTTAAATTCAATTAACTGTTTATCATAATTATGTTACAGATTTTTAACGTTGTCAATATTTATTATTGATTTATTACTTATGCAGACTTTGATTTCCCATACAAAGCCTCATTCATCTCCATTTTCAACCCCATAAGGGATTATTTCCGGGATAAAAACTATCCTATGTCCGTCCCAGGATCTCAAACTACCTCCTTACCAAATTTCATCTAAATTGGTTCAGTAGATCCAGAGATTACCCCCTACAGCGTCACAAACTCACATACTTTACCTCTTTATAATGTATGTTTATAATGTGTAGTTTTGAAAATGAGTAAGAGTATATTTTTATATATAAATTTATGTATATATAAATTTATGTACATTGTACATACCTGTACATATTTTTCATTCATCGTTTTATACTAAAGAAAAAAAATCTTCTTTCAAAATTGTTTTTATGTAACACCTGTGACTGTATATGAGACTTTCACTGAATTTAACAGTAAAAACTAAAAAGTAAAAATAAGTGAATAATAAGTAAGCCATTAAACTGAAGGAAGGTTTACGATACAATAAATAAATCCGTTCAGTATGTAGCCCGCGTGGTGGCAGAACAATGTCCCAGCGACCGGTATGTTAATAGAATGCAAACTATACTCACTTGTCGACTTTATAGTATGTGCATTTTTAAATAAAATTAAAAAGTAGACGACCGTCTGGGTTTTAAGCTGTTCTTATGAAACCGGTAGTGGGTTCACTGTCCGACTTGATCTAAGGGTTTTAATCCGATTTATATAAGTCGTTAGCTTTATAATCTGCCATATAATATTATAAATAGACGAACAAAATACCAATTAGTTACATATTATGTATTTATTATTTCTATAGTCTTTATTTGTATACACATTACACATTCATTTATTACAATAAACGTTGTTAATCGGTGACATGAATTTTACATTTCCGAAACGTAGTAAAAGATTATAAATAATAATTCCTATTAACTAAACGGTCATCAACCTCAAAATTACTTTAAAAAAATATTTTGCATTAGGATCCGTTTTTTTTTAATATTTTATAATTAGATTTAGACAAATAAAAACAAATCTATCCCACTATGTAACCACCTTATCTATAATTTGTGTAGTTGTGTAGATTAAACTTTTTTAATTTATTATTTTATATATTACATAAATTTGGATTACTCGAATGGATGGATATCGCGAAGAATACATAAAAGAACACATACCTACACGAATTCACCTTATATTCTCTAGTCGGTCAAGAAGTCATTTATTAATTATTAAGTACCTGGGCCACCGAGCTTCGCTCGGAGTTTTTGGCCTACAATACAATCACCTTTTTTTTTAAACTAAAAACTTGAATAAATATTAAAAAAAAAAGTAAAAACTTTGTATCCGACCAAGATTCAAACCTGTGATTGTCGATCTTGCGCCTTGGCCGCTTGACAACGATGTTCATACCACAGTGTGCGAAATTACCGACCATATTTTGTGTGGAATAATGCAAAAGAAAACCGCAAGTAAACTCTAGAACAGGCGTTTTCTCAGACATAAGACTAATCTAGATCGATTTATCGCCCCCGAAACCCCTTGTATACTAAATTTCATGAAAATCGTTGGAGCCGTTTCTGAGATTCAGATTATATATTTGTATATAAATATATATACAAGACTTGCTCGTTTAAATATTGTATTAGATATTAGATAGATATAAAGAATGTTCAGAGCCTGTTACTGATGTGTTAACAGCTGTATTGTATTAAAAGTAATTATTGTCAAGCTACATTGTACGAGGTACCTATTGTAATTTTAACAAATAAATATTTTTAATTTTTAAAGAGCTTTAAAAATATCACTTAAAACGATTAATTAACAATTACATTATTATTTAAATTTTATCCTGTTACTACTAAAAGTTTATCCTGATCCTTACTGTATACATAAATAGACACCATATTGACGTGTAATGCAATGAATATTCTGAAGGCATTGTCGTTCGTTACAGCTATGTACTTTCTTACATCACACATTTCGAACGGTTGCCGGTTGTTACTTGGTAACGTAATATATGTAAATTGTAAATGTTAAATTTTAATTTAACTTTTATAGGCGTCACCAGCTGTCGGAAGACGTCTAATTGTATATTTTAATTATCTTATATTATTATTATTATAGAAACCTCATTTGAAATAATATAAATAGGTAATAAAAAAAATTGTAGACAAGAAATAATTAACTACACGTGTAGGCAATTATAATTTTACATTTTAAGTACGAATTGCTTTTGTTTAGATATTCGACATTTATTGTAAAATGAAAAAGAAAATTATAGCAAATCTGGAGAATTTTATGAATGTATTACATTATTTAAACTAAATTATTCTAATATTTTTTTATATACAATATCAATTGTATGTTTCAAGATAATATTCTACGGGGGTACTTCTCCCCTAAATGGTCAGTATATGTAAAATCAGACAACAGGAAGATGGATACGTCTACCTCAAGTGTAAAGGCATAAAGGTGATTATAGCATAACCTTTATTAAAAATATGTAGCACTTTGCTTTGCAAGCGCGTGTAATTGTAATATTAATAAATCATAGGAAATTTTATTTAGGAAGTTATAAAAAATATAGATTGTTTAGTTATAAATTAGAAACAGCTCTAATTTTATTAATGTGATGGTCTTATGATATTATTTGAACTTTGCAAATGTTAACGTGGAATTTCGGAATAAGCCGACATCGCAGCAGCTGTTACTTTAAAATGTATAAGATACGTTACAATAACATTAATTTATTTTAAAATGCCTACCCTATTCTACATTTTAGTATGGCTAAATAGATACATATTAAAAAATAAAATTCTTAGAATAACTTTTGATTTTACTACTCACCGTCGAATTAAATTAAGACACTAAAACTTAAATAAACACTAAACAATTATAGGTAGGACACTCAGAGATACTTATACTAGCGTACAAAATAATCTAGAATTATAAGTTACACTTTTAATTAATAAATAGAATTTTAAATTACTAAGCTACGTGAACTCGAATCGAGAGTTACACACACCCAACACCGGCAAGCGCTGAAACCCGACTAATGCGACATCAAGTGGCGATCGCTCAAAATACATTTCAATGGATTAACGTTCCGTTTGTAATAAAGGTTTCATTCATAGTAGCACCAGCGTGTTTATTTTTATTACTACATCTTATCTTATAGTTAATAAATATTCCAAAATTGCTATTTACTAACAAATTTTATTCATACTTACTTATCATCTTTTTTTCGTATATATCTAAATTTAAACAGGGATTTTACTAATACAATTTTATTTATTTAACTTTTTCTATATATTTTCCTTCATGACAGGGGGCTGCGAGTGTACCCCCCTTCCGACGCCCATGACTTAGTATTTTACCAAGAAATAATGTACATAATTGATTCTATCTACGTACTACACTGCAATACACAAAATCAGTGGTTTATAAATTTTACCCTTTGATTATTATATAAATATTCTAAGATTTTACCATTTAATTTGTTGTAATATATCACATTGTTATAAAGCTATATGTTTAAATATTAATAAATAATAAAAATAAAATATTACATATAATATTTGATAAATACATTTCTTAATTTATGTTTTGAAAAAATTTTATAAACTTCTGTTTTACCTAGAAGTACAGAGTACTTAGTCTACTTTAAAAACAAATGAGTTCAAAGAAATTTGTTGGCTGGCGCCGTCTTGGCGGCAACGTCCGGTGGCGGGACGGCTTCCCATTGGTTGATCAATGACAGGCCTCCATGTTCAAAATGGTATGAACAATTCGAATTATAAAAACGAAACGTACTTATAATGTGCAATGTAATGGCGAGGTAATTTAAATATTAATATTTTTGGTCCGAAATATTTTTTATAATATTTTATTAATTATTTATATTCGTCACTGACAAAATTAATTTAAATAATTCATCATTTTAAACGTAATACCAAAAACATAGTAGCTAATATTGAATTAAAATTAAAATACCCTCAAATGTTTGTATAATATTTAATTCTAAGTACTATCAAGAAATCATTTTTATCACCTTAGTTGGGCTTGGGATATCAAAAAGTAAAGGTGAAATAATTGAACCACTTGAAATTTTAAGACTTGTAGTTTAAGAATTATGTATAGATATTTTATTTACGCATTAATCAATTATAAATCTTAATTACTTTAAATTGAATAAATAAAATTAATGTGATATATATTTATTTTCGCTATGGCGTCAGCAAATTTTTTAACTGTAAAAACACATCTATCAGAATTTAAGAGTAGCTCTGACAAAGACACAATAAGCGAGGTAAGTACTTCTTTACATTATTTTTAAAGGTGCTGGCCGTTATAAAAATATTTTGTGTATGTAACAGTTATATTTAATTACAGCATATCCGCCATCTTGATTATACTTAGCGTGGTTAACTTTTGTATGGACATACTATTAATGAACTTTATTTATTTATTATTAGAAATTATTCTTATTTTTAATTTGGAGAATAAATATGTATATCATTGTACTGTCTCGTTACTTAAACAGGCATCCGAAAGTGGAACTAGTAATTCTGTAACTTCAGCCGAAGACTTACAGAAGTTAGCAGTAATACTTGGATTAAATAGTGCTGAGGATGTATATCAAGAAAGGTTTCGTGTGGATAGGCGCCGTTTGGAAGCGATGCTGGCTGGTAAATAGTTATTAGTAAAGTTCTATACTTTTTTTAGAATTAAAAAGTTGCATTTTAACGGAAAAATTGTATCCTACCATAAGTAAATACAATCCATAATGTCTGAGAAAAACTAGTGAGAGATATTGAGCTGGATGATCTTTATTAAATTACGAGTACAATACCTATTATACTTATTGAATTCATACCTATAGATATAGCTAATTATACGCTACCAGTCACGCTTTGTTGATTGTACCATTTGAGTAAATTAAAAAAGCCTATTTAAAGGCTTAAATTCGAAAATCCACTAATAAATTCCGAAACGGCTGCCGGGTTTGTTAAACGTTTTGTGGGAGGGAACCTGTTGTGAAAACACATACATTTTTTTTAATTATATTATAGGTAAAATAATTTTAAATTTCAGATAATTTGGAAGAATCACAAACTGCTCAAGCATTTTTTCACAGGGTAAGAGATAAATCGAACTAATTCTTACGTAAAAACCTTATGTACCTACGCAATAACTATAATTAGTATCGTAATATAACCCGTAGCATCTAATAAATGTACTATTTAAGTGACACACGTGTCATAGATTAGAATTAATTTGAATTAAAGATTTGCTGTTATAATTTAAATATTTTTTTAGGTCATGAATGAAACAAATACTTTAATAAACTGGCCCGCACGGCTTAAAATAGGAGCTCGATCGAAAAAAGGTATGTGAAAATTAAATAAGCGATTTAAATGTGTTTGAGGATAACATATTTTTTTTAATATTTGTATATAATATATTTTTATTATAAGTATATTTTAATGTATCTACTCTTATAACTTAATTTACAAAATATATTTTTAGGATTTTTTATAGAAGTATCCTTATTTTGAAACGTACATTTTTTTAAAAATTAACGTCCACCTGTAAACAAATTTTGGCGGGATGGCGCCAAATAGACAGCGCGCGGCGCCCGTCTGGCGCGATATTATTTTAGTTTAAAATTTTTGATTTATTTCATTTACATTTTGCAACCGTTAGCTATTACACGACTTTTATACTCATTTTTTTTATAATTTTAAATGTATTAAGAATGATTTTTAAGAATAATTACGATGAAGTTTATGAAGTTATTAAAAAAATACGGGATAATAATTATGCCGATTTATTACAAATTTTAGGTTAGAATAATTTGTGTTTTATCAAAGTGGATTTTTTCTTTTTAAATGTTATATTGGTGTTAGTATGTGAAAATAAATAATTTAAAGTGCTTTCATCTAGATCCTCATGTGCGTATTGCTGGTCGTCCGGATGATGTCAAGCTGGCGCGAGAAAAAATTATGCAGTTACTGGATACAAGAGTAAGTATATTATTATATAATTAACTTTTAAAACTCACAATCATGAATGAAATATAAGTCTTTTTCTCTTCTTCAATGTATTGAACTCTACATGCTATTATAACATAAAATATTTAAACGCGAAAAAAACGCGTTAGTAAAATTGATTAATTAAAATACAATTTATAAATTTCATAACTATAAATTATAAATTTTATGTATCCGTTTAAAACTTTATATTTGATTAATTTAGTTAAAAACTCAACTGAGGAAATAAAGTAAAAAAAAGCTCGATCTTACCGGTATAATACCTATATATAACCGGTGTAGGATGTAAACTAAAATAATTAAGAAATAAGCAAAAAGCAAGAAATAACACCAGCAGCATATCTAGTGATATTTATATTAATTTCGAATATTTATTCTTCGTAGAGTAACCGCGTGACTATGAAGATTGACGTCAGTTACACAGACCACTCGCATATTATTGGAAAGGTAATAGCTATTTTATAATTTCTGAGTGTTACCTATATAATAAATTACATTTAAGTATAGTTTTCTATATTATATATTAAACTAGGGACTTTATGTCCTTTGGCGCTAAACAGTAGCCTATATATTACTCATGATACTCTATCTACGCACTAAGTATCCAAATCAGTCCTGAGTCCAGTAGTTTACCTTAAAGAGGTAGGTAACAAACACACATTCATAAAAATTTATGTAAGTATATATTATAATAATAGTCCGATAACATTTAAAAATATAGGTATATCATATAGGCAGGTACATATGTGTTAGTATTTTCAGGTGAACATATCGAGAAAATAAAATTTAAAAAGTAATCTATACATATAATAAAATTGTATTGTGAATTTTCCAAAAATTTTTTGGAAAATCTTATTGAAATAAACATTATTATCGATATAGAGGCTGCATTTATAGTTTTTAGAATTTTTGTCTGTCTATCTGTGACTGCATCATGGAAAACCACTGGAGGCGATTTTGATAAAATTTGACATGATGATAGCTAGTTTGCAATTTTAGGTGTAACAATGCTATATTCTTTACACTATTGATTTTTTTTATTTCTACGAGCATAAATACAATACACCGTGATATTGTTATCTGTATTATAAATTCCTAATTTTACGCGCTAACTAGATACGATAATTTTGCATGCGGGTAGATAGAGCTAATCTATTGCATAAAATGGCTTAGTTAGCAAGGTCATGTGTGCACTTATTAAATGCACGTTTACCATAAAATTAAATATGAATCACCATAGTTTTGTAAGTCGTGTTAGTATTATAAATTTTCGTTGATTTTATCTTTCAATGGGAAGAATAGAACTAAATGAATATGCCATTCTTAGTTTTATAAATGGTTTCTATATTTCAATTGCATGAAATTGTTGAAATAAGTTACGAAAGTATCTATGATTAAAAAAATTAAAACTAGTCTTATTTACTACACTTGTTTACAATAACTTTCGTCCTACAAAAATTTTATGATCCATATATATACTAATATTATAAAGAGGTAAAGTTGTGAGTTTGTGACGTTGTAAGGGGTATTCTCTGGATCTACTGAACCGATTTGGATGAAATTTAGTAAGAAGATAGTTTGAGATCCTAAGAAGGACATATAAGGGGTGAACATGGGGATTAAAGTTTGTATGGTGAATCAAGCTAGTGACGAACCGTGAGTAAGCTAGTTGGAAATATAGTGTACTAGCGGCTCACCCTCGCTTCGCTCGGGTTCGTCGCTAGGTACGTTTTAAATAGATATAAATAGTTATCAGCCAGCGTTAGTCAAATATTTTTTTTTGTTAATAATATTGACAAATATTGACATTAATATTTATACGATACTAACGTCACTCAATTGTTTTGCCTTCCCGGAACCTCTCCACAAACACTTAAACTTTATGGTATAGTATTAAAGTTCAAATTGAGTTTTAAGTATTATTACGAATCTTTTGTATGGGAGTATAGAGAAGTGTTGTTTTTAGACTTTTTCAGGCCATTTTTAAATTTTTCTCGCCTTAAGAACCGTCCTCGTACTTCAAGGAATATTCTAAAGAAAAGAATTAGCGAAATCGGTTCAGCTGCTCTCGAGATTTGCGCTTACCAACACATTCAGCGATTCATTTTTATATTATAGATAATGAAACTGCTGATGTCATCAGTAGACACATAACCTCCTAACTTTTGTTTTACAACAGCTTATCAGCTGAGCTAGGTACGTGGTTTCAGTAATTATTATTTACAGCACTTTTATTTCATGGACATCAAGGCACTGATGGATTTGCATAAATTATACATTTTATGGCTCTAACTAGAAAGGTTATACATCTACATCTAAAGATATATATCTATGCAAAAATAATTCTGTATTTACTTAATAGTGTATTAATAATAATTTACATAATTATACTATTAATTCGAGCTTTTTACAATACATTTTTTTACTTTATATGCTTTTATATTCTAGCACAACCCGCGGCCTCAGTGGCGTTAAAACAACACAAAAACAAAAACAATGTAGGATTTTCGAGGCCTTATTTGACTCTGTTGAGGGATGATTTTAAAAAAACTATGTTAGATATATCTCATAATTTTACCTAATTGAAGAGTATGCGTATCAGTTTTCTTGTCAATCAACTCGGAGAATAACAAGTTTTACAGAAAATTCAAAACTCCATTTCACCCTCTTAGAGGTGGAATTTCAAAAAACTCTTTCTTAGTTGATACCTACACTTCACAAAACACACCCTCCAAATTTCAGGACTTCAACTCCAAATTTCAGGATTTCATTTCAGGACTTTGAATTAGACCAAATTTAATTCTTTAAATATCCAAGACGAATAATTTGACGACACGTTTGGCTCAGTTTATAGTGACCCTAATTGCTGTGCCAGCGGTCGCGGGTTCGAATCCCGCTGGGGGCATTCATTTGTGTGATGAGCACGAATGTTTATACTCCAGTCATGGGGGTTTATATCTATAATATATATGTATTTAAAGTTATATGTAATGTATCAACTATCTGGTATCCATAACACAAGCCTCGTAGCTTACCATAGAATTAGATGGTGCTGTGTGTTAATGTTCCAACAAGACATACCTATTGCATAGTTCGGTTTAAATATTATGCCATTGTCTTCAGAGATCTCTTGAAAAACAAATTACTCAACTATTTTAATCTTAATGAGTCTACATCAGTACATATGCATGCAGAACATATTATTTAGTACGTACTCATAAAACTAAACAATGGAAATTGAGTCATTATGAAATCATTGTTGTTTTATAATATTTTCAAGTTGTCGAGCTATCTTAAGGTATATTTAAAGTGCATTTAAAATGATTGAAATTTTTTTGCGGTCATCTGCTAATAGTTTATACTTGTATCTGCATCTATACTTATCCATAGGGATACAAATACAAATGGCGATTTTAGTACCAAGCAATTTTATAATTAACTTAGTTTTTTTTAACTTGACGCCAACCCGCACTTGGCCAGCGTGGTGGACTATGGCCTGATCCCGCTCGTACTGAAGGGAAGCCCGTGCCCAGCTGTGGGACGTTAAAAAGGGCTGAATACAATACAATACAACGTTATATAATAGTATAGAGAAAGGTTGTTTTGAAATCTTATCATTGACCAGAAAGCTTTGTTTATACAATTGAATAATAGATAGTATACCTACCTATAAACTTTTTTAGAAAAAGCGTCGTAATGTGCGTGTGTTTGTATTTTTGTTACTTCTTTACCCTAAAACAGCTGGAGGAATTTGAATATTTAGTAGGAAGATAGAATGACCTGAAGTAACATTAGCTACTATTAAGCACCTTGGGACGCACCCGAGCGATGCAGGGATAAGTCACTCGTATTTTACAGTCGGACAATTTGTGTAGAAAATAGCATTTATTGTATAATATATGAATTGTTGATACCTACATTTGGCTTAGTTTGTATTTAAAGTTATATATGTGTAGTGTATCAACTATCTGGTATCCATAACATAAGCCTCGTAGCTTACCATGGAACTAGATAGTGCTGTGTGGTAATGTCCCAACATTTTTTTTATTTATGAAATATTTTAAGGGTGGTTTAACAATTAAACGCGTAATGGAAGAAACGGGATGCCACATCCATTTCCCGGACTCGAACAGAACAAGCACGCAGGAGAAGAGTAACCAAGTGTCCATCGCAGGCGATATGGAACGTGTGGAGCGAGCGCGGGCTAGAGTGCGGGTCAGTATTTTTGATAATTATAAATAAATTTGTATTAATCCATACTTCCATACTTAATTAATATTATAAATATTTAAGTGTGTTTGTTTGTTTGTCCTTCTCCCACATCGAAACAAAATGACGGATTGACGTGATTTTTTGTATGGAGATAGACTATAGAGGGCTGGCAAGTTACATAGTCTACTTTTTATTGCGAGTGATTATTTCATTCCCACGGGAAAACACGTTATAACACAATCCAAAACTTACACACACAACAAATTTGTAGGTATGTACTTATTAGGTAGTTCCGAAGATTGAACCATAATTTGTTATCTTGGAGCTAGCAAGAGTCCAAAACATCAAAAGCGTGTTTTTTCTAACTATAATTAATTATTTAAATCTATGTAATCTATTCTAATATTATAAATATGAAAGTTTGTGAGTATGGATGTTTGTTACTCTTTCACGTCAGAACGGCTGAACGGATCTGGATGAAATTTGGCACAGAGATTTTGCACAGATAGATTATAGTCTGGAATAACAAATAGGCTACTTTTTATCCCGGAAAAATGTACGGTTCCCGTGGGATAGGTTTGTTTTTGTTTTCCTAGAGATGAACCAGAGCGAATCGAGGGGAAGCTGCTAGTCAAACTACATAATATGTTTTTTCTCCATATTGTATACAGGCCCTAACTCCGCTGGTGTTTTGCTTCGAGCTGCCCATTGTAGCTCCTTCTCAGCCATTGCCAGATATCAACTCTCCCTACGTCCAACAAATACAAGAGCAGTACAATGTTCAGGTAACAATTGTGTTAAAAACATTTGCACATATTATAAAATTTTAGTGATCCTACAAAAATAAAATAGCAATTTTGCTTTTTCAAGTTATAGAAGTATAAAAAATCACGAAGGTTTCTTAGAAAAATGTATTTCTTGATTTCTTATTTTATACATGTAACATAATATTATCTCAATTTATAAAGCAATTCTTGAATTTGCGACCATACATATTTCTTACAATATTGTATGAAGTATAAATAAATGTTATAAGTTCATACAAATTATCACTATATGTAATCTTCTTATACATAAAGTTATTTTTATGTATATTTTTTATTAAAAATTTTATATTTGCGTATAAGTATGTTCTGCCTGCTTAAAAAGGCTTTAGTATTTTATAATATAAAAGAAGCAATTTTGTACATATTAAAATTTATTACGTGTATCTTAGAAATGGCTCTAACGATTTGCATCAAATTTTATATTTATTAGATAAGGTTTGCTTTTTAAGTTTATCTATATACCTAGGTATATTTTCCTACAAAAAGTAAAAGATTATTTGATACTAATACTTTCTTACATTTTACATTTTATAAATAAAACTCTCTTTTCGGATTTTGTTTATTCCCGACGAATATTTTTTTATTTTTTTATTTTTTTATTATTATTCGGACACATGTCCATATTTTCATATATCATATTATAAACATGTCTTAATCAGTAAATAAATTACTCTAAAGTCTAATCACAAATTTTAAATAAAAAAAATGTACAAGTTTATTTCTTTAAATTGAGTAATATTCGTGTACCAGGTGATGCTCCGCAACCGGCCCAAGCTGCACGCCAACCTGCTGGTGGTGAAGGGCGTGCAGTGGGAGGTGCACGCCACCATGGAGGCCACCACGCTGCTCATGAACTACATGTGTGGCCCGCTCGCGGTCAGTCTGTAATATATTATCTGGGGTTAAAAGACGTTTATTTACTCATTTAAGACCATTGTTCACTTTTAATAAAATTACGACTACAACTTAAAATTGGATACAATCACAATATGCAGTGGTGACCGAATAAAATATATAAGTTAATAACAGCCCCTGTTGAAAAACACAAAGCCACATAGAAACATAAAAAAGAAGCGCGCGAGTACAGCTAGTACCTAAATAAAACACGTTATTGAACAATAACATCTCTCAAGTTTAAAGTTTCCGAAATTTGATTATGACGTAGTGAGGAGCAGTGTATTTATGAGCTTATAATCGTGTTTATGATCTTAGTGAAGTTGCATTACTTTGCTTATTGTACATCAATCAAAAAAGTATACAGAAACCAGCACACAAAAAAAATGCCAAATTGCTTATTTATCGCAAATAATTTAAAAATAATTAAATTGTATGAAATTAATCTTTTTAAAACTAAACACTAAATTATATTATTTCATTCACTCCTATACGAAACTCGCAAGACTATTTTACTATAAAATAATTTTATAATTTTTAAAACTCAATTTTCTCTCAACCCAGAGTCAAACCCAAGTGCAGATGAGCCTGGAGATCTCCCCCATGCACCACCCGGTGGTGGTGGGGCGCAGCGCCGAGCAGCTGAAGGTCATCATGAAGGGCACGGGCACACAGATCATGTTCCCGGACGCGGACGACCCCAACATCCCGGCGCTCAGGAAGAGCTGCGTCACCATCACGGGGCAGATCAAAGACGTGTACGCGGCGAGGCAGCAGCTAGTGGTATGTAGCTAAAGGGTTTGTTCTACCCTTATGTGAATATAACATACACCATTCTTCAACAAGGTCGTCGGTAGCACAGAGCAACTGAAGGTGATCATGATCCCAAAATATCAGCGTTGGGAAAAAGCTGTTTGACTGTTATGGGGCAGATCAAGGATGTGTGTGCGGCGAGGCAACAGCTAGTGGTATGTAGCTAAAGGGTTTGTTCTACCCTTGAATGAAAACAACATACACCCTTCCTCACCCGGTGGTAGTGGGCATAGAGCATATATGTACATACATACATACATATATCCCTATTATTTTTACCTACTTGAATTAAAATCGTAAATATATTGGTGGTATGAGAACTTAAAAGTTACATCAACCAATCAAATGTAATTGAATCGTTTAGTCCATGTAACTTCTTAGTTAAATAGAATAATTAATGATCTGTACATAAGAAAATACATAATTCGGGCCACAGTATCACATGATATCATCATACTAGCATTTGCCTTGGCATTGCCTGCCTGTTTTTTAAGTATTTTATTTATGTATAATATTTTCTCCGTCGTTTCGAGTGTGATATTTTAGATAGGTTCTCAATAAATAAATGCAAAAAGAATATTATTATTTTTTTTCTCTAAGGTAAAAACTTCAAATAAAAATAAAACTTTCTAAACTTTGATTCTTGTACCGTCAAATTTTATAAAGTTAGTTTATTGTTAAAAATAGGTCTCTCTACGTACACACATTGTGTAGTGGAACAAAGTTTTTGACGTTTGCACTTGGGTTTTTTTAATGTATAGAATTTTCATATAAAAAATAACTGCATACTTCATACCTATGTACATAAAACCACCATAGACGACGAGCAAAAAACAAATAACATATTCGCCGAATAATACTTTCTTAGATTTACGCGAATATTGACACTAGCATTGCCCGCGGCTCTGCCCGCGTTCAGATGACCAAAAACCAAATTTATATTAAAAAACAATTTAGGTTTTAAATATTAGTTATACTCTTACATTGCAGTTTTTGTATTTTTCTCAAAAATGAGATATTTTCCCGCGGTAAAAAGTATCCTATGTGTTGATCCGGATAATCAAAATAAATCCTCGAAAAAATCCGAAAAGACAGTTTTATTTAAAACATATTCGCCGATTTGAAGGCCATATCACTTGCCAGCCAGCCTTGATACGTCAGTCTGGCACATTAATTGATTCGCCTCCGCGCCCGAATTTGCACGCGTCCGTACACGCTCAGTACAAGGTCTTTAGGTCAATAGTACGCATATTTAGTAGCTACATGGTGTAGTTTTAGTTCGGTGATGTCACTTGTAAGAGTATTCATGGTTTCTTTGTACTTATGGTATATATTTTTTTTATTTGTTTGAACGTCTCTGTACTATTCCGAAGGTTTTTTACGTACAGCTACGAATAAATATGCTAAATAGAGTCCAAAACAATTTTGGTATGAGTAGTTACCAAAATCCAAGATCAAGATTTGGTCAAGATTCCGACATTTAAGAAGACGTCGTATGACTTTTGTTAGAACAAATTGACGCTATATCAATTATAGGTAAAGAAGTAGGGCGCACTCTACCATCATACAGACATATTATATCCTAATACACTGAACATATATACTCCTCATGCAGGCCTAATATTGAGATTGAGATATTTTATTGACAAAATTACAAGAATTTTTTATCATACATATTAATTCATAATAGCGCCGCGTAAGCTTAAGCTTCGATCTTCCCAGGAAACCCACCGCTTCATGTTCACGGCGTCGTAGCCATAAGCTTACCTCCCTACCTAGTGATACTGTCAAGACCAATAGAGCCAGTAGCTATACAGTAATTCTTAGAGCGAAAAATTACATCTATACGTATTATAAAATTCGGAGTCGAATCTGTACATTAAATATTTTTTGGAAAATATTATTGAAATAGACATTATTATCGATACCTGTGTAGAGGCCGAGTCTATAGTTTTTATAATCTTTGTTATCTATCTGTCTCTTTGTGACCGCATCACGAAAAAACTACTGGACAGATTTTGATGAAATTTGGTATGATGATAGCTGGTTATCTGGGTCAACATATAGAATACTTTTTACTGCGTGAAGTCTGAGAAATCTACACTAAACGTTAAAACCTTAAAATAATTATTATAGTTATAAATTATATAGCTATATGTACGTATAACATAGCCGGGGGAAATGCTGGTTTTATATATTTTTTATTGTACATTAAAAATATAATACCTACTGAATTGCAAATATGTACTATATTACAATTTGCTGGGTCCATCCTAAATATCATCTTATTGATATTTGGGACAGAGCAGTTACCTAAAAATACACAAGTTTATACTTCTTTTAACAAGTATGCGAACAATACAGACTTTTTGTCCGTTCAATTTGGGTTTGGTTTTATTTTGTTGATAATACTTCGCAGCTTTGAGAGCAGTTTTGTTGCAAGTTGGCGATGCGCTCTCAAAGCTTCTCTGTGTGGGATGGGCTGGCAATTAAAGTTTAGGATGCCAGCTTCTCGATTAGTCTCTTCATCTTCCTGTGCTCTCTAAATCTTGGTGAGGATGCTGGCACCTACAGGGCAGTTTCTTTCACTTTCTTTGGCAGAAGAGAGTTGAATGTCTTTTCATAGATAAAAAAAATGCTAAAAACCTAGTCGGGAGGACGTAAGAGGAGAAATAGAACAAATCCAAGCTTTTTTTAATTTTTTTTATCTGTCTGTTTGTCTGTTTGTACGGGCTAATCTTTAAAACGTTGGACCGATTTTAATGACATTTGGCATGCTGATACCTTATGTAGCCGGTCAAATAACAGCTTACTTTTATCCCGGAAAAATGAACGGTTCCCGTGGAATAGATCTGTTTGCGCTTTTTTAAATAAACACCTCTAGTTATTAATGAACACCCCTAATGATCCTCTCCACCCCCAGGGCAGCCTCCCCCTGGTGGTGATCTTCGACGTGGCGGAGGAGCAGTGCCGCGTGGAGGGCGACGCGGCCGCGCGCCTCATGGACAAGCACCGCGTGTACATCAGCGTGCGCCGCAAGCCCAAGCAGGGCATTGCCTCGGTGGTCATAAAGGGCATCGAGAGATGTGCCGGTGAGATTTGATTTTTCTTTTGACGTAAGAAATTTATGTTAAAAATTAAAATAATATTAATGTTTCTGCTACAAAAACAGCGGAGGCTCACTTGACTGATATTGTTAATAATTAAAAAATAGAATGTATTCTTTTTTAGTTTTTACTTGTATTTACTGTTTGACAGCGGGTTCATATTTATTTCTATTTAATTTACTATTACTAAATTTAATCTATGGTTATTTAATTGTGTTATTAATATATTATGTTTATGTAAAGAACATCTCAAATTATGTTTGATAGTATTATTATATTGAATTGTCATATAATCAATTAAATAATTTCTTAAGAACAAATTTTTGTTCGATACTAATTTTGTTAATCCCAGGTGACATCTACGAAGCGAGACGCGAACTCCTCGGTAACAAGGAAGCATCGATCACAGCGGAGATCCCTGAATCCTACAACATCCCCACCATAACCAACACCATGCCCAACTTCACCCCATTCAACCCGTTCTCCCCGCACTCCCCCTACATGTACAACCCGCCGACGCCCGGCGGCTACACGCCGCTGTCCCCCGTGATGACGTCGCCGGTGTTCCCGAGCTGGATGGTGCCATCTCCTCAGCCGAGAGCTGCACAGTTCCATTTCCCCACCATGTCCAATGGACCGGTGGTCTTCAAGAATCAAGGGTCTTGGAACCGTAAGTACTGATTACTGATTCTCTTATGTATTAGCAAATGATTTAAATCAGATCAGATTTTGAAACTATGTGTTATATTTAAAACAATTTATTGCAATTTAAATAAAACTATCTTTTCGGATTATTTTGCGAATTTATTTTGATTTTTGGTTCCCGACGTTTCGAATGCTTTACAGCAATCATGGTAACGGAAGATATGTAAAGCGTTTGAAACGTCTGCAAGTCGGGGACCAAAAATCAAAATAAACCCGCGACATATTTCGAAAATATAGTTTTATTTAAAATGTCAAATATTCGTGTAAATTTAAGAAAGTATTAATTTATAGCAAATCAAATACGTTTATGTGAAAATAAAAAATACTTAAATATTATGTGTCCTTATCTTGATGCAGTATTAATATACGTAACATTTCAGCACTATCAGGCATGCAAGAAGGAGGAGGAAACATGCCGTGTCTACAGCTGCCACCGGAGCATAGACATGTGCGTAAAATATTATACTTTAGTATTATAAAATTAATGTAATATCTGAACATACATATAATAAAATTGTAACATAACGAAGTCTGTACATGATTTTTTTTTAAAAACAATGCCTGTTACATATTGTGTAGGTAGTAAGGCAGGACCGGTCTTAGCCATTTGGGCGCCCTGGGCGAGTCATGCCTTTGGCACCCTTTTAGGTATACTTATTTCCTAACCTATTTGTGTATGTAGAATTATTTAGTGAGAGATACGATAAAACGCTGTCTAGTTTTCCTTTAGATCGATAAAAATAAGTATTCAAATTAAATGGTTAAGTTGAGCTGGCGCGCGCGGCGCCCTGTATAACCAGGCACCCCGGTCGCCGCTCCAGTCAATGTTTTTGTAAAATACTTAAAGTAAAGATTTTACTTTCTTACTATTTTATTAATTTGTATAGAAATATGTATATTATGTAGGCTCTGTCAAGCGCAAATAGACACACACATACTACATTTAAAGTGACTTTTGAAAAAAAAAACACTTCTTAAAGCCTAGTTACATTTTAACATTTAGTATAGATTTATCAGAGTTGAGATATTTTCCCGCAGTAAAAAGTATCCTATATGGATAACCAGCTATACTCTGTTCACGGAGTGAACTATGCAAAGCGCTTTCTCTGTCCCACATTAGCGTACCAACTGATAAGGACAGAAAACTGTCTAGCTCTTAACGCTTACAACTGGTTTGAAATCATAAGGCTCGTTCATGTTGCTAAGGCTTTAGTGAGGGATTATTAATAATTTGTAATAAAATAAAATCGACATACAAATAAAATAAACCCTATAAATAACTGTATTTTTGAATATTTGTATACATTATTTACCTATTAATTTTTACTTTCCGACGTATCATCGTCATCTCCTACATTGATAATAAATCAGGTTCATCAACTACATGAGAGACGTCTAAACGATACGGAATGGAACGACGGACTAATTATGAGTTGCATTGTAATCGCGGCCTAAGCGTCTTATCTGCAGACTGCAACTAATCACATGGAAGCGCACAATCTCAGTGCTTGGTTCATTTGGCGAACACAGTATATCATTATATCAATTTAGTAAAAAAAGAAATGTCTATTTCAATAAGATTTTCCAAAAAATATTCAATTTATAGATTCGACTCAGTTAGAATTTTATTATATGTATAGATAGATGACCCTAATCATAGTCATATAAAAATAAGTCAAGCAAAGTTAAAAATAATATAACATTTCAGATAACACAGTTGCTGAACTCGAGCTCGCAGGCGAGCAGCGGCTACCAGAGCAACTTCACCGGCAGTTCGGTTTCTCTCGACACACAGAATATATCTGGTAAATATAAATGGCTTCTACTTCCAAACAGTTTAAAAGCTGGATTTCTACATGATAAAAGTAACCCGTAAACATTATCTAAATACTCTCTTCCTCAAATGAAAGAAAGGAGATAAGAGATGGAGGGAGAAGGAGAAAGGTTATAACTTGTGTTTTTCATTTTAAATAACTGTAATCTTCAATTTGAATATTAGCGTGTAATACAGCGAGTTAAAAAATTACAAATTCGTCCAAAATTAAGTTATAGTAATGTTTCAATGAAAGTTATAATAAAAACATAAACAAGGTCTAACAATAAGGTACAAGAACAAAAACTCAAAAACATACTGCAGGTATCCAAGAATCACATACGTAAAAGTTTTAAATCCAATCAAGTGGTAATAAATTGGACATTATTAAAGTTATTTTCATTTACCCAGCAGGTGAAGGCAGTAACGTAGTATCTCCATCAGTGTCGCCTATAAGCAAGACGCACAGCCCCACTCCGTCTTCTGAGAATGATCGCACGCAACACGGTATGTATTATACTACTTAAGTCCTTTTTTTTTTAACGTTGGGAAATGCATTTACGCACGACGTGTGGGACTCACCGGCGTAATACAGCCAGTACTACCCACTAAAACCCAACAAAACCTTCCTCCGTCTTAATGGGGCGTCGCAGGATCGCTTACGCATTCAACTACGACGCCCCGACGGCAGGTCTGCCGAAGCAGACCACAACAACCATGGGGTTGCTCCACAGTCCACTCTGCTATCAGAGAAATACCAGGAGCAACCCGCATGGTACACCGCCCCCCGAAGAGGGCCACCTCCCACCGCCCACCGAAGTGGGCAACCTCCCTGTGCGTTTCTTAGCTTCGCGCCCGGTTGGGTTGCCGGGCACTACTGAGCCCCCCCACCACGACAAGGTGAACGCACGTTGGGGGGGATACTACTTAAGTCCTAGGTCAACTAAAAGCATTTTTTTTTATTGACAACACTAAAGCTCGTCAATAGCTACTAAATAAAAAAAAGTTAACAAAAAGAGGAGAAAAGGTACTGAACTTTTTTGTCTTTGCCTGTTTAAGTATTGATCAGAAATGTTGTATTGAAACTAATTATTTAATTAAAACATTACAATCTACAAAATTAAAGTTCCTGACTCTTGCGCAAGGTAGTATCCATGTCACAACTTACAGGACTAGCTCCTTATAAGGCTTTAATATAATTTAAATAATAGAAAACAGTACAAAACAAATAAAAAATCTGAAATCAAAAACTTTTTTTGCGTAAAAAAAAGAAAAGTATACAAAGAGCCAAATTTTATGAGGTAACTCTACAAACCGTTGACCTGAACAAAAAAGTCAATTAGAAATATCTATCTGAATTTTAAGAATAATGCAAATTGCGAAATTAATTTATAAGACAATCTAGAGAACCCCATACACTTGAGTAGACTCTATTTTTTTACCTACATATGTAATTTGACTACAACATTGCCTAGCAGAGTATCTTTAGGCTACACTATCTAGCTCTAAAATTACAAATCACTGTCCTAATTTGTATCTAAAATAAATACAATTAATTGCTTCTATACAGAATTAGCGAACATAATCTCGGAGTTGCCAATATCCGACCGCCGCGCCGTCGGCTGTGAGAAGAAAACTCTGGAAACACTGACCAGAATGTCGCCTTCACCGCTTTCTGAATACAGGAAAATGCAGTCTGAAGCCAATAAGGTTAAAAATACATAATAATTATTTTTTATTAGTGTATAAGTTACTAACAACGGCTCGATCTCGCTTAGCTCGGATTCAACTCTAGAAAAACAAAAACAAATCAATCCCACGGGAACTGTTACATTTTTCAGGGATAAAAAGTAGCCTATGTGCTATTCCAGATAGATCATAAATCCAGAGACCACTCGAACGTATTAAACGAAACTTTATTTGTACACACTACACAGATAGCTTCCTACAACCGTATAGTATTATATCGACGGGTGAAAGGCTATTTGGTTTAAGCAACTTTTTATTGAAAAAAAATATCATTAAATTGGCTCTCCTGTAAAGTTCAATTGTCGCTTAAACCAAATAGCCTTTCACCCGTCGATATGGTCTGTGCTACAACTAACTTATTCTAACAATTACATAGGCTGGAATATAGCTTAAAGTATAAGTAAATAATGGGTACAGAAACCATTATACTATACTACCGACTCACCCTCGCTTCGCTCTGGTTTGTCCCTAAGTTGATTCCCCATACAAACTTTCATCCCCATTTTTACCCCCTTAATTGATGATTTCCCAAAATGAAAACTATCCTATATCCTTCCAAGGGTCTCAAACTATCTTCTTACCAAATTTCATTTAAATTGGTGCAGTAGTTTCGGAGCTTATTCGGTACAAACACACAAACAAAAAATCTTTCCTCTTTATAATATTAGTATAAGAACAGACAGCGGAAGCGACTTTTTTTATACTATGTAAAGATTACAAAAATAAGTTTTCTTCAGGCTATGCGAGAAAACGTCACTTCAGGGTACAGAGTGCCCACCACCCGCTGGTCGGGGTACTACTTCAGCCATACCTCCCCCACTCCCCTCAAACTGAACGACAACGATGTAATGACTACGGTAATGTATTTCTATTGTAATACTTTAAATATTTAAAAATTATTTTAAACATATATCGGAAAATTACGTGAAAACTTTGAATAATAGGTGATTGGGAAATAGGCAGGGAGATGTTGATCTTACGTAATACAGAAAATATATACGATACGTAAAATGCCTGTTTGTTTGTTTGTATTTTTTTACATTTGTTTTACTCAATAGTATTAGGAGTTTAGTCAAGTGGTGCTAAATATCGGTATTCAATATTATATGCTTTCTTTAAAAACGAGGTTTTAAATTAAAACTGTAGAGTATTAATTTACTGTAAAAGAGTATATGTATAGAAAACAAATGTTATTTTTATTTATTTGTAGTATAGGGATTGATGCCATGTTTTATAAATATAAACAAAAAAGAAATTAATTTAAATGTCAGTTTGTAAGTTCTAACACTGGCTCGGAAGGGAATTCTGCTGAAAAGAGTCGGCGAGAAACTCGAGAAATTAAATAAAACAATTTCAATGAAACGTAAAACCAATGACTTATATAAAATTAATTTATACGTACATAATATGTAAGTCTGTATGTATATATTTTGATTATAGCCAGAGAAAGGTTGGAACAGATCGGAGCTAGTGCGTCCCAACATAGTGGAGCCGACGCCCTCACCGCCCACAGCCAAGCCGTGTCGCTACCAACAGCTGTACGATTTGTTGCGGGACATTGGTCTACATAAGTATATAGGTGAGGAATCATACATAAGTAGTACATAAGCAAAAGTTAAAAATTCAATTCAATTCAATTTTTGGTCGTCCATTTCTTCAAATCGTGCCAGTTGAGCACAGATTACTTCGCGAACTACTTTGAGATATAAAAATCTTTGATTTTATGGAATTTCACATGTCGATATCAATAGAGCATATAAATTTACTGTAGAATATTAACAATTAGTTTTAAAAAATCTGAAAAAATGATCTTCTGACGAAGTTCATAAAGGCGTTACAGTTTCATATTACTTAAAGAATAAAATAAGGAAGATAAGAAAAATCGTCACTATTATTTTATTATTTATACTGATTTATAGTTATAACTTATTACAGATCTATTCAAAAAGCACGAGTTGGACATGTCGACATTCGCGTCGCTGAACGAGGCGGACCTCACTGAGATAGGGGTGACTGCTTTCGGAGCTCGCAGGAAGATGTTGCTGGTTATTGCAGGTATATATTATTAGTTATTAATATCTTATAGAATACGTGTAAATTAATAAATAGTTGAATAAATAAGAAATATAGTCAGTTTTCTGACTTAAAGTGTCACGTTTCTGAGATATTTTTAGAGATAACATCACCATATAAAACATGATAAGTTTCATTAGCTGTGTTCAAACCCGAAGAATTATTCTCATAGTTCTAAAGTAAGTGATTTTTACCTCAAAATGTTTCGAAAATGTAACATTTAGGGCACAACATCGTTGAAATATTTTTAGTCTAATCATGAACAAACCATAATTTTTTTTAAAAATAGCCGAAAGCAGGACCTCTTTTTTTAAATCGCTAAATAAGTAAACATGTGACTGGAGTTACGTATTGAAATCGAAGGGATCACGAGAAAGAAACTAATTTGTATTTGGAGTTTATCCCAAGGTGTTACATTGTATGCAGATTTGACACAATGCAATCCTTGATGCACTCACATATGGACTGAATACAAACTGTATTTTAATGCAGAATTTAAAAAAAATAATACGTAACACTTCCTTAGACCTTGTATACTTTATATTAATACTTTCTTAGACATACGCGATTATCTGATATTTTAAATAATTGGATAATTTGCATGCGAAAATATCTAAAATTACAATATAATGTATAGTTACGTAATATACGAGTATATATATAACTAGCGGCTCACCTTTGCTTTGCTTAGGTTCGTCTTAAGGTACGTTTTGACGCTTTATAAGGAATAGACTTTTTTGTAGTTTAATTTTTCGTGAATTTTTTCGATGTTTTATTAGTTCTTCTGCCATTCGGGATGAAGACAAATCCAATAAATCAAAGATCGTAGAAATCGGTCCAGCCGTTCGTGATTTATAAATGGTGTAACTAACCCAACTTTGTTTCATAATATATCGATGTACTTACAAAAATGAGATGATAATATTTTACATACGTATATATCTACCTACTTTAGAATAAATGTAGCTTACAATGAAGTACAATCTAGCTACAAAATTATTAATAGGGACAATAATTGTTTTTATTATTGTGTTGAACTCGATGGTTACGGTTTAAGTTTTTTTTACCTCTTAATTGCTTGTATGGAGTGCAATCTCCATTTTTGATAATTGATCTATATTATTTGACTGCCGAATTGTCTAGACGTTACCTATATGTCAAATCTTAAGTTATGAACAACAAACACAACAAGGACATAACGAAATTATTAGGGTTCCATGATTGCTTTTTATTCAACGGAACCCAATAATATCGTTTTTTAACTAATCTAACCTTATTTAATTTCATCCGCAGAGCTACAAAAACAAGCGAGCTCGTACAAAGGATCTGGAACTCCGAACGAGAGGAAGATCATCAAATCACCCCCTCAGTACAACACTGCGCTGGCGCAAGACAAGTGGTAGACCCCACATGCTATAAGACTAAATAAATCGAAAACATCAAAACACATACTATTACTTTATTATGTAAAAGTGCTTAATATATCAATAGAAATGATAATTAATGTAATAAGTGAAAAAAATATATTAAAATCTTATAGCAAATATTGTTCTAAAAAATCGAGCCCCTTTACATTTCAAAATGATAATGGTTAAACGTAATAAATTTATTAGACAATATTTAAATAAAATGCAATCAACAAACCGAATAAACAACGAGGTAAGTCTCAAAGACAATTTTTACTTCGGTATTAAGTATGTATGTACAAATCAAAACATATCCAGTGACATCTACTATCAAAACTGCTTATGCTACTTTTAGTATTTTAATTAATTTTATTGATACTTGAACAGCTTTGATATAGGACGCCACTGACGCTCACACTCAAGACTGATTGACTGTAACATCGGTTACATCTCGACTGAAAAGGATCAAGACTGATAGAACTATATCCATAATAATAAGACTTAATCATTTGTCGTTGGGCAATGTCGAGAATGGCGAATGATTTGAGCGTTACAGCTCCGTTGATTTTTGCCAGATTTTAAATGTAGTTGAAATATTTTATAGATTTTCTTTTATAATAGCTCGAAGCGTACGACAATTTGATCTCTAATAGACTAGATTGTTGAAGTAAACGGAAGTGCCATAGTTGTTAAGTTTAATTTAGTGTTATTTGTTGTCGAGGGCATGTTTTATTTTTTGATTTTAACCCCATTTTATATGCATTTCTTTATACCACAACTGATCCAGACTAAATTATTATATACCCATACAGTTTTAATATTTGATTCTAATATTGCTGGGAAGGATCCATATTTTTTTTATAATTACGTTTTATCAAGTGTTGCCAATTGATAAAATTCTTTTATCATATTTTAAGTAATATGTTTTTAAAAGATAATCATTATTGGCGATTGACAAATTTTATCAGCACATCGGTATCGTAAAAATATTTTTTGGACCACAGTAATTGACTTGATTTTAAATAGGACTCAATAAGTTTTTTTTCAGCTGTCACAGTCCAGTGACGTTCCCATTGTAACAAAGCTGAAACGTTTTAATCGATTAACATTTTTATTCAATCATATTCGTAATTATCGATTTAGGTTTTTTACTAAGTACCTACTATATTTTATAACTGCATTTTTGATTTTAACCATATTAACATTCTAATTTATTGTGAATGCTGTGTTGTTTTTGAATTCGTGTATTTTTTAGACGGTAGTAATGTCTTGGTACATAATGATTGCGATCAATTCGTCTTTTCAAACTTAAAGTACCATGGAGTTATGTATCAATTCATATACTTTTTATGTAGTTTGTTTTAAGATTATATATGTAATTGTTTTTTAATCATGAACTTGTGATTATAATCAATCGTTTTAAAGTATGATTATGATATGTTTAGACTTTTACCTTGTAAGTGATTATGAAATAATACTTTTTAATACTAAATTGTTATATAAGTGTAGTTGAAATTATGAGTTAAGTTCATGCATTCTCCAAGTTAAGTTTCTAATTTTCGTTTTTGAGTTTAAAGAGAGTTTTTGCACGATCGTTTTTGTTTTGCCTTTCCAATTAAATTTTAAAAAAATATAAAGATTTTTTATTTTACACATCCTTGCGGTAACAATTTAAACTGTTTTACTTATAATAATCAAAATATTACAATTTACAATATATATTGTTGTTATTAATTGTATCATAGCGTTGACAATAACTAATCTACTAACTATAGGTAGAAAAGTTGTAGAAATAATGAGAGATACCTAAATCATTTTAATTTTTTTAAAGGCAATAGACACACTGGTTTAAGACAGTCAGTAATTTTTTTACACATTTTTTATTAGTACAACAATTACGTTTCAAAGATTTGTAACTCCTTATCTATAGATATAATTAAATTCTGAGTACAATCTGAACATTAAATATTTATTGGAAAATTCATCTGTCTGTCTGTATGGGAATACCTCACGAGAAAACCACTGGACAGATTTTTGATGAAATTTGGTACCTATGATGATAGCTGGGTATCCGAGTCAATATACAGAATACTTTTTATTGCGGGATAAAAGAAATCTATACCAACCGTTAAAAAATAAAACGTTCCTAGGGACGTACCCGAGCGGAGCAACGTAAAATCGCTAGTAAAGTATAAAATTAAAATAACAATACTGAAAACTGATATTCGATACTGATACGATCTCTTTTACTTTCTTTTTGGTATGAACTGCTATAGACTACGTAAAAATTTGCTTCGCCAATGTCACAAAAAATGTTATTCTATATCATTCGCTTATTGTTTTTCAATTCAATTTTCTTGTTATTCAAAGCATGGCAATTGAACACAGATTACTTCGCCAATGTCAGGTGGAATGGAAAAGATAAAAATAATTGTTTTTGAACGTAAAACGTCAAACATTTTATACTGTCATTGCCATATTGACACTTGACAAATAACAGTTGACAGGCGATTTTGCAAAAATCAAAAAAGCGTCCCTACATATTGAATTTTTATTGCATCACATTTTAAAATCAAGAAAAATGGGTAATGCAAGTGCAAAAGCTGTAGATGCAGTAAAAGTCGAAGCCCCGGTCGTGGCAAATGCTGAAAAGCCTAAGTTAAAACCATGCTGTGCTTGTCCAGAAACAAAAAGAGCTAGAGATGCGTGGTAAGGTTATTTTAGTTATTTCGGCAAAATTCCTTTATTACGTAATATTATCAAATTTAAAAATGTGTAGTAAGTAATAGTAATGTAAATATAATATAATTATACAATCTAAATGACTTATTATACACATAATGATTTATTTATTCATAATATTGAGTTAACTAAAAAAATATCCTTTAGCAGGTTTAGTAGTAGTTAACCTAGTAGGATTCTTAGAATTTACTCATATATAATACATGTTTTACTATATAGCATATAAAGAATACCTTTAAAACATAGCAACCATTGTAGAACAAAAATTACTACTATTTCTTTATATTTCAGTATAATTGAACATGGAGAAGAAAATTGTGGGCCGTTGATTGAAGAACATAAAGCTTGCATGAGAAAGATGGGCTTCAATATATAGATTTACTAGGTTTAAATAATAATAAACTTTTTTTAACCACTCGGTTACCCATTTTATCCTCTACAACATTATCAAAGCAAAAAAGTCCTTGAGATGTTATAATTATATTATCTAAAATTTGTCATGGTGTAAGTATAATGAATCAAGTGTATTTTGATATTGTATTATTATTTAGTACAACATATTTTTATTACATGGGTGTTGTCTGTGTATAAGTAATAAATATTAAAGTATGTAATATTTAACAAAATTTAACAACATTTAGTAATGTTTCAGAAATGTATTTCGATTTAACAACTGAAATATTTTTTTTTAATTATTTTTTAGGTTAGGATAGATTGTCATGTTTCACTATCATTCATTGCACATTATTCATTCATTTTTTATTTATCCGGCATTATGCCAAAGATACAAATGTGTCAAAATTAAAAAATAAACCTACTTTTATTTTTAATATTGACTAAACGGCCACACAATTTCCATCATCATCATGAGTTTTTCGAAGAAGATCAAGGATCTTGCAAAAAATATCTTTTAATATTAGTTGTACATAATTTATCATAAATAAAAATAAAACTTTGTTCTGTTACTATTAGTTTTATTTATCTTTAAATTATGATAAATTTTATAAGATGGCATATGACATGTCCTCACTTAGTTCGGGTGCTTCTCAGGGTGTCTAACAGTAAGTAGCCTCCGTGTTACTATAGATTGTATTCTGTGTACTAAATTTCTAATCTAAACCTGCAATACAAACCTTTACATTTATAACAGTAATTTAATTATAGAAACAAACTTAGTCATTTCCTTTTAGTGAGAAGTGGAAATCGACTTGTGCCAGACAAATGGACACACATGATACAGGCATGCCGCATGTGAAAGATTTTTCAAGTGCTTAGTTTTTTCATGGGTTATACAAACTAAAAAACTAAGTACATATAAATTTATGGCAGAAAAATAGCATATTTATTTATACCAAATTTGTTAATAGCAAAAGTGTAAATATATTAATGTAGAAAAAAATTATTAAGTTCAATAAACATTAAGTAGGTACCTATTCAAAAGCGCTCGTAAAAGTTTTTTTTTAACAATATATATTATGATAAATTTTAATCATTTATATAAACTTTGGGGTTTGCCTTTGAATCAAAAAATTATTTTAAAAATATTAGCGCGTTACTAATTAGGGTCACACACTCTTGTCGTCAGAGAACAGGGTCGGATTTAAACGAAAGTACCCATTTTTTTAGCCGAATGCGGCAAAGCCCAAAGGAAGTTTGTATGTTTGATCTATATGTATGTATGTCCAATCCTATATTTCCTTGTAATTACTAAACACCTTAACCGATTTTAATAATTGATACGTCGTTAGGTACAGACAAGACTGATAAAATTATGGTGAATGAAAGATTTTCCTGTAGTATAAGGTATCCTAAATGTTGACCAGAGTAATAAGTTATAACAACACAAAATTTAGTGAAAATCCGTTCAGTACTTTTTGCGTGAAATGCACATAAATATACAGACAAACAATAAATATTTTCTATATTCTGTAAACAATAGATTAGTCATTATTTTTAAAAAAATATTTCAGGTACAGATTTCTCTTTTATACTATCTTATCATATTTATAGTCAAGATCTTCTTTTGATGTAAATCTAAACTATTAGTATAAAGAGTTTGATTTTTTGTTTGAACGCGCTAATCTCAGGAATTACTATTTGAAAAAATATTTTAGCATGACAGATTAGTTTATTGAGGAAGGCTATATATCATCATGCTACCCAAAGGAGCAGAGCAGAATTCATAAATGTCAACAAATCGGGCAGACTTCCATACATTATTGTAAAACTGATGTTTATATCAGAAGTTTAAACACAGGGTGAAGCCGCGGGTACTGCTAGAAAATTATAATATCCTGGAAACTTCTGATCTTCAGTCCGGCACAGTGAGGGAATGTCGTCAATAGACATAAACTTAAAAAGTATCAAAAATCGCCTAGCAATATGGCTTATCAAAAATCTTATGTAAATAATAAATATGTACGTCGGGTTCAATTATATTTTCATTATCAAGTCGACTCATTGGGTATCTCTGTTGTATTACTTTTGCATTACGCACGTTGTTTCTGACCAGTTCAGATAATCTCCCTATACTAGTAGAGCGTTTGTTTTCTTTACTTGGTTGTTTAATTATTAAATATATTATGTTCTTTTAGAAGAGTTGTGCTTAAAAATGCGCTTAAAAAGAAATTCGGAGCAGAATAGTGAGGATGAATCAACAGCCAGTTCAGTTAAATCTGTTGAGAGCTATGGGTGAGTAAACATTGATATTGGATATTTTGTCTGTTTTGCTTAACTTTAAAAAATACTGTACATAACATTTTAATTTAATACCACACAGTGAAGAAATTTAAATAAATTACGCTCTAGAGTCTATACCAAAAAAACATTTGGTCATTCCATGTCAAATCGACCAATGGTTGGAATCGACCTTTCAATTTCGATTAAATTTGGTGGGAAGAAGAAAGAGAAATATTTTTTTAGTTTTTCCACGTTTCTTTTTGTAATATCGCGAAAATTATTATAGGTTCAAAAAGTGCTTCAGTTTATTTTACAGAGGATACTTAGGGTTATGAAAAAATATATATTTCGAATTTTTTTTTGAATAAATGGCAAATATTCTAGATATGTTTTTAAAAATCGTTAAAATTCACGATTAACATTAAATTTTTAGCTTATTTTTTTATAATACCTTATACTGATTTTAAAAGATACTGAAATTTTCAGAGCTGTGTTATTTTTTGTTTCAAAAATATGATATTTTTAATTTTGGCAAAATAATTTTCATTGTAAATAAATATACCATATATTTTAAACGAATCAGCGCAAACTTGTTGGCTCAAAGCGCTTGATTTATCAGTTGATCAAGTGGCCCAATGTGTGTTCACCTTGTTCATCCGTGGTGCGGCTCATTAGGATCCGGCAATCCACCTGAGTGTGAAGCCAAGAGACACAATGAGAAGAGGCCCACTTCGTTGGCAGATGTACCATGCGGGTTGCTCCTGCTGGGATTGCGTTGCTGATGTCGAGAACAGCCCCTTGGTTGTGTGGTCTGCGATGCTGCCATACCCCATTAAGGCGGGAGAGAATCTGTTGGGTTTTGCTGGCTTTTCTAGCCGGTGAGCTTCATATAACCACCTGTATGTATACAGGTGTTACGCCTAAATGCATTTTCCTACATTAAAAACAAACAAAAAAAGGGCTTTAAGTTTACTTCTTTCGTTTTAATTTTACAAAAAGTGCCTGCAAATTCGCAAAACTTTTATTGAGACTTTCATTTTCTTATGTCTTAAGATATTTCACTAACTTACTTTCGTTAGAATTTTTAAATTGGTTTTCTGTGCTGTCCAGAAATGAAAAGCCAATACTAAAACCCAACGAATCCTTTTTGCAACGTGTTGTATTAGTTTTACTGTAGTATATAGGTATTAGTGCTTTTCTTTTTGCAAAATAAGCACAATCATAACAAAAAGGGAAGATACAGACGGAGGGACTTATCATTTTTAAAATATTTGTTTAACTATAACTTAAGATATAAAAAATAGACCTACGCGACGCGACGTCTAGATTGCAACAGTCAATAAATTAAAATTGAAAAATTTGTTTTAAAACTTATATACTACAATATAAACATTTTATTTATTCTGCATGATGAAATAATTGCAATAATTTCATCAGAAATGTTTACTTACAATAACTATTGTGATATGAATCTAAGTATTTATATGTATTTGCAAAGGAAACACGACTCGGGAAAATATATATTACACTTTAAACCAATCCGTTTAAAACGAAAAAACCCGTAATAAACCATATTTTTCGATTTAAAACGATTGGTGTTGATGACTATTTTTTTCTTAATTAAGTATAACAACATTTTATAACATGTAGGGTTATGACGGAGTACCTATAAACGGTGTTAAGATTTTCTTTAAGTGTGTAGGTACCCTACATCTAGTAGAGTCGTAGACGTAAGTTACCATCACAGATAAATATATAAGCAATATTTATTTTGTGTACTTATCTATGTACGATAGTTACTATTTTATTTATTTACAATAATAATTTTATCTTGCTTGCATTGTATCTTGTTTTTATATACATACATACTTAAATATTTTAATTTATACACTATACTTATCCCGGCTTTTCTCGGCTGCTTTCCATACATAATTTGCTAAATCATTGAAAGCATTATAAGACATTTTAATAAATATTGGGATCCTGCACTTGACATTCATTGTTTTATATATTAGGTGAACTATGTCAGACATCGGCTCTCAAATTTCTTTTGTCTGTTTTACAGATTCCTATTAAAACAAACAAACAAAATGATTCAAGTTTATTCCTCACTGAAAATCATTAAACTGGCTACTTTTTATAATTCATTAATTGTATTAAATTTATTAAGAAATTGTTAATAGTATTCCCATTTAGGTATAAATAAATATGTTGGGACATTACTTAACACACAGCACCGTCTAGTTCCATGGTAAGCTACGAGGTTTGTGTTATGGATATCAATTAGTTGATACACTACACATATATAACTTTAAATATATACATATTATAAATATAAACACCCATAACTGGAGCACAAACATTCGTTCTCATCACACAAATGAATGCCCAGCGGGACTCGAACTCGCGACCGCTGGCACAGCAAGTAGGGTCACTACAAACTGAGCCAAACGTGTCGTCGTCGTGTATTTATCTAGTACGAAGTTGTTTTTATTATGGGTCAATTATATTTTATACTTGCATTGCCCGCGGCTCCGCCCGCGTTCTGATGACTAAAAAACACATTCTTAGGTTTCACATATTAGTATACTCTTACATTGCAGTTTTTGTATTTTTTCTCAGCAATGAGATATTTTCCCGCGGTAAAAAGTATCCTATATGCTGACCCGCATAACCAGCTGTCACCATACCAAATTTCATCAAACTCCCTCCAGTGGTTTTTCCGTAATGCGGTAACAGATAGACAGACTGACAGACAAAAATTCTAAAAACTATAGATGCGGCCTCTGCATCGATAATAAAGTCTATTTCAATAAAAATTTCCAAAAAGTATTCAATGTACAGATTCGGCTTAGTTACGATTTTATTATATGTATAGATTAGACTGTTATGTGGTAAGATTTGTTAGACACTTTGACAACGGTTGGTTTATACCTATATCATGTAAGTACCTATATCATGTACACACATGGTTAATAAGCCTTATAACTTTACATTGTAACATATCGCGTTAACGTAATGAATTTTATCGATCTCTTTATAGAAATACCATTCATACATAAATATCATATACAATAAGTGATATCAAATAATATAAATAACATCTCGGTAATGTATTTATTATAAAGATGGATATAGGAGCGACAAACCCCGAGCGCGGGGTCGAGATCAAGGGACATCTCGCATTTACCTTGGACTTTGATAGAGAGACGAAATAAATTATAAATGATTGACAACTGCGATAAATTCTTTTTTTTATTCATACCCTCTTTCATATCCGTGTTGTAGAATTTACTCATACCTACTATTTGCGTATGAGTTCTACGACCACTAATAAATCGTTTCAATGGCTGTAGAGTGTACACTAATAGGTATCATCGTCCCCTTACCCATTTCCCAAATTACTTGGGGTCGGCGAAGTATGTCTTCCATATTGGCCCGACCGTCCATAGGGTTTGTTCTGTAGGTCAAATTTTCTAGAACGAAAACGTTGGAACCAAAAACGTATCGTGTTATCAGTAGCTACTAGCTTCCCTATACACATCATTAATCCTTCGAGCTATTTCTGCAGCGCTGGTGCCACGGTGGAACTCGCATTCGAAATTAACGCGATATTTTAAGTTTTCCATATTGTGAACAGAACGATGTTAATGAAAAATCAAATTTGCGAAAACAAATGAATCACTAAACGAAACACAAATACACAAGCCTAAATTTGAGATAAATTTGAATTTGGAATTCCTAACCAAATGTCAGATTTTTGAAATCTAAGTAGCCAGTTCGACAAGACGTCAATTTCATATGTAAGTTTTCTTTTAATCGAGAGAAAATCGTCGTTATGAGCGCTTCCGTAACATTATGATTTATGTAGGCAGCTACTATCTAAGCATGTCTTATAACATGAATAACAATACGGCCATATACTCGTAACATAAATATCTAATAATAAAAGATTTCTTTTTTACAGAGTATTTGAAAGCGCGTGTTCAGATTGTTCAGAATGTGAGTACGGGTCCGACGCGAAGCAAAATCACATATACCAGTAAGCATTCACAATATTATAGTTTTAATTGTTATAATTATCTCAAAAGATTGTTAGATAAATATATAGATTACAAAAAAGGAAGAGATTTTTAAATCGGGTCTATCTTTTGCATATTAAAATTTTAAAGAAAATATTACAACCATAGGTAACAGCTTTTTCTTTTGGACTTCAAGTCCACTTGTGTGGTGTAGTGTGGTAGCGACTTTAAAGCCATTTTAAATCAAAAATATTTAAAATATATATATATTTCTTTTGTTTCTTATAGTATAAGAGCGAGTTGTGCGAGGTTCTTCGAAGATCGCGAGACCTATCCTTTACTGATGGGGGCAAAATTGACCAACACGTATAGATCGATGAGCACAAGTTCAGATACTTTGGTAAATGAATTATGTTTTATTTTTATTGCATAATGCTATAGATATAATAGTTATAGGTTTGGTTTTACGTACATACTATATCTGTGCCTATAGCATAGGTATGATTCGATTTTTACACGTTCTATAATTTTATTTTTCTGTTAACGATATCTATACATAAAATAAAATTGTAAGTAAGCCGAATCTGCACATTAAATATTTTTTGGAAAATCTTATTGAAATAGGCTTTATTATCGATACCGAGGCCGAATCTATAGTTTTAAGAACTTTTGTCGGTCTGTCTGTTACCGTATCACGGGAAAACCACAGGACAGATTTTGATGAAACTTGGTGTGATGATAGCTGGTTATCTGGGTCAACATATAGGATACTTTTTACTACGTAAAAATATCTCATTTCTGAGAAAAAATACAAAAACTGCATTTCCTTTGTGTATTCTATAGGTTACATTTCGGAGAGTGTGCGCAGGAACTACATGAATTAATTCCCCCATCCCCTTTCCATCATCGGACAACTCGACGAACGGCTGGTCTCCATCCTTGTTGTCGTGGACATTCCACCCGTCCGCACGAAGCGTTTCGCTACGTCATTTATTATACGTACGGCTAAGGATTGGAACAACCTGCCTGCGTCGGTGTTTCCGTCCGATTATAATATGGGTGTCTTCAAGGCAAGAGTGAATAGGTGGCTACTGAATTAGTGCGACTTACCATCTACGACTGCGTTACCACTTACCATCAGGTGGAACGTAGTCAAGCACTAATTCGGAATAGTATAAAAAAAAAAAAAATATAAGAGTATGTATACTAATATGTAAAATCTAAGAATTTGCTTTTTGTCATCTGAACGCGGGCGGAGCCGCGGGAAATACTAGTCGATAATATATGTTGTTTTTAAGTTCGCTTAAGCCAATAATAAAAATTACTTTACTCTTTAAATTCTCTTTTAATTTAATAAGTGGTTATTAAATACTTAGTTTTTTTGAATTGCAAAGAAGTAGGTAATTTATTGCATCATTATCAAACATAAATGTGTACTTAAATAAATTCTTAAATGTCGAAAGATGTGGGGTCACGGCCCGATGAATAAAGCGGAATCTAAGTAACAAGCTATTATTATTAACAAAAGATAATAAAAAAAAAAAATGATTAATCGTCATCGTTTTATCTCTACGCGATTGCTTTATATAGCAAGCACGCTCCGAGAGAATTTACTGTTTTTCTTAACAACAGATTTGTAATGTAATGGCTTACAAAGTATCTATACGTGAACAGAAAACTTTGAACCACTTTTTAAGCATATTGCATGAACGGAGGATTGAGCTTTGGGATAGTTAAAGTTTGTCTAGAGAAGGACTGCATAAAGCCAAAATTAATTGACTTTCTTTTACCTGCGAATCCGCTCGCGCAATTTATTTATATATCCTAATTACTTCACTGCTAAAAGATCTATAACGATGTTAGTTGTCTTTCATAAATATTATACCAGTACTTACATAAAATAAAGATGAAAAGTTTGTTTGTCTGTCCGAGAAAATCTCTGAATAGGCCCGTTTCAAAATTATTTCGTACTCGCATTGCCCGCGGCTCCGCCCGCGTTCAGATGACCAAAAACCAATTTTTTTGGCTTTACATGTTAGTATACTCTTACATTGCAGTTTTTGTATTTTTTCTCAGAAATGAGATATTTTTCGGCAATAAAAAGTATCCTATATGTTGATCCGGATAACCAGCTACATTATACGCAATTTCATCAAAATCCCTCCCGTGGTTTTTCTGTGATGCGGTAACAGACAGACAGACAGACAGACAAAAATTCTAAAATCTATAGATTCAGCCTCTATATCGATAATAATGTTTATTTCAATTAGATTTTCCAAAAAATATTTAATGTCCAGATTCGGCTTAGTTACAATTTTATTATATGTATAGATTTTATAGGCTAGCTATATAACTTTGAAACAAGAACCTCAATATGGATTAAACTTAATGAATTAACTTACTCTTGACTTGAACTTACTCTTTTAGTAACAAACTCTCTATATCTTTGTGTTAACCAATTAAGTTCCTAAACATTCTAGTTGTAACACCGTTCTACCTACAATATTATGTAAAAATGGCATTCTTTGAAATAAATAAAGCATCTTTAAACCGAATTATGGCTGCTTTTCAACCACAGGGCGATCACTAGTTTACTTAATTTACTAAACACGTGTTTAACGTTAAGTTAACACATTTCAATTAATACTTTAGTGGTTGTTTAAGGCTTGTAACCGCCAATCATGGGGACGTGTCATACCTATAGGTTGGACCAAAAGCTTTAGATTTTTTGCCAAGATAACACGCAGCTCGGAGTCACAGAGATAGATTGCAATTATTAGTTCTGTAGATGATTCTCTCAATTCTTGTTTAAAATGGAATTATGAGAGTAAAGAAACAGAGCACGTGGGGTATATGTATGCGGACTTGTGTTCTATAAATTAATATCATCAGATGGCTAATATCGATAAAATTGGCTACCATGTCTCAAAATTAATTAATAAACACTAATAGGTACATACATATATCTGAATTAAATGGCGTGTAATGGTTGTGGGTTGGTGTGTAAAAGGAATGGCGCCCAACGTGGGTCACTTCCAGTAAACGATTTGAATATGTGTTGTGTATTGTGTGTGTGTGTTAAAAATATATCCTTCTCAGGGTCCAGCAGAATTATCAGGTAGCGAAATCATAGCTACGTACAAACGGACAATGCAGAAAGACGTTGAACCGGATAAGAATAAACAAAGCTCTCTTGTCACAATGTTAGTATGATTCTTACATTTAATAGTACATGCTCTCACTTTTATAAATATACACACACTTGTGCCTTCTATTCACGATTTCCTTAACTTAGATCTTGTGTCATTACATTAATAAATAAATAAAAAGATAGAGACAGCTTAAAAAGCTTTAAAGTAGTTTTTTTTGCATCGTGAAAGATTGTCGATTAATATAATATGTAGTAAAACGCTTAGTCTTAAAAATTTTGGAACCATAACTTTAAACTCTATAAGCAGATAAATCAATCAAAAAATATAACACATTTGATTATACATTGATGATACATTATTACGCTCAATATTACTATACATATAAAAAAAACTACTCATGCTTTCAGATTTTCTATATGGAACACAATAATGGGGTCATCTCTACTGACCATGGCGTGGGGTGTGGAACGTGCCGGCTTACCCACGGCGTTGATTCTACTCGCCTTCATGGCGGCCCTATGTCTGTACACCGCGTACATACTATTGAGGGTAAATGCTCACCATGGTAAGCCATAAACAATATTCGTTATTTAGTATTATTCGTAATAATAACTTACTTCATGCTAGTTGTAACTTGTACCATTGCTACTTCTCAAAACGCAGTACCCGAAAAAACTACTTACTTATTAATACATATAATAAAATCGTAACTAAGCCGAATCTGTACATTAAATATTTTTTGGAAAATCTTATTGAAATAAACATTATTATCGATACAAAGGCCGAATCTATAGTTTTTAGAATATTTGTCTGTCTGTCTGTCTTTTACCGCATCACAGAAAAACCACTGGAGGGATCTTGATGAAATTTGGTATGGTGATAGCAGGTTATCCGGGTCAACATATAGGATATTTTTTACCGCGGGAAAATGACTCATTTCTGAGAAAAAATACAAATACTGCAATGTAAGAGTATACTAATATGTAAAACCTAAGAATTCGGTTTTTGGTTGTCTAAACGCGGGCGGAGCCGCGGGCAATGCTAGTTTATTAATAAAAGTCCAATCATTGTTCGCGAACGCTGAGTATAGTTGAGCAAAATTTTATTTAGGTATCAAACTAGTAAATTACATATCTCAATTTTAAATACCTTAAGAACTGTATTTAGAAAATATTTTTCACTATTACAGGTAGTGAAACATGTGAAGTGCCAGCTTTATGCAAAGTGCTGCTCGGCTCGGGAGCCGCGGCGATGGCGCACGTGTTCAGCGTCGTGGTGCTGTTGGGGGCCAACGTCATATATTGGCTGCTTATTACCAACTTTCTGTACTACACCGTCAATTATTTTATGGGTGAGAATTTTCAGTTGAAAATAAACCAATTTATTCGATATAAAAGGAAATTATATGCATATATACGCAATAAAAATACTTAGTTATAGTTATATAACAAAGCAATACGTACCTAGCCACGTTCCTCCGCTGAATTGCAATGCCGATGCTTTGGACTCTTAGAATTTCCCAGTTATTATAATAAAATAATAAGTATATAAAGAAGAGAGATATTTATTTTCTATCCTGACGATACTTATGACGACATGTTTGGCTTAGTTTTTAGTGACTAGAATTGCATTAGAGGTAAGGCTCACTGGAATTGTAATTTTTAAATATTGTATCTTTAAAAAACTTACTCAAACTCTATTTTTATTAAAATTATTTTCCAGATGTTAGTACAAGCACAAACACTACAGTCTACAACTCAAGTCTCCTGTGCCCTAACAACGACTGGCTACTCGGTATTTCATCTCAACCTCTCGAAGATCCATCACCGTACTGGAGTCTGCACACCACCGTCCCTTTCTACGTTGCCATCATTATGTTCCCGCTTATCAGCTTCAAAAACGTATCTTTCTTCACTAAATTTAATTCTTTAGGTAATGTTACTATATTGGCTTTTCAGTATTAGCCGCAAATATTTGCATAATATATTTAAAGACCAGTTTAAGCACACCAGAATTGTCTAGGCAAGTAATTCGGAAATCATATTTTTATTAAGATCTTTAGCCGGTTAAAATACTATAAGTATATTTATTTTAAGTTATATGAGTTTAGCCTAGATTTCTCAGAGATAAGATATTGTCCCGCTGTAAAAAGTATCCTATATGTTGACCCGGATAACCAAATTTCATCAAAATCTGTGCAGTGGTTTTTTCGCGATGCGTTCCCAGACACACAGACAAAAATTCTAAAAACTATAGATTCGGCTTCTGTATCGATAATATAGTTTATTATACTCGTATGTATATAGATTTACCTATGTATATTTTGAGCTTGAGTTTTACTTTTTGTAAGTTTTCCGTTGCTGTCTGTTGACACAGATACAATTATAATCCAAACGTCACTGAACACCAAATATGGCGGCATGATGGCGGCGCGGCAAACGCATTTATTGTGTTGTGTACTCAGTAGTTACGTAGTAGACCAAGTAATTATTATTAAACTAACAGATGGCGCTAGCTCCTTCAATTATTTGAAAATAAAAATGATTATATAACAATTTCGACAATCTTGTCTCGTCTCGAGTCTCGACCCAAAAGTCCCGGGACTCGAGACAACTAAAATTATGAAAAGTCCCGGGACTGCGAGACACGAGAAGTTCCGGGACCTAAACCCTAGTACCTATAGTTCCAGCCCAATCTAATGGTCGCTACTGCTCTCAGCTATTTAATCAAATTAATTATTAATTTCATTATGGGTTGTGAGCACTCCTCTACGGACTAAACTACGGTTCTAAAAGCTAAAATTTGTACCCATACAATTCTCGCTCGCTAAATTATAGATTTTCAGTAAAAATGCAGGTTTCAGGAGTAATAAACATAGAAACCACAATTATACTATATCCCATTATATAGCTAATTTAACCTGAAATTCCTATTTCAGGTACACTATCAGTATTCTACTTATTAATATTCGTCGTCATAAAGGGCTGGCTGTGGGGTATCAACCTGCCGAGCGCGGCGCTGGCGCGCGGCGGCGGCAGCGACGCGGCCGTGCTCAGCGGCATGCTGGCTTTGTCCTTCTATATACATAATATTATCATCTCGGTGATGAGTAATAATGCACGACAGGAGAACAATGTAAGGGTTTTATATAACAGTATTCAGCCCTTTTTAATGTCCCACTGCTGGGCGCGGACCTCCTTTCAATACGAGGAGGACCAGGCCATAGTCCACCACGCTGGACAAGTGCGGGTTGGAGAACTGCACATGTCTTTCGAAAACTTGCTAGGTTCTCTCAGACACACAGGTTTCCTCACGATGTTTTCCTTCACTATAAGACTAGTGGTATTTATGTTGAAAATGATACGCAACTAAAAATATCAGAGGTACGAGACCCGGTATTTGAACCCGCCTCGATTTCCCAAGCGAGCGCGTTCCCACTAGGCTAACACTATCGTTACTTCTACTACCATGTTTATTTACTTATTATTTTATTGATGTGTGTTTGTTAGTGTTTTAGCAGCTGAAAGCTGATATGTTTAGTTGTTATAATCTAAAGAACTTAAAAAAATGTATGATCGAACTACTACTGAAGAGGACTTTAGGCTATTGTAGCTTTAAAAAAACATAATTGAGTAATTAAAAAAAACATTCTAGCTTTTAAAAATTGTGTTTAATATTTTTTACAGGGCAGGGATTTAACAATAGCGTTTATGTTAGTAACTGTAACATACGGTCTAGTCGGCGCCGTCTTCTACATCTGCTTTCCTCTCGCCAAGTCCTGCATAGAAGATGTATGTACATAATTACTAAGTAATTATGATATTTTCATTTTTTACTTGTCCTATTGTATTTATATGCTAACACTTAGAAGTCTGAACGACTTCGCCAGGCAACTTTTCTTTAATTTTACACCAGGAAATACAGTTTCAGTGCAAATTTTGCAAGCCCTTTAGACTTTAGAGGATGAATTATAATTGTACTAGATGCAGTAGTTTTGTCTGGATGTTCAATCAGAATGTCAGAACAATTATGGATGTATATATGTATAAATGATAATGTTCATAATTTCGTGATTTTTAAGCGTTTTGGGAATAAATAATGCTATCAAAAATTTTGGTCCTTCGAGGTTAAAATAAATTCAATACATCACATCACAATCTTTGCAATTTTATACAATACAAGTTATTAATTGTTTTGTTTCTTTCACATTACAGAATATTCTAAATAATTTCGAGATGCACGACGTGATGACTGCTATTGCGAGGATACTGTTGCTATTTCAAGTAAGTTATATTGAAACAATATATGTAAGTGATAAGCATACAATACAATAAATTAGTTATATCGTTATTTTATCAATTTACGCACAATTGTTAAGTACCTTTTTTTTTTTATGATGGGAAATGTATTTACGCATACCACCTGTATACAAACAAGTGGTTATGTAGGACTCACCGGCTAGAGAAGCCAGTACTACCCACTAAAACCCAACAGAACTTCCCCCGTGTTAATGGGGCGTCGCAGGATCGCTTACGCATTCAGCCGCGGTAGGTCGGCAGGTCTGCCGAAGCAGATCACAACAGCCATGGGGTTGCTTCACGGTCCACTCTGCCATTAGAGAAATACCAGGAGCAACCCACATAGCATGCCGTCCGAGGTGGGCCGCCACTCAGTGCGTTTCTTGGCTTCGCGCCCGGCTGGATTGCCGGGCACTACTGAGCCCCCTCTCCCCCAACACGACAAGGTACACGCACATCTGGAGGGCTCTGTACCTACCGCAACACGTTGTCACGTTGAGTTGTCACTACTATATGAGTATGTAATTTATTTATTACTTACCGTATGTGTCCTCATTTGTAAACACATTCAGAATACACAGGGAATATAAGTAGACGGAGTTTTTTGGAGCAAGAATTATGCGTGACCACTTATTTGCATTGAGCATAATAATTCATTTACTGCGCTAAAGGATGATTAAAGCGGTCAACCAAAAAAAAAACATAGTTTTGTCACGTTTTGGCAGTTACCCTTACGAAATGCATTTCATTTCCAAACAAAAAAAACAAAAGTATATGTAAATTAAGCCATGTTTTCAAGTACTCTTACTTGTGCTCGTATTTGTGTTTCTTCAACATTCTACGTGTACTAGGTATACATTTAAATATGTCTTATAAGTTTGAAACCAAAAATAAAACAACGTAGTCGTAGGATATACAGGGTCATTTTTAATTTACTGAAAACCTTTTGGGAATATACTATTTACATCATAACAACAACATCTGTAACAAAAAATAATATTTCTTAAATTTTTATTTTCATACAAAAAAAAATTTTCTTTGCACCTTCTACACTTTAAAGTTCTAGCATCTTTTTTTTTTTTTTTTTATAGTTGGGAAATCCTATTACGGATACCACCCGACTTCCCCCGGGGTGGTTATGTGGAGACTCTCCGGCTAATGAGACCGGCATACCCACTAAAACCCAATTTCCCCCCCCTGCCGACATGTGGGACGCCACGGGATCGCTCTCGCATACAACCGCGACGCCCCGACGGTTGGCCAAAGCCACCAACCATGAGGCCGCCCCAAGCGGGACAACCTCATTATGGGAAGACTATCAACCCAAGAAGAAGTGAGGCCGCTCCTAAGTCCACTCTGCTGATCAGAGAAGTACCCGGAGCAGCCCCACACCACACAAACACCGCCCACCGAAGTGGGCAACCTGCAAAAATAATAAACCCCACCCAAATTGGGCAAACCCCCCAAAGACGCCCGCGAACGAGCCCAAACACAAACGGCTGCAGGAGAAGAGGGTCCGACAACGCCGACACTCCCCTTCCCCTGCAGCCCCACCGCGTCCACCATCAACGGTGGTGGCCCCGTTAGGCCGCGGGAGATAGGGACGAGCGGCGCATCGCCATACCGACACTCCTCTTCCCCCGCGGCCCCCCTACCGTCGGCCCACCTCCGGACCAAAATGGCTGCCGACATCCCTCGCCATACGCAGGACCACCGAAATGGCCCCGCTCCAGCCGCCGCACCGACGGGCTAGCCCCGGCAGTGTGGCCCGCGCAGCACCTCCTACCGCAAAACGGCCGGAGACACCGCGCTACCTCCAAGAAGGAGACGGCGCCCTCTAACGCCGCTCCCTCAACCTCCCCTCCTGGCTGTTGGTCCGCGCCGGATTGCTCCGGTACCACAAGCTCCTGTTGGGGCCAAACAGGCGCGAGTGGTGTTCCCCTATCCGCCACCCGGGGACGCGTCCGGTAGAGGTCAGCCTCTGCCCCGGAAAAGTTCTAGCATCTGGCCAAGTTTATATGAGTGAACGCGGCTTCCTACACCCCTCCCCCTCCACCGGACACGCACTTTCTTTTGCTAATTCTGGACTATTACCGTTGAGAAGGTGCAATAAAATTATTTTTATTTTTGTTAAATTTAAGATATATTTTTTTTTCTTACAGATGTTGTCTTATGTTGTAAATAGTGTATTCTCAAAAGGTTTTCAGTAAATTAAAAATGACCCTGTATATGAGGTGTGACCACTTGCCGCTGACCAGTGTCGTGCCCCGCGCAGGTGATCACGGTGTTCCCGCTGATCGTGTTCATGCTGCGCGCGGCGGCGGCGCGGCTGAGCGCGCGCGCCGCCGCGCCGCGCGCCGCGCTCGCGCTCAACCTCGCCGTGCTCGCGCTCTGCATCGCCGTCGCGTGTCTGTGCCCCAATATTGGGACTATCATCAGGTATTGGTTTTAACTTTATAATATACTAGAGACTCGCCCTCGCTTTGCTCGGATTCGTCCCAAGCTTGCTTCCCCATACAAATTTTCATCCCCATTTTCGCCCACGTAAGGGATGATTTCCGGGATAAAAAATCCTCCTCATCATCATCATCTTATGTCCTTCCCAGGGTCTCAAACTATCTTGTTACCAAATTTCATCTAAATCGGTTCAGTAGATCCAGAGATTACCCCTTACAACGTCACAAACTCACAAATCACAAACTTTACCTCTTTATAATATTAGTATAGATTAGTATAGAAGACCAATTGTTACCTTGTTATATTCAGTTATTCTTTATGCTTCGGATTTTCGTAAAAAATTCGATTCCACTGGAATAGTGACCCACAGTTTTTTCTTTACCGAAACTTTCGTATTAATATAACACTTGTACTTATTATAGTAATCCGACTAGTTTTCGTCTGTAGCTGCGCTCGTAAAAAATATGTAGGTAAAGCATCTTCCATTTCGAATTTAGGTCAAATCTGTTATGACTTAGGGCAAAATGAACAAACATATTCACTTAAAAACTTACGCTATTGTATTAGTATCAATAATGTAATTTGCTGTGAAAATAAAATCATATGAATTTAATTTATTTTTTCAGATACATGGGCGCGGTCAGTGGGCTCGTGCACGTGTTCGCACTCCCCGCACTCTTACAGATGCGTTCACTGCAGATCCGCGGCAAACTGACCATATGGAAAGGAATCTTTTACTCTCTTATTATAATATTCGGTTCAGTTAACCTGATAATGCAATTCTTTATTGCTTAATCGGGTATTGGTTAATTAAAATTGGTCCGTAGGTCCAACGAAAACAACATACATAGCTCGCCCACTAAACGAGCACCGAGTTATGTTAACTAATTCCATTTTGATTTAAATAATATAATAAATGTTATATTAACATTTTTACTCGCTTTACAAATTTCGTTTACATACAAAATTTGATGGTCTTGAGAATAATATGCATTCTACTAGGAAATTATCAGAGCTCTTATAAATTTTTTTCAATATTAAAGCTCGAAAAGCCATTTTGCAAAGCGTGCTACCTTAATATTTGAATACTTATGATTTGAATCCTAAATAAAAATTAAATTTATGATCGATGATACGATCAATTTCATGAGGGTATTGCTCAGTCCATTTTCTACGTCCAAGTGATATGCAGAGTCTAATCACTAACGCTCTGTCCACACTGCGATATTTCACCGCACGTTTTTTTTCTCGAAATTCTGTAACACATTGAATCTTATAGGAATATCTGCACTTGCGGTTAAAAATTCACGCGGGAAAAATCTGTAATTTGATGCAAATTGAACGCGATACGGTGTGGATTTCTCAAGGTTATAAATGAGTGAATCCAATGTTCATGACATTTTTTGATAGTTCTATCACGCTACCGCCGCCACCATAGTATCAGCTAAATTATTTTTTTTCTGTTATTCATTTTAAGACGTTCGTCTCAGCCGGAAACTACATCGAACTGACAAAAGTCGTACGAAATTTTATTCTCAGTGCGTAATAATTTCGATCACAGAATATAATACGTGAGAATAAAAATCGCACGGTCACATGTCGCAGTGCGGACAGGGCCTAATAGTAATCGTATTCACGCACAGAAATTGTTCTTGTAATAATATTGAATTGCAAAGCCTTTTGCAGCACACTTCAGAGTGACAGTTCTGATGACAGTTTTAATATTGATTTGAAGCTTTTTAAATCTATGACGTATTAGTATGCTGCAAGTAAAATTATCACTTTAAAATATAATTTAATTCATAAAATAATAATTGTTTTATGAATCTCTCCGTGCAATAAAGAACGTATATTACGTTCTATTCCTTTTATCTTTTACTTGTTAATTTAGTCAAAAATACGACAAACACTAGTTATTTTTTAAAAAACTTTGCAATTATAAATTTTGTCAATATTTAAAATAAACGTCCTTAATAACTATTCATCTTCAAGATCTTCAATTTTTTTATAATTTTTTTTAATGTTAAATTAAAAAAAAATACCTGACAATTTGATTTATTAATCTCACAAAATAATAAGCAAATATGATCGTGTATGTTTTAAATAAACTGGTCTTTATTTATGTAATCAAAAGGAATTTTTTTTATCTATAAGTATTAGCTTTAAATGGATGAAGTGACGACATACCAAAGACATGTTACTTTATATATTAATATGTACATATGTTTAAGCTCGTGTTTAATCTAGTCAATAACACAATAAAACCGCTATTTTAAAAATTTTGTTTTATTTCATAAATATATAACAATAATATAACAAAGTAAAAAACGCTTATATTTACATATTTAATTTTTTCCCTTATAAATATTATTAAAACAAATAATTAACACCAATCGTAGTATTGTATATAAAAATAATAATTGTGGTGTAAATGTCTATGTTACTTGTATTTTTTTTATAATTATCACCTTTATTAGTAACTAACACACAAAAACAGTCCGTTTTTGAAATTATATTTCTTTTGGGATGTTTGAAAAATATTATAAGAGTAAAATTTATACGATGCGCGCGCACACCGACAGCCAAAAAGCGACACAATGAAGTTAGCTGATAACTGTTTGTTGCCATGGTAACCGTTGTTATTACCTGACAAATGATATATAATATTATATTCTTTCCTTAAATATATGATTGTAATATGCGTTACTTAATTAATTTATCATTCCTTTTACAAATAGAGTTGTGACATACGGGATGAAATTTTTAGCTATTTTTGTTCTGTTACGCCAAAGAAGTATAACTTCTTGCGTGCGTACATAAGAACACACTAGTTTTTTTTTAATTTCTCGTAAATTTTTTACTTTTCAGTCCATTTGTTTTATGTAAATATTTAAAAATATGGATATTAAGTAACCATTAATAATATAAAACAATTTTAATTATATTACACAATTATAATTCCCATTTCTAATCAATAAAACTAAAAAATATTTTTGCTGCTAACGAAAATTAATAAAAAATATATTATTATTGAATAAATTATATTCATAAATATTACGAAAATTGGGTATTTCTTCATACTTATTATTAATTTCATTTATTTCACATTCCCACAGAATACAATTGTATTCTTAAAAAGAATTATTTAATTAAACTATTTTTAGGAACATTTAAAATATAATCTGTGCACATAACCTCTAATTTTGGCGCGAAAATCGATTTTCTATTTTAACATAAAAAGGGTACAGGCAAAGAACAGGGAATTTCCTAATGAATTGATTATGAGAAAAAAGCAATTTAAAGTTTAGAAGTATAATTTTTATTGAGATCAAAGTATGCAGTAACTTTAAACTATGTACATTTTTGGACAATCCTCGTTCTTTACTTTAGTTTTATTTTAGCGACATCTGTTGAGTATTTGTAAAAACCAGTGATTGGGAATGCAAGTACCATAGACATAGATTTGTTACCAGTACAAAACAAAATTTTTGACATTCCCTGTTCTTTGTCTGTACCCTTCGTATGACATAGACCTTATTTATTTTTTATCTGCATCTTTTTTTTACATTATGTGATGACAGTAGGCGCATCCCTTCCTGTGTATTTTTGTAATTGGGAAATTTCCAACGCGACCTTTATCAATGGCCGCAGCATGTCCTGCGCGTCGCCGAGTACGTCCATATCTTCGTACGAGTCTATGTATAATCTGTGGAGAAATATGTATATATGTTTATAATAGTATCTATCTTTTTTTATTAATAATGAGTATAACAATTACCGCTTATTGCGAAGTCGGTGTATGAATAAAATATCTAATAGTACCTGACGGTGGCGCCGGAGCTGCCGGTGCCGCTGAGGCGCAGCACCACGCGCGACCCGTCCTCGAACACTATGCGCAGACCCTGCGGAACGCATCACTACATAGTATAAAACAAAATCGCTTCCCGCTGTCTGTCTGTCCTTATGCATGCTTAGATCTTTAAAACTACGCAACGGATTTTTTATAGATAGAGCGATTTAAAAGGAAGATTTATATGTATAATACATGCATATTATAGTACAGAAAAGATCGAGATCGAGAAATTGAAAGATTTGTATTTCATACTAACCGTTAAAACCTACCTAGGGACGAACCCGAGTGAAGCGAGGGTGAGTCGCTAGTTTATATGAAGTTAAATTAAAATAATTTTTACATAACACAAGTTAAGTTATTCGGTCTGTGGGTTGTAATAAAACAACGTTTCGCGTCAAAATGATAAGTACAACTAACTTTATTTTCTTATTTTCTACGGTTTTTATTTTATACATGAGTGTGGTAGTGTGTGTGTGTGTGTTTGTTCCTAAAAAAAGGACAACCCACTTGTCTTACATGTGCACTGTTTATAATAACAGATCCTTTTGAGAAGGATTTCTAAAGAAACGATACATTTAATAGCAAAGATCATTCCGAGAAGGAAATCTAAACAGCCCACGTGTTGGGTTACTTAACTCACAACAAATTATAATTTTTACGCGGGCAACTTCACAGCCAAAAAAAGTAATTGATACATATCTTTTAAATAAAACTATCTTTTCGGACTATTTCGCGGATCTATTTTGATTTTTGGTTCCCTACGTTTCGAATGCTTTACAGCGATCAGGGAGAGATTAAGTTTTATTTAAAATATCAAATTCGCGTTAATCTAAGAAGACATTGATACATACCTGTTTCATGGCAACACTGCGGTCCACGGGGTCCATGTAGGAGAAGTTGTCGGCGTGGGCCACGGTGTAGGCCTTCCCGCCGGCGGAGTGCCGCGAGCCCACGAAGCCCGGCGATGTCATCTTCTTCTCCAACTCTTGCATCATTTCGTTGCAAGGGTCGCTCGGGCATTCCTCGTAGTCGTATCTAGAGCGGTACATACAAAAAATGAATAAATAATTATTTATTTCATGCCATTTCAAATTTCCAATTGAAAAACCCTATTGATTTTCATCGTTTGGGCCAGATATAATAATTTTCTCCTGGCCAATATCGGCGACCATTCTCTCTGAGACTACACTGTAGCGCAGCACGTGTGAGAGAGAGCGCAAACACAAGTGCTCTCTCTATTTCTGTCACTCTCATACCCCGGTGGGAAGGCTGCTCAACACGACCGGTGACCGGTCAGGAGCAAGAACTTTCCGTTTTGACTCTTCGTGTTCTTTGAGAGACAACTTCCCAACTCTGGGCTGTTACAAGGAAATTATTGATAAAAAACTCAATAACTATACTTGGTTCCTAGAACTAGACCTAGACCTTCCTGATAACCGTGTTCTTCAACGACGATACCACTAGACCAACGGACAAGATACACCTGACCAGGTACCTAAGCCATACCTAGTAAAGTAGTTCCTGCCATACTTCTTCCAGTGGGCCTCCAGCAGGCCCTGCACGGAGGGCGTGGGCGTGGGCGCGGCGGCCAGCACGGCCAGCCAGGCCAGCGCGGCCCACACGCCGTCCTTCTCACGCACGTGGTCCGAGCCCGTGCCGAAGCTTTCCTCCCCGCACAGGGAGAGCCGCTCCGCGTCCATCAGGTTGCCGAAGTATTTCCACCCTGGGTTTGTAGAAAGATGTTAATGATTAAATGAGATTTTAATTCGAGACTAGTTCAATTAGATATGTACATGACAATACAATACAATAGTGTTGAGTCTTATTGCTAACTTTAATGGTTGTAAATCAATCCCAGAGATTTGAATTCTAGGTCCAGCCAAAAAAACGTTACAGAAAATTGATTACAATATTATTATTATTATTGAAATTGGGTTTGATTGTAATTCAGTATTGTGGTAGCTTGCTTGATTTTTAGATTTTATCAAATAATTATTTTTTAACTGAAATGTATTGATCTGCAAAATTAAAATTAATCATTTTCCCTTTCGAGGTAGATTTTTTTTTTAAATTTATGTAGGGATGAGATGACTCATATAAATTTCAATTGGTACCCCTTCAAGGTGCAATCTACTAATTAAAAATAGTATCATCAAAAACGGTTTTCAACGTAAGTAAGATCTTTAACAACAATAAATGTCAGAATTGAGTATTTCTTTCTTCTTTGAAACCAAAATTGAATTTCTTAATTGAGACCTATCAGGACTTTACTTTACCCAGGCTTCATCCAAGCTGTCCACACCTTAAAAAACCCTCAAACCAGCACTCACCAGTAGGCACTTGGAACATCTCCTTCCCCAGGTCCTGGGCCACGCGGTCCACCGCGGCCGCCGTGGGCATGGACCGCGCAAAGCCGCGAACACCACGCCGCTGGAAGTACGGGATGAGGTGCAGGTGGACCGCCAGCACCGCCAGCGAGTCCGATGGAGTCACGAAGAACGCGTCGCGACCGATTATCATATTCCTGTCACCTGTGGACCGGGAGACGTTTATAAAAGAAAGTATTATCTTTTACTGACGAATAACCATAGAGAGACAAAACTCATATTAAAAAAATCCCCGTGTATTATCATTTTTTTTTGTAGTTTGATACAGAAATGTCTAATAAGGTAAATGATAATATACAAAGAAATGATAAAGGTTCCGTCTTTGAATTCTGCCTAAGCTTCCAAGATTATGTTTAATTAGATTTAAATTCCATAATTATACGTTTATATGGAACAGTAGTGGTTACATTTCGAGTATTTTTCTATATATTCGGCCCTTATTAAACGTCCTATGGGCAAAGGCCCTTTTTAAAGACCAACCATAGTCCACTACGCTGGCGAACTTTATAAGTCTTTCGAAAACTTGCTAACTTCCCTCAGACATGCAGGTTTCTGCATGGTATTTTCCTTCACCGTAAGATAAATGGTAATTTTGTTGGAAATTATTCGCACATGAGAATGTCAGAGGTGCGAGATCCGAGATTCGAACCTGCTTTACTTGGTTACACTCGCTTTCACTATTCCTCGCTCATTTATTATATTTCAAAAGAGACCAAATGGTCTCTCATCTCATCATCGCAATAATAACCCAAAATAGCTCACCATCACCATCAAAAGCAGCTCCGAAGTCGTAATCCCCCTCCTTCACAGCATTCACCAGGTCTGCTGCATAGGTCAGGTTGGGGTCAGGGTGTGCTCCCCCAAAGTCTTCCAGAGGTATGATCCTCCTTACATTGTCTTCGGTAGCCCCTAATTCGTCTATGAAGATACGTTTCACATATGGTCCGGTTACTGCAATGATAACATATGTTTAGGAAGTCTAGGTTTATATTTTTATGATTATGCAAATAAGTTAATATTTGCTATCACAATATTTTTTTCTGATCAGTACTTTTAATTTTTTTTATTCTGTTTGGTGTACACCGTTCTGGACTGACTGAGACCGAATCTAGGGCTGAGAAATCCTAACATGTTATGTATGTTGTAGGACGATTTAGCCACTCAATTACGCATATTTTTAATAATAAAAACTATGAAAATCAGGCAGCTATTAATACATTTTGACGTTGTTATTTTAACATGTTCAGAGATGGGAATGATTTGATCCGAATAATCTATTTTATCTCCCGTGACCATGATTGCTGTAAAGTATTCAAAACGTCAGGAACCACAAATGTAAATAAATCCGCGATTAGACCCGAAACGATAGTTTTTAAAATATCAAATATTCGCGTAAATCTAAGAAAGTATTATCGTTCTAAAAGTTATATTTTTACTATTGAGAGTGAATTTTGTCATAAAAATCGGATTGTAAATTGCGAAGCTATCACGCAAAATGTACAGTGTACACCTGAATTGTACCTTCTCTTTTTTGAAATCGGTCAAAATATTTACTTACCTCCGTTCATAGAATCTATGAGAACTTTGAAAGGCTTGTTTTGGCCAGAGCCTTGCAGAAGAGACTTGATCTTAGGGAAATCGAATATCTCCTTCATATAATCCACATAGTCTTTCACAGAGTCTATTACTTCCACAACAAAATCATGATCCTCTACCTACAAAAGTGATATCAATTAACTTTTATTCCTTCTCAGGGTCTCAAACTATCTTCTTACCAAATTTCATCTAAATCGGTTCAGTATATCCAGAGATTACTCCCTACAACTTCACAAACTCACAAACTTTACCTCTATAATATTAGTATAGATAAGAGGACACAAAATTTTCTGTTTCGCTAAAACTTTTGATATAAGTAACATCTACTGTAAAAATGTGTAAGTCTGGATAGTCTGTGTAAGTGTGTTAGTCTGTAACGTGATCTTCGAAATATTTATAATTTCTTTCATCAATATTTAGAAAGGAGCTAAAGGGTGACCATGGGCTCTATATCCTGTTAAAAAAAGAGCTTGTGTGTTGAGACTAATATTCAAGGTGGTTAATGAAAAAAATCAACACAAAGTAATCGGGGAATATTATGTATGTAATACTTTGCAGAATTTTATTACTAAAAATAATTTCTTAATGTTGGATACTTTAATCAATAAATAGGCTATATTTAAAAAAAATCTTATCAGTCTGATAGTTTTTGAGATAGGCGCGATTAAAGCAAGAAACAATATTCTACATACTTTATTAGTTTAGACAACATTTTTTTTTCATTATTAAATGATACTTACTTTAAATCTGTTAATAGCAATCTTCTCTATATCACATTTAATGTCCGGCACAATTTTATACTGTTTGATGGTGGTGGTAAGTTGGTAGATCTCGTTGGTGGTGCCGTCTGGGGCAGGCCCACCATTGCTGCAGTTAAACTTAATACCAAAGTCGTTGTTGATGCCTCCAGGATTATGGGAGGCAGTAAGTATAATTCCACCTGGTTTGTATTATAATGATGTAATTGTTATACATGTTTGAATGATGTTTTGTTATACAATAATTGTTATTAAGTTAAGGGAGTATTTTTGTATCCATTTTTGTTATTATGAATTAAATTAATAAATAAAGTATCCATCCGTAAGCAACATTTATTTTGCATTCCCTTACATTCCACGGAGAAACCTTATAAAGCACTATATAGTATCCCAGGAGAACTTACGTCTTTTCTAACGACATTTAAGAAGAGTTGGCTAAATCCTCTAATGTCATAAGTAGTCTCAAAAACATATTTTATTTCACTAAAATATTTCTTTTCTTTTAAATATATTAGTGTTTAATCACATGGTTAAAACATGAAAATTTAATTATTTTAATAATGATTTCTAAAAAAAATCATTTATGTATTAATTAATGTATAGGCTAAATTAGTTCAAAAAATGTTTAGTGTTTACTGCTAAGCTGACAACAATTTGATCTATATTTTCATTGTATTCAAATACCCTATTTTGCTTTAATCTCAGTGTAGGTACAAAAATTTTAAATAAACTGGAAGGACACTGGATTTTTATTTAATAAGTGACCAATAACATAATATATATCTAATCATACTACTTATATTAAATACTAGTTTATCTCTATAATTTTGCCAATATTTATTATTTTTCTTTGAATTTAAACCAAATTGCAGGCCCTCATTCTATATAAGCATGTTGATTGGAAATTGTAACATATATGTTGACATTTATGTATAGTAATAGCATAAAGTCGAAGAATACTATAAGCATGGTTTTTAGATGTGATATTTCTAATACTTTTACTGACTTATATTTTTCTTACTAATTAATTGTTAATATAAGATATTTAAAACCACAACTTTCCAGGGAAACTATATATTTCAATTAGGTAATTGTTATCTTAAATTATCTGTTATCACACTCATACAATAATTTAACGTAATCTTTACCTAGAGTTTGATATTTTCTGATAATATGTGATACAGCAGGTGTAGAAAGGATCCCATTCTGACCCACTAAAAGCTTTGAAACCTACAGAACAATAATTTAATTATTTAAAAATATTATTTTACTTACAAGTATTTAATAAATGTTAAATCTAGGCTAATAAATATTATATATACATGTTTCCAGTTATATAATAATATTGGTAGTATAAAAATATATAAAATAGTGTGTAGAGTCATAATATTTATTTTATAACAATAATATATAATAAAAATAGTTATCTTGACACATTGTTGAAAGAATGAAATGCAAGTAGGAACTACTTAATAAAAACTTCCAAAGAATTTAGTAACTAAATGATGAAGTTTAAATTTTTCAAATTCTAAGTAGGTACTCACCCCATTTCCAGCAGATATTTTGATAATTTTGTCCACAACCTCTTTGACCAAGTATCTACCATCACCTCCTACAACCAGAGTGGAACCAACAATTGCATCTTTATTGGCATCCAAAATACTTTGAATAAAGTTTTCCGTATAGTTTTCTTGAAGAAAAACCTTTACTTTTTTACGTAAACCACTTGTACCCGGCTTTTGACCCTCATAGGGGTTTGTATTAACCACTACCACATTGGACATGTTTTTATGAATGAAAGAATATTCTAGGGATATATTTGAGTTGTCTAGGAGAAGTGTAAGTAAAAAATGTACTTGATATCGTAGTTCAAAAGGTCAAATTAAGCGCGAGAGAAACGGCAATACTTGACTGCTGTCAACGCAATGTCAAGCAAGGTCGCTGGTCGACTAATACAGTCTTCGACCTTCGTTCCATTTTACGAATATTCAATTTTATATTTTTAAAAATATTTTTTATAAAATTATCATTACGTGTATACAATCAAATTATGAATAATCTGCAAAGTTTTATACATTTATTTTTTATTACAAATTTATAAAAAAATATATGTTTGCTAAATCTATCTCTTCTTAGTTTTATACATTTAAACTAATTTGCTAACTATACATAGCTTATATTTCTACAGCATTTGTCAACTTTCATATTATTTCCTCTGCTAAATAACTAATACAGTAGGTACATTAATATTTCTTTTCTGCACAACAAAATTGCTATGAATATCGCGTTACGTCATAGACTCAGTCACAGCCGGCTGAATAAAAACTGCAGCCGGCATTCATTAATTAACACTTGATTTTGTTTTATTTATTTTAAATTATAAGTAAACTCTAATTCTTACTTGAGATTAAATAGCCATGTCTAATGTTGTATTTTCTGTTATGAAATCGTTATTTTTAGTAGCATTGACTAAGTATATACTTACAGCAAAACAATTGAACATTTTAACATGAAAATTACCAATTTTTTTATGCTTCTGGTATTAAAATGTGTCAATTATTTTCTTACTCACCTTGAGGAGGGTCATTAAATTTAATTTTCGTAAAATTATATTCATTCACGCTAAACATACTTCTTCCTATTCGATTTACTAAGTAACTAACCTAACCTTGTAATATTTTTTTCTCTGTGTGAATCCTTAGTTTTTAGTGCATTAAGAAGCGAATCATAATTCTAACATCTTCCATACTACCTGGTACTAACTACTCATACTAGTATAGTGCAATGTAGTAGACAAGCAACTGAATAATAAGCTACCAAAAAGGTTTATTTCATAACTTGAATATCCAAGCTTGAAACTGATAAGGCGCATCCTTTTAACACCTGGAAGATGCTACAAATTAAAAAAAAACAACAAATAAGTTTATCTGTGAGTTTGCAATCTATGCGATAAATACCAGTTATTAAAAAATTTATGAAAATTATTGAGAAGTAAAAATGTATAACGACATGGTTGTGGTGTTATACTAATGTACTTACCTATTATTTAAAACGAGATTATTAATATGTGGGTACGCTACAACACATGATATGTAAATATTTTTTTATTTTTTTTCGTCACTAATATTATATACACCAAATTTTGGTAAACTAAAATATAATGATGTGATGAAAGCGTGAACTAAATTCGTGTTCAATTATGCGATTACAGAAAGCGTAACTAGAAAATAAAGACGTATCACGTAACTGCAGTATCACTTCACCTAGATACTTAATGCATTGTATTGGCAGTAATAAGATTTTAATTTTTCCCTAGTGGCTATTTTTGGAACTAACAACAGCTGTTTACAGTACTATCTTCTTAACAATATTACGTATCGGTTCCAATAACTTCATCGACTGTGGGTAATTTATAAATGTATACCCACTGTATTAAAACATTATGCACGTGGTATATGGTGATTTTATCAGTCAAAAAGTTAGATGTATATTTTAATTATTCTAAAATAAATCCTATTACCTATAACAGAAAAGTAAAATAATATTCTCGTAATAATAGGGTCACGGCGGTTAGGTATAAAATGATATGTTTATTATACATACTAAAACTTCATTTAAGTATCACTAAATAGTGATACTAAATGATATTTTTATAAAAATAATATAAAAAGTACATACACCTCATGAGTCACGTATCTTGTTCGGGGCCCTATAGCTTTTTGCTTTTCTAAGGTTCCATCGTGCCTTACAAAGAAAAATAACTTATGTACTTACGCACGTAAGAAGTTATACTTCTTTGACGTAACAGAACAAAAATACCTAAAGATTTCATCCCGTATGTCACAATTCTCTGTTTGTAAAATGAATGTAGCTAACTTCATAATGTCGCTTTCAGCTAACTTCATCATGTCGGTGTTTGGCTGTCGGTGTTCGCGCGCATCGTAAAAATTTTACTCACATATATTTTTCCAAACGTGCCAAAAGAAGTATAACTTCAAAAAAGAGAATCCTAATATCCTATCTTATGAGGGGTCTATCTATCCGTTCCTCAGTCTCAAAATTTTTTCTTCCAATCGATTTAACAGAAAAGTTGCGAACAGTTGCGAATGTGTATTGTGTACTGCAAGACATGAATCCTAATTTTGGGAATTACTTTAGGGGGTCAAACTAGAAAATTAAAAAACAAAAACAGAAAAACTTAAGGGTTCTTTATAAGAAATACAATACAATAAATTATTAATTACATGTTTAGGAAAGTGTGCCAAAAATAGCCTATCCTTCTGTCTTATCATTGGAACTAGTATTCTCGAAAAAATCTAGTTATTGTAACCTTTTTTCACGAAAAACCTAATGGATATAGGACCCTTACTTTCTTTTATTTACAAAAAAAACATTATCTTTTATTTTATTTACAAGACTTTGTATAAAAGAAATAAACTGATATTGTTAGAAAATATTAAAAGTAATAGGTACCTAGTAGCTTTGAACCAATTATGCCTTACCAAGAAAACACTAAACTTGTTATGAAGTAAAAAAATATATATTTATGTGGTCTTTTTATTATGTTCGTTTGTATTTATCGAGCTCATCTAATAATAAAGCTAGGCACTAACAACTTCATAAGTTCCACAGACCACTATCTATGGCAGAGCTCTTGAACGGAAAATTTCGCTTTCACTTTGGACTCATAAAGTTTGCTATCAAATCAAAATGATGATGATGATGATGATGATGATGATGTTCTCCTAGCCGATTCCGGCTACGGCGGCCAATCTCATTGAGATTAGCCAACTGCGCAGGAGATATTATAGTGCACAAGTGTACGCGCAGACACAACGTGCTCTCTCTATTCCTGTCACTCTCATACTCCAGTGGGACGACTGCTTGACACGACCAGTGAGAGTTAAGGCGCAGGACCGACGGCTGTACGTGCTATCCGAGGCAGGGGGTGAAACACCGCCAGCTTCCCAACTCCGGGCTGTGACTGAGACTTACTATACAGAAAGACTCAATAACTACACTTGTCCCGACCCGGGACTCGAACCCAGGACCTCCGAGTGTGCAGCCATACATGCTAGCCACTACACCACCGAGGCAGTTAATATACTATATTTAAATAGTCAAAATATACTATATTTAAATAGACTTTCAGAAGCACTTTTGAATGGTCAATTTTATATTATCCTATGACAAATCCCGTAAATGACATTTGGTAGAGGGTCTAGCGATGAAAACGAGGTCAATAATGGAATTCTTCAATTTTTCAACCGACTTTCAAAAAGGAGGAGGTTCTCAATTCGGCTGTATGTTTTTTTATGTTTGTTACTACTACGTATACATTAAAAAAGGAAAAATAAAAACCGACTTCAGAGAAAGCACTAAAAAGTAAAAAGATAACTGGTGTGCTTTGCTTTATATGGTTGGCACCGACTTCGAAAATATTTGATTAGGTATGTACAGTAAATGAAAACAACCAATCAGTAATTTTTTTATTTTTTATTGCTTTTTTTTGAAGTCGGTTTTTATTTTTTTGCTAAAAAGTTTTTTTTACAAATTTAGATACATAAGGCGTGTTTTTAAACTATAATCATTATTATACGAACAAGAGAGTAGGTGTAATTATTTCTGAGTCGCTTGACATTATACAACTAACTATTAACATAGCATAACCTTGATTTTTAAACTCATAATTTTTGAATAATTATACATTTTTTGTCTGACCAAATGGATTTTGTTTTTTTTTTTGTATTATATGCTCATTACTAATCTTGATAAGCTTGTATTTACTGTAGAGTAGGTAATTGCGTGAATAGGTAGGTACCTATACGATAAAATGCACTTTATATCATACCCGTGGCAATTTTTTATCTTTAATATTAAATTCTAAAATAAAATCCACCGTTTGTGTTGTAATAAAATTGAATTTCATTTTATTCAGACTTTTAAAGGCACTGTTTCTGATAAAGTAATCTATTTTATTCTCTAGGTACTAATAAGCTTGACTTTGTAAATATGTATTTTAAATTGTAATATGAACAATAGTTTTAATAAAATGCCAAATATTAAGCTGTTATTACACGATTTATACATACAAATCTTCTTCACTTTTGACCGACTTAAAAAGGAAAGGACCAATTCAATTCAGCTTTTTTTTGTAAATATGATTTTTTCATTTATATATTGTACCTAGCTCGATGGTGGTCTCACATATATTTAAAAAAATACGTCCCTGTAAAGACTACTAAGTGATTTTGAATTCAGTGTCTTTTTTATCTGTACAATTTTTTTTTAAATCTTATTATCGATACAGAGGCTATAGTTTTTAAAATTTTTGTCTGTCTGTCAGTGACCGCATCACGAGAAAACCACTGGACAGATTTTGATGAAATTTGGTGTGATGATAGCTTATATCGTATATATATATATATATAGTGTTATCCGGGTCAACATATAGGATACTTTTTACTGCGGTAAAATATCTCATCTCTGAGAAATCTATACTAAACGTTAAAACGTAAACAGGGACGACCCCAACCGAAGCGAGGGTGAGTCACTAGTTATAAATAAATATATCATTTTTTTGAAAGAACCTGTCGAGTTTTAAGAATTCCTAAAAAAAAGTGTCATCAACATCGGTGTAACAATCTTGACGTAAATTTAACGAAGGCAAGAACGCGACTTTCGCAATTCTAATAACATTAATTCAACATAAATAATATAATTCTTACAAACCGTACCAAACAACTACACAGCGAACTGTTACCGTATAAGTGATTTAGTTGAAGTCTATTTTTATGGATGGTGGTTGTGTTTGTTACAAGTGCTTGTAAATAATAATATATATGATTTTTTTCTATTGAAAAATTATGTAAGTAATTTTTCTTACGATATGTTCTATAGATCAATTCTTTACTTTACAAAGGGTTGATTTTTCGATCCTCATATGTAGAGTACCCTATGTATTTTAAAATAAATAATAATAATAGTAATTAACTAATACCTGACTGTATAATAATGTGTAATCAGGCCATTTTATTTATACAACTTTTTTTTGTTTATATTGGTTTTTAATATATATTTTTATATAATTATATTTTTTCTCTTTTTTCTTTTAATCTGCTAATAAAATAATTAAGCCTTTAATCTCTGCTAATAATATATGATTAATGATATATTCACAAAAATCATTATTTTATTGCCAAATTACAATTTCAATTAGTATATTTTAATAAATTTAATTATTGACCAACTTTAAAAATAAGGGATATCATTGCCAATTAGGTGGTCCTATATGAACTATAATAATAGGTATTTTTAAATTAAAAATCTACGCCAATGGTATAACAAGTGATTTTGAATTCGCATTTTATTAAAAAGTATTTTTTTTCTATTTGCATATAAATGACGCACTTGAAATGTAATTAAATATAATTAATTGCATTAGTATCTAGGAACTAACTAACATAACTTTGTTATTTTTAATTGAACACAGTGATTCTGTCAAATATTTTACTGGTAGAAACACATTTAGCCTCTTAGTTCAGTCATTATTTTACTTTAAAATATATGGGATGGTCTTCTCTTATTAATTTTTTTACCTGCATAAAAATCTTCTGCATTTCTATCCAAGGTAGGGTCCCATAGATAAATAGATAAAAAGTAACTTAAATATTAGTAACTTAGTAACTTATACTCATATATATTTTATCTTAATAAGTTTCATATAATCTAAATTCAATAATATTACAATAACAAAACTGTATCAGTGGAAAACTACCTAATAAAGTAAATTAAATTCATTATGTGATTTAATGACAGACAACGCGCAGTCTAAACTGTTGGCTAGAGAACAGAGTCCCTTAAACATAAACAAAGGTATAAACTAAGGAGAGATTTTTGAAAATTCACGTCGTAAAGGGTTTAAAAGAAAGTTTCTATAATAATATTACAAATATAAATAGATTGATGAACAAAATTCTTTTTATGTTGCCGGTACGAAATCTTATCGAGTTAACTGCTTGAAGATAATTAAGAAACAATAACATTTTTTTTTTTATAATTAAGCCATTCATATAGAACGTAATTTTTTCAATTAGGTATTCATTTTTAATAATAGTTAATCAACTCGCTATAGATAGAAGGCCGACCGGTTCGGCTTTTTACATAATCAAAAAATATGAATGCAAACTTCGTTATAATAATTTAAAACAAATGTTTTAATGTGTCAATTTTCCAACAAGAAAATATTACGTTTCCAGCTTTACTCGAGCGTGGATTAGGTAACCCTTGACTGCGAATGAGCAGTAATAGTGTACATAGTGCAGGTGATGCAACAACCCGTTAGAATGTTACCTGTCAAGCTTCCTTGTTTCAACTGATCCATTATATTTATTATACTAATATTATAAAGAGGTAAAGTTTGTGAGATTGTGAGTTTTTGATGTTGTAGGGGGTATACTCTGGATCTACTGAACCGATTTGATGAAATTTGGTAAGAAGATAGTTTGAGACCCTGAGAAGGATAGATAGATATATAGAGGATTAGATGGGATACTTTTTTCTCGGAAATCATCCCTTAAGGATATCAAAATGGGGATGAAAGTTTGTATGGGGAATCAAGCTAGGAACGAACCCGAGCGAAGCGAGTGTGAGTCGCTAGTACTTATTAAAATAAACTGGGCTTCACTTTTGTTTTCATTCACAACAATGTAGGACGATTCATGTTTTAAGTTTTATTTCAAAATACTGGCCCAGTCATATATCAAGTAAAGATTTTATCTATATGTACTTCTATACCAGAACGCGTAGTGTAGTATTTGTAAGTTAAACTGACGGACTCTCTTCTACTCAAACTGAGCTCAAAAGATGCCTTCTGGGACAGCATATTTAGCATCGTCCCATCGAACTTTGACAATAAATTTTTCTTCTTTCTTATTAAATTGTAAAAGGAATAGAGAGTGCACTTGTATCAGCGCGTGCACTTGTGCACTATAATAATATCTCCTGCGCATCTGGCTAGTCTCAGTAAAATTGGCTGCGGTGGCCGAAATCGATCAGGAGGACAGTATAAATATACTATAACTAATAGTATAGTATTATATGATCTGTGCTATAACTAAGGGTGGAAATCATATTGTCGGTAATTTATGAGCAGATTCTCTTCGAGGTAATAAAGGTGCTTAGTGTAAATGATACCCATTCTATTCTTCTATAAATTGTAAGTAAGCCGAATCTGTACATTAAATATTTTTTGGAAAATCTTATTGAAATAAACATTATTATCGATACAGAAGCCGAATCTATAGTTTTTAGAATTTTTGTCTGTTCTGTCTGTTACCGCATCACAGAAAAACCACTGGAGAGATTTTGAGGAAATTTGGTATGGTGATAACTGGTTATCCGGGTCAACATATAGGATACTTTTTACCGCGGGAAAATATTTCATTTCTGAGAAAAAATACAAAAACTGCAATGTAAGAGTATACTGTGTTAAACCTAAGAATTTAGTTTTTGGTCTGAACGCAGGCGGAGCCGCGGGCAATGCTAGTTAATAATATTCACCTTAATATTTATGTAGTTTTGGTAAGAAGGTCTGCAGAAAATCTCTTCGGCAGCTTTCAATGCCAAATATAAAATGGTTGTTGATGTTTTGTTTCCTAAAACTGCTTATAAATAATAACTCTTTACTGAGATGCGCACTTTTCTATTTATGTGGACTCTTGAGATAAAATCTTTCCATAAAAAAATAAACTTGATTCATGACTGATAAATATAATACACACAAAATTATGAACCCAATGATAACTTCATCATTTTCTAAAGTAGGTCAACGAAACTTCATTAGATATCTAAAATAACCGTATTCACTTTAGCGTGAGCGTTTTTATTCACTTTTAATGACCAGGCAATTTGGAGTAATGTTTTATTTTATGAAACAGCTTATTTCGAGATCAGAATGACGTGACTTACCAGAAAGATTTCTAAGATTTGCAAATTGTTGACGAAACAATAGTACTCGTGGCAATACGTCTATATAAAAACTTAAATAAAAAACGACTTCCAGACACTAAATATAAAAAATAACTAAACGGAGGTTTTCATTTAGAATAGATACCTAACCAGATATTTTCGAAGTCGGTGCCAGCCGATGCAAAGCAAATCTAAAATATTTCGATACGTAAAATACATACTCGTATATACCTACTAGACATTCATATCTTAAAATATTTTCCGCTGGCACCGACTTCGAAAATATCTTATTAGGTATCTATTCTAAATGAAAACCCCCGTTTAGTTATTTTTTACATTTTAGTGCCTGGAAGTCGTTTTTTTTTAAATGTGTTTATTTTTCCATTTTTAGTGTAGACGTAATAAGCAGGTAATTTGTAAGAAGAAAGTTTTTTATTAACACATTCGATTAAACAATTTATTTATTGTTGATTTTTTTAAAAACCGCTCGACCGATTTCGATAAAATTTATATGGGACCACCTGGGAAGTATATCCTTTGAAACAAAAAAAAAATCCAAATAGGTTCAGGCGTTTTCGAGTAATCGGTGAACATACATAAAAAAAAGATTCCGACGAATTGAGAACCTCCACCTTTTTGGAAGTCGGTTAAAAAATAACCTATGTTACATGGGCTATATATTACATTCAGAGATTTACTTAAACAGAATAATACCTATACATAAATTATTTCGTTTTTCAGTTTGACTTATACCTATATCAAAATGGGTAAAATACTCACATACATACGTCTTTTTCTGGACAACGTGCTAGATTTTATCTTCGGATTATTTTGGGGGTGCAGTAAGGTGGCCATTCCAGATGTGGAAAAAAAGCATTCATTTCTATCTGAAAGCGCTACTAGCTTAGCAAGAAAAATTAAACAGAAGGAGTTAAAATCTGAAGAATTGATACAGGCGGTCATTGACAGAATCAAGCTGGTAAATTACAATTTGAAAAACTTTAAATCTACAGCTAGTTATTAAGTATATCCTAATAGTATTGAAACATATTTTTTAGGTGAATCCTCATTTAAATGCGATTACAGAGGATCGATTTGAAGAGGCTTTGAAAGAAGCGAGAGAAATTGATAGACAACTAGCTTTTGGACCCTCCGAGGAAATGTTGAAGAAGCCATTTTTAGGTAAATTTCTTTAACTTTTACTATAGAAGTTGACGATTTCATTGTCAGATGGTAACAGTGTAGTTCTTAACAACTTACAAAAGCCGTAGTGTAAGAAACAAATTAAATATACCTAATATATATTTTAATTTTTGGTTCCCGACGTTTCGAATGCTTTACAGCATCATGGTCACGGGAGAGACTAAGATTTTAGATGTCCCAAAGGCATCAAAAAATTTAAAAAATGTAATAATTAATTTAAATATCAAATATTCGCGTAAATCTAAGAAAGTATTATGCTAGGAAAGTATTAGGCTTCGCTCGCGCTAAAACTGCGAAAAAATCTCTAAAAAGTTAGTTTCATACAAACTTTCATCCCCAATTTTACCCCCCTATATAGGATGCATTTCGAAAAGTGCTAAAACACCTATTTATTTAATTTTATTAAAAAGCTTCAATACCAAGTTTCAAGTAATTCTAATCATAAATATTTTTTGAATTGTATTATAACGTGTTTTCCTGTGAGAATTAGATAATCTCCCACGGTAAAAAATAGCCTATGTCACTATCCAGCCCTCCTCTCCAGACTATCTCCAGACAAAAAATCACGCCCATCCGTCACTCCATTTCGACGTGAAAGAAGGACAAACAAACAAACAAACAAACAAACAAACAAACAAAACAAACACAATTTCACATTTATAATATTAGTATGGATGTGCACATTAAACATACAAGTAAAAAGTGAAGAAAAAGAACACTTCTTCCTTATAGGAGTACCTTTCACTACAAAAGAATGCCAGGCGATGAAAGGTATGCCGTTGACAATGGGAATCTGGTGTCGCCGTGACGAGAGGGCTACAGAAGATAGCGAAGGAGTGGAGCTGTTGAGGGCCGCTGGAGCTATTCCCGTTGCCTGTACTAATCTGCCAGAGTTGCTTATTTGGTAATCTTTTCAAAAAAGTGATTAAATAATATGTCTCAAGATGATTACTTAGGATGATATAAAAGCTAAAACGGATATATCAAGAATTTTAATCTGTATATCTGTAGTTGAAAAAATTTAGGGCTGGTAAAATCAGTATCAAAAGCGTTCAATGCTATTTCGATTAGTTGAGAAAATATAAGTTACTCGTAACTTTTGATACTATTATTATTGATGAATATGAAATACTGCTCCCAAAAATATGAAATGGTTCATTGATTATATATTACCTACATGAAGATAAATTGCCATATTTAAAAAGCTTTCATATTATTATTTAAATGTAAACGTCTTTAATGTAGTAAATTGTTTTTTTTTTCAATCCTCAATCTCGATATGATATAAACAGGCAAGAAACTCGCAACCCTGTGTACGGTATGACAAACAACCCGCATCACACTGGAAGATCTCCTGGTGGGTCAAGTGGCGCTGAGGCCGCCTTGATGGCAAGCTACGCTTCATGCATAAGCTTGTGTAATATATTTCATCTTATTACCTACTTCAATATCTCGTTATTCCAAACAACGATAAATTTAAAAAACATGGCTTATAAAATAATGGCTTCATGGGCTTAGTAAGTACCTAATTAGTACAATCTTTATTACATCTATAATATAATAAAACTGTAGAGGTCGAATGTCTGTATATAGAAAAAATGCTAAAAACCAGGGGATGTAAGAAGAGAAATAGAACAAATCCAGATTTTTCAATTTTTTTGTTTCTCTGTCTGTTTGTCTGTTTGTACGGGCTAATCTCCGATACTGTAAGACCGATTTAAATGAAATTTTGCATGGTGGTACCTACTTTTTATCCCCGGTCAACATTTTAGATACTTTTAATCCCGGAAAATTATAGAGTTCCCGTAGGGTAGTTAAAAAACTATAATAACTTATACAGCGTAGCACACAAAACTTATGCACCTAATTTAGTTAAATTTTGCATGATGATACCTTATATTATCGGTCAAAGTACAGGTTACTTTTTATCCCGGAAAAATGAACGGCTCCCGTGAGATAGATCGCTTTGTGCTTTTCTAGAGGCGAACCCGAGAGAAGCGAGGGTTAGCCGCTATTCATTTGAATAAGTTAAATACTATAATACAATACGCTTTTGATAATGGAAATAACCGGGATATAAACGAATAAAGATAAAAACGTTAAACCAAAGATCTGTTTATTCTAAACAGGTTCAGACGTTGGTGGTTCCACTCGTATGCCGGCGTTTTACTGCGGGATGTTTGGACATCATCCCACTGCTGGAACTACTAAAACTAAAGGTAACATTTTTGTGATGCTTCATTTTTTTTTTAATAAATAATAAAATTGGATTCATGAGTCCAAAGACAATATAGAACTTCACTTAAGTTTTTGAAGGTAAATGAGATTAAAATTTGCAAAACTCTCACGCTCATAAACTTGATCATATACATTTTAGAGTGTAGACACTAGACATGTCGTAGCAAGATTATAGAATTAAACACTTCGTGATATGTACAACCATTTCATAGATCCGTACCCACTTACGTATAAAATAGTACACTCAAATCAAGATATAGTCTGGTCAGTTGAATGAGAATAATATGAGTTTTTAGACTATTTTACGAATGCCAATAATTCTTTCAGGTTGTTTCTATAGGGATGGGAAAGAGGAGAGTATGCTTAGTCTCGGTTTCATATCCAGACACGTAGAAGATTTAGGTCCATTAACAGGTATTATAGCAGGCGACAATGCGAGTCTCCTGAAACTTGACAGGCAAATTGATATGAAGGTACGTACATACATATACCTATTTAGAGTATTTTTTTGGATTTTGTAGTGACCCTACTTGCTGTGTTAGAGATCGCGGGTTCAAGTCCCGCTGGAGGCATTCATTTGAGATTTATAATATGTTGGTATATATTTAAAGTTATATATGTGTAGTATATCTATATCTGTATATATGTACAATCTGGTATCCATAACACAGGCCTCGTAGCTTACCATGGAACTAGATGGTGCTGTGTGTTAATGTCCCAACATATTTATTTATTTGACGACTTTCGTAACAAATTTGGTATAAAAATAAACTTTTTTTCTGTTTTTTTTTGCGGTCCTAATTTATCTTCTTGTTTCCATATACAGCAAACTCTCACTAAATAAACATGATTCGAAAGGAGAAAAAAAAAAATGTATTATTTACAATATTCGCGTAAATATAACAAAGTATTATGTGTACCTATTAATTACTTATTAAAATTAAACTACAAAATTAAAAACCGACTGCATTAAAACTAACATACGTACTCTCAGCACGACTCGCAGCAACCATAACATCTAAATGTATAGGTACATATGTCTACGGCTAGAATTTTACAAAGACCTGTTTTATTGCACAGGTAAGAAATTTTACAATTGTTTCATTGTCCATAGGACATCAAATTCTATTATATGGAAAGCACTAACGACCCACGCGTCAGTCCTTTACGGCAAGAGATGAAAGACGCCATGCAAAGGTAAAACTTTTAAACAACTTCAAAAGTGGACTTTTCGAATTTGTCATATTATACCTTTGGATCTATATGTAATGTGTCATCGACGATTGTAAAATGTAAATATGTGTAATATGTATAGATTTCAAAATAACAGAATTACCATACAATATGTTATATTAGAGATGTATTAAGTTCCCGTCTAACCTTGTGTGTCTAGTCTGCATAACCTTTATGTCACAGTTTACGTTTGTCTCCTTTATCATTAAATTATGTACTTGCTGTTTACATATTTTAATCCTACTACTAGTAAGCGATATATATAATACATATATAGAATATACTAATATTATTGTGTTGTAAAAAAATGACTTAGTCACGCGCATTGAACAAAAAATTAATTACCTACCTTAGTATTACTGGCTACTGCATGTTTGTTTTAGATTACGGAAATAAATTTTTTCTTTAAGTTACATTATTTTGGGATCATATTTTTTGCATTTTTTCGCGATTTTATTTGGATTTTTGGTTTTTGACGTTTTCCAAATCAAAATAGTCAAATATTCGCGTAAATCGAAGAAAGTATCTTAATAACGTGCCAATAATATGGCATGATATTGGGATATTTTGTCGTTTCATTCTAGATTTAGATTTTAGAAGTAAAATATACATACCTCTTTTCAGGGTGATACATAAGATCAGTGAACAGTTTAACGTAACGCCTCAGCCATACCACCACAAGGGCTTGGACCATATATACCAGTTGTGGAGTTACTGGATGTCGAAGGAGCCAGGCGGCGTTTATTCGAAACTGATCAATGATAACAAATCTGACACAAATGGCTTTGTAGAATTATTGAAAAAGGTATTGTATATTATAAACTACTAGCATAACCCGCGGCTTCGCCCGCGTTTAATCTACAAAAAACTCTTTGGCTTTACGTTATTGTTAACAAAATATTGTTCGTACAAAAAGACTAAAATCGCGATGAAAAATGGGGGGTGGGGGTAGGATGGGAAAAAATATTTTACGACTTATCTCATACCTACCAAATATACAAAAAACAATCATTAAAATCGGTCAAGCCGTTTCAGAGAACTGCGACCACAAACACTGTGACACGAGATATTTATATATTAGGTTAGGTAAATACTACTATATTACACTATTAAAATATTACGCTTTTAAAAAATTTATCAAAAATGTCCGTGTTTTGAAATATTGTTTCTTCTCTACAGACTCCATACTATTCTGGCAAACGGATAAGCTATTCATGTATGAGGATAATAAAACTATAAGGATTGAGAATAAGAAAATTAGAACTAGTGCTAGGTTTACGAGTATAAGAAATAAATATATATTTTTTTAATTTATAAAATTGAAGGAATAAATAACCGAAAAAATTTAATGATTAGTAGAAGAAACTAAAATAATACCTTTAACTAGGCATAAAAAACATGTATTTATTAGTTATAGTGAGTTGCATATTACCACATATTAACACAAAACGCGACGATAACATTTTATATAATGTTGAGTTCAACAATAATCAGCTAATTTTATATTTAAAGCGGTCATTAATTATGTTTAACGATCAATAATATATTTTATACATTATATTACATGACTCGTACACTAGCCTCTGCCTGCTACTTCACCCGGTTGTTTATTTCTATATAGTCCAAAAAGTCTAAACATAACAGCTGACCCCCGTAGGTATTACTTCAGGAGTTCATGTGAAATTATTGGATGTAATCGACCAACATACATATGTCTGTTATACGTATGTCTTCTGTCTCTTCATAAATGCTTGCGAGTTGCGATTTACTCAGCCTTTAATATTAAGCTAACTTTATAAGTTGAGCGAAACTAAGCGAAGTATAACCAGTATTATAGTATAGACTTTAGTTATAAGTTATAACTAAGTATATTAGATGCTAGTAAGCCAAACTATGTATGCAACTAACAACAACGACTTCACGACACGTTTTGCTCAGTTTGTAGTAACCCTACTTGCTGTGCCAGCGGTTGCGGGTTCAAGTCCCGCTGGGGGCATTCATTTGTATGATGAGCACGAATGTTTGTACTCCAGTCATGGGTGTTTATATTTATAATATGTATGTATTACATACATATTATAAGTAACTTACACAATATATATGTATAGTGTATCAACTATCTGGTATCCATAATGGAACTTGATGGTTCTGTGCGTTAATGTGCCAACAACATATTTCACTAATATTCCAGATGATGTGTCTAAGCAACCACTGCTTGTTTACTATATTGAGAGTATTAGAGTTACAAATCTTTGGAACTCCTCAAAAGGAATGGGCTGAAGATGTCTCAAAAGCTTTAAAAGAAGATTTATTCGTAAGTACCTACTTCTAGATGAAATTTAATTTTACACTAGTAAAGTCCACTTTCCTCGTATACAGCGCTAGGTGACTAAAATCGCTGATCTTTGATAAGTTTCTTATCAAGGTCTTTACTTCCAGTCGAAACTAGGTGATAACGGTGTGTTGCTCATCCCGAGTGCGCCTCACGCCGCTCCTTACCACTACTCGTGCTTGCTGCGGCCGTACAACACCGCGTACTGGATGCTTGTCAATGTACTTAAGAGTCCAGCTACTCAGGTGAGTTTTCTGATCCTGAATCGGATCTCAGTTAACGTTAATCATCTCCACAATTGGCGATTACAACTTACGAATTCGTGTATTTTAAACGTTTTCTCTGTTGTCAGTAGCTAGGATGTACAGCTGCATATCCAAAGGTCCTGGGTTCGAGTCCTAGATCGGGCTATGCTTAGTTATTGAGTCTTTCTGTTAAAAAGTTTCACTAAAAGCACGTAATTGGAAATCTGTCAGTGTTTCACCCCCGTGCCTCGGAAAGTACGTACAGCCGTCGTAAAGGTTGTGTCGAATTGTTATCCCACCACAGTATGAAAGTGACAGGAATAGAAAGTGCACTTGTGTCTGCGCGTACACTCGCTGCACTATTATCTTTTATGCAGTTGGAGACTAGCCGTGGCCGATATCGTTCAGAAGGACCTCATCAAGGAAATTGCCTCATTGTACTTACTAATTCTAGATATAAGTAAATTAAAAAAAATGAATGTTTTTTTTTATAAATTTACAGGTACCACTCGGAAAAAACGACCAAAATCTACCAATAGGCATTCAAGTAGCAGCAGCGCCGTACAACGACTCGCTTTGTTTGGCCGTCGCTAAATACCTCGAAGGAGAGTTTGGGGGTGCCATACCGGCTTGTAATGTTCAAAAATAAAATATATTTTTTTACCTTGTTACAGTCATTTCTCATTAAAAATACGTTAATTTCCTTACATTTCGATATTATTAGGGATTTAAAATGGGGATCACAATTTATTGATTGTTAGACTGTAAGATCATGATTTAAGTGAATAAAGAATTTTATAAAAAACAACAATTTATTTGCGAACTAGCGACTCACCCTCGCTCTGCTCGGATTCGCCCCTTGTTACGTTTTAACGTTTAGTATAGATTTCTCAGAGATGACATATTTTCTCGCAGTAAAAAATATCCGAATAACCAATTATCATCATACTAAGTTTCATCAAAATCTGTCTTTTCGGCCTCTGTATCGATAATAATGACTATTTCAAAAAGATTTTCCCAAAAATATTTAATGTACAGATTAGACTCAAAATTTTATTATATGCATAGTAGATGAGCTATAAAACTTGCTAATTGCTATGTTGTATATAATAGTAACTCGCAGTACTCGATTGATACAGTATGTAAAAAAATATTTATTAATAATAAATAGCTTGTCGTCTACAAGGTCGGATTAAATGTGGTTGCTCGGTGATTTCCCATTTTTTTTTTCATATTATTCGATTTTGTTTATACTGTCAAGTATATAGTAAATAAATTATATAATATACTAGCGGCTCACCCTCGCTTCACTCGGGTTCACCTCTAGAAAAGCACAAACTGATCTATTCCACGGGAACCGTTTATTTTTCCGAAATGAAAAGTAACCTGTTGTTTGACTGGCAATATAAGGTATCAGCATGCCAAATTTTACTAAATTAGGTGGATAAGTTGTTGTGTACTAAGCTGTATAAGTGACTATAGTTTTTTAACTATCCCACGGAAACTCTTTAATTTTCTGGAATGAAAAATATCTTAGATGTTGACCGGGGATATAAGGTACTACCATGGAAAATTTCATTTAAATCGGTTCAATAGTTTTTAAGATTAGTCCGTACAAACAGACAGAGAAACAAAAAAATTGAAATAAAAACTGGATTTGTTCTATTTCTCTTCTTTCGGGATGTAAGAAGAGAACTGATTCGGTTTTTAGCAATTTTTTTTAATCTCTACAGTTTTATTATATGTGTAGATAGAATAAATAACGTATAATAAAACAGTAATATATAATAATGAAAATAGTTATAGGGAGTGTACCTTAGGAGATTCTATAGACCTTTTTAAGACTTACAATTTTCTTGCACAATGTTTAGATCTATCTCTTAAGGTTGAGCCAACGTAAGCCATATAAATTTCTAAGGACGAATCGATAGAACCAGTTATTGTGTTTTCCCGTGGAAATGAATAATTTGCCTGTCGTAAAAGGTATCCTAAATGTTGACCCGAGTACTAAGTTTTATCACTATACAAAATTTAGTTAGTAGTTTAGTTTTGCGTGAAACGCGCACATCGATTTGACTAAGTTAGTTATATTATACGTATAGATAAGAATAAATATTGCGAGTGTAACTTTGGAGATAAACATATACTCGTACAATTCAGAACTTTTCTGTAGGACTTTTCAAGACCTACAATTTTTTAGTATATTGTTTAATGTATGTATGTGTTAAGGCTTAGCCAGCGGAAAGTTTCTAGGGAGGACTCGATAAAACCAGTTATTGTATTTTTCCGTGGGAAAGACAGATTTTCTTGAAGTAAAAGGTATCTAAGCAGTGGTATCCCAGTGGTAACGCGCTCACTTGGGACACCGAATGAAGCAAGTTCAAATCTCGGGTCTCGCACCTCTGATATTTTCATGTGCAAATCATTTCTAACACAATTACCACTTGTCTTAAGGGTGAAGTAAAACATCGTGAGGAAACCTGCATGTCTGAGAGAACCTAGCAAGTTTTCAAAAGACATGTGAAGTCCGCCAACCTGCACTTGGCCAGCGTGGTGGACTATGGCCTGATCCCCTTCGTACTAAAGGGAGGCCCGTGCCCAGTAGTGAGACGTTAAAAAGGGCTGAATACATACATACATAAATACATACATACGTACAAAAGGTATCCTAAATGTTGACTGGAGGAATAAGTTATCACTTCACCAAATTTCGTTGAAATTGGTACATTACTTTTCGCGTGAAACGCTCACGCAAAAACAGACAAACAGACATATAGGCAAACAGACAAACAGACAATTTTTTAATAACTATTGTTTTGGGGTCTATGTTGTGAACATAATACGTTACAAATAAACAAAAACATCTATCCCACGGGAACAGTACATTTTTCCGGGATAAAAAGTAACCTAACAAATAGGTTACTTTTTAGTAACCTATTTGTTATTCTGATGTATAAACTATATATATATATATATATATATATATATATATATATATATATATATATATATATATATATATTATTGTAAAGTTTCATCAAAATCCAATCAGTAGTTTTTGTGTACTAAGCTGTATAAGTTACTATAGTTTTTTGACTATCCCACGGGAACTCTTTAATTTTCCGGGATGAAAAGTATCTAAGATGTTGCCCAGGGATATAAGGTACTACCACGCAATATAAATTCATTTAAATCGGTCCAATAGATTCGGAGTTTAGCCCGTACAAACAGAAAAACAGACAAACAGCTCGCTCGGGTTCGTCCATACGTACGAATATGTTGTATTATCTCTTTAACCATTTGTCCAAATTATATGCAGTAAAAGGGATAAGTCTTTTGTTTTAAACATTTTAGACGATTAATTTACTTATTTTGATAAGAATTCATAAATGTTGATAATATGACCAATAAACATGACCTACCGATTTAAATTATTTTTTTAATATAAAAAACTTATTTTTGTGACTTAAATATAAAAGTTAGACATATGTTGTCGCTGACTTTTTCGTAGGCATTATTAAGCTTTACGACTTTTCTCTAGAACATAGTCATATATCTCTCATCGTTAAGGCAGCGTTCGTAAGAAACGTTTTCGTTCGACCGTTTTTTCTCCGACTTACTTTGCAAATCCGACTACCACAAAAAAGCCTTTTCATTTTTCGAGCTAATATATAGCCTATGACACTCAGTAAGAACGTGGCTTTCTATTCTTTCTAGAAATTTTTTCTCTTTATTATTAATATGATGTTAAACTGAAGCTACCTAAGTAGATTGATTAGCGAAAATTAAGATTCATATATTATCGCTACATGAAAAGTATTATTATATAGTCATAATCATAATAAAATATTGTTACATCTATAAATTAAAATAATAATTTAATTATATTATCGATATTAACATTAAATTTATTTGAATAAAGTATAATACTTTCTTAGATTTACGCGAATGTTTGACATTTTTAAATAAAACTATCTTTTCGGATTATTTCGCGGATTTATTTTGATTTTTGGTTCCCGACGTTTCGAATGCTTTACAGCATCCATGGTCACGGGAGAGACTGAGGTGTTACATGTCTTAAAGATATAGTTGTTACAGACAGCCTACCCACAATTAACAAAACGAAAATTGCACCAATTACATTACAATATTTTTAACTTTAAACATTTTTTATAATTTTAATTATAATTGAATATGGAAAATTATTTATTTAATTTTTGCTATTATTTTTATAATTATTACAATTTTAAAAATATTAATTAGTAATCTATATTTAGTGTTGCCATTATTATATTTATAACCATAAATAAAAAATATAAAAATATAGTATTAATTATTAAAGCCTATTATTGTTCTATGTGTAATTTAAAAAGTTAAAATTAATTACGGATAATCATTTTAATTTAGTTTGCTATTATTTAAAAACAACTTACTAAGCAACACTATTAATATATACTTTTACAAATGAAAAATATTAATCTGATAAGCTGTCATTTTGATCTACACAGTATGAACTTACTACATCTGCCTGTCTGTTATGTTTATATTTATTATTTGATTTTATTATATTAATAACAGGATCCCATGACGATGGTAGTACCCAGCCATCTTCCCTATTGAAATTTGGATGTTTTTTAATTTCTATGGCTTCTCGAATCATTCTAGGGCGATATCGGTTTTCTTTCGCCAGGATTTGAGGTCTATCGAAACGAATATAACGGCTTGGGCGGTCCTGGCTATGTTTGCAGACAGCAGATGTTGTATTGCGACGGTGCTTCACATCAGCTATGTGTTCTTTGACCCGGGTTCTAATGGATCGCTTTGTTTGTCCAATGTAAGAGAGCCCACAATCACAATCAAGCTTGTAGACTCCTGCATCTTGTAGAGGGATGTGGCACTTGACAGGTGGTAAGAACTGACTAATTTTCTTTGGCGGCTTGAAGTAAGTTTTAATTGAAGCTCGCTTTAGAATGTAGCCAATCTTGTCAGTGACTCCTTTCATGTATGGCAAGACTGCAGGGACGCGCTCGACTGTGGCTGGTTTCACTCGGTCACTGTGACGCAGGCGCGGCACTTGCAGCTTGTTGTCACGCAGAACTTGCTTGACATGTTGCAGTTCTCCGGCCAGGTGTTGCTCGTCACAGATCCCGCGCGCTCTCTGAAACAGAGATTTTCCCACGGTAGCTAACTGTGAAGGATGGTGGTGAGATTCACCGTCCAGGTACCTATCAGTATGGGTCTTCTTTCTATACACAGTATGACTCAAGGTGTTATCTGGGTTACGTTTAACTAATACATCTAGGAAAGCTAAGGTTTTGTCCGATTCTAATTCCATTGTAAATTGAATTTTAGGATTTATAGAATTAAGGTGTTCTAAGAATACAGTTATTTTATCAGAAGGTAATATTGTAAAAGTGTCATCTACATACCGCTTGTAGAAACGAGGGGTCACGGGTGATGTGTTCAGAGCAGTCTCCTCGAAGTCCTCCATGAAGATGTCGGCTACGACGGGGGAGACTGGCGAACCCATGGCCACTCCATCCACTTGCCTGTAGAATTCACCATTCCACAGTAGATAGCCGGATGTTAGGCAGTGTTTTAAAAGTTCAATGTATTCTATTGACATGTTGTGATCTAGTAGCTTCCTAGATATTATTTCAATACAGTCTTCCACTGGTAGGCTGGTAAATAAAGACTGTACATCGAAACTAACCATTGTTTCATTGTCCATGAGTTTTAGGTGTTTAACTTCATTGACAAAATGGTAAGAGTCCTTTGTGAACGCTCTTGTTAATCCTCTGAGTGGTGAGAGTACTTTTGCTACTAGTTTAGCCAATTTGTAAGTCGGTGAGTCGATTTGACTCACAATTGGACGTAGCGGAGCGTTAGTCTTGTGTATTTTCGGAAGTCCATACAACTTAGGTGGTTTTGCACATGATGGAATAAGATTTTTAACATCAAGATTTAATGTGTCGGAGTGTTCCTTAATTAGCTTTTTAGTATTATTTAAAACGGTGGTAGTTGGATCCGTTTTAACCTTTTTGTACGTGCTCTCGTCCGACAAAAGTTGTTTTATTTTATCATTATAATCTGATGTATCCATCACAACGGTTGCATTTCCTTTGTCTGCGCGTAGAACGGTGATGTCTGACCTATTGCGTAGGTTCTTCAACGCTAAATACTCTTGTTTATTGAGATTTGGTTTGGGCCTAGTACTACGACGTAATAAAGACGTAATAAAGACGTAATAAAAATGAATTCTACAGGCAAGTGGATGGAGTGGCCATGGGTTCGCCAGTCTCCCCCGTCGTAGCCGACATCTTCATGGAGGACTTCGAGGAGACTGCTCTGAACACATCACCCGTGACCCCTCGTTTCTACAAGCGGTATGTAGATGACACTTTTACAATATTACCTTCTGATAAAATAACTGTATTCTTAGAACACCTTAATTCTATAAATCCTAAAATTCAATTTACAATGGAATTAGAATCGGACAAAACCTTAGCTTTCCTAGATGTATTAGTTAAACGTAACCCAGATAACACCTTGAGTCATACTGTGTATAGAAAGAAGACCCATACTGATAGGTACCTGGACGGTGAATCTCACCACCATCCTTCACAGTTAGCTACCGTGGGAAAATCTCTGTTTCAGAGAGCGCGCGGGATCTGTGACGAGCAACACCTGGCCGGAGAACTGCAACATGTCAAGCAAGTTCTGCGTGACAACAAGCTGCAAGTGCCGCGCCTGCGTCACAGTGACCGAGTGAAACCAGCCACAGTCGAGCGCGTCCCTGCAGTCTTGCCATACATGAAAGGAGTCACTGACAAGATTGGCTACATTCTAAAGCGAGCTTCAATTAAAACTTACTTCAAGCCGCCAAAGAAAATTAGTCAGTTCTTACCACCTGTCAAGTGCCACATCCCTCTACAAGATGCAGGAGTCTACAAGCTTGATTGTGATTGTGGGCTCTCTTACATTGGACAAACAAAGCGATCCATTAGAACCCGGGTCAAAGAACACATAGCTGATGTGAAGCACCGTCGCAATACAACATCTGCTGTCTGCAAACATAGCCAGGACCGCCCAAGCCATTATATTCGTTTCGATAGACCTCAAATCCTGGCGAAAGAAAACCGATATCGCCCTAGAATGATTCGAGAAGCCATAGAAATTAAAAAACATCCAAATTTCAATAGGAAGATGGCTGGGTACTACCATCGTCATGGGATCCTGTTATTAATATAATAAAATCAAATAATAAATATAAACATAACAGACAGGCAGATGTAGTAAGTTCATACTGTGTAGATCAAAATGACAGCTTATCAGATTAATATTTTTCATTTGTAAAAGTATATATTAATAGTGTTGCTTAGTAAGTTGTTTTTAAATAATAGCAAACTAAATTAAAATGATTATCCGTAATTAATTTTAACTTTTTAAATTACACATAGAACAATAATAGGCTTTAATAATTAATACTATATTTTTATATTTTTTATTTATGGTTATAAATATAATAATGGCAACACTAAATATAGATTACTAATTAATATTTTTAAAATTGTAATAATTATAAAAATAATAGCAAAAATTAAATAAATAATTTTCCATATTCAATTATAATTAAAATTATAAAAAATGTTTAAAGTTAAAAATATTGTAATGTAATTGGTGCAATTTTCGTTTTGTTAATTGTGGGTAGGCTGTCTGTAACAACTATATCTTTAAGACATGTAACACCTCAGTCGCTCCCGTGACCATGGATGCTGTAAAGCATTCGAAACGTCGGGAACCAAAAATCAAAATAAATCCGCGAAATAATCCGAAAAGATAGTTTTATTTAAAAATGAATAAAGTATATCTTGATTTTGTATATAAGTAAATATAATTGTTACAAAATCAAATCAAAATATATTTTATTCAAATAGACTTACATTACTCTATCCTCCTAATATTCTATCATACGACAATAGCTAGTCTCTCAGGCTATCTCATTAAAACTGGACCAAGAAAAAACCAGGAGATACACAAATGTACGAATAAACACAAGTAAACTCTCCGATGAAAAGTTCAAAGGCAATTTAATTATTGTATTTGTTTGTTTTCTTGTAAATTAGTAGGACCGATAGATTAACTTGCATTGCGTAATACCGACAAACCGTTTTCGTTGTATAGTCTGTGCTTAGATGCCATTCTTTGATCATTATTTAATCTGTCAAAACTAAAATGTGACAACTGAGTACGGACAACTGACAAGTGACAACTGACAAGCAGTTGCACTTGTTGTTTCTGAATTCTGTGAGTTGCACAAAGTACTCTGTGAGTCTGTTGAAGTGTTGCAGACACAAAACCTTCGAAAATTATATCTGATAGTGGGTACATTGAGACACTCTGTTCATGATATAATATTGGACAGATTTGGTAGTCTTTGTGTTTTGAAAATAACAAGAGATGGCTACAGAAAACGTATCAAGTAAAAAAGACAAATCTGAGGTAAACAAACACAAATTTATAAAAAGTGCTGTGTAACTAATACATAAATTATTTATACTGTTCGCTAATTAAAACATTTTTTTTAACATTAAGTACTTCAAACATATGTTTTGAATAGCAATATAAATCAAAAAAAATGTTTCATTATGTATTGTTTTTTTTTTACCTATGTTGTTGTGAACTTTATCGTGATTTATTGAGTACGTTTTAGTTCAAATTTATTTTTTTAGCATCGTAAGACCAAAACAAATAAAATTTGCAAAGGAATGCTGGTAAATATACTGAAAAGTATATATTTTTTCTTGCGGCTTTACCTGGACATGTTAGTGGACTACCTATTCTCTCTGTACTGGGATGAATACCGTAAGCCTATACCTGATTTGGAGGATAAACATTATAATTTAATGTTGAGTGCTGTATCTCTAGCAGAGAAGATCAGAAAAAAGGAGCTCAAATCAGTTGACTTAGTCACAGCTTGTATTGAAAGAATCAAGCAGGTGAGTAGCTTAATATATATTAAGCAATATCTTTTCTTGAGAAGCAAAGTAAACTTTTAACAATTATTGCTTTTATTTGTCACTTAAGAAATAAGAATGGCAAAAAATTTAATATGTATAATATCTAGATGATTTTATGCTATTTTTACAGGTTAATCCTATTCTAAATGCTGTGACAGATGAAAGATATGAAGCTGCACTTCAAGAAGCTCGAGAAGTTGATGAGAAGATAGAAAATGGACTGTCAGAGGAGGCATTTAAGAAACAACCATTTCTAGGTAAGTTTTATATTAACTTTTGTAATTTGTATCATCTGAAAACAATAAGAAAAATAGGTCTATGAATGAATGATGAAATAGAATATGGCAAAAATAGTGACAAGCTATATTATATCAAGTCATTCCTGTGAGATATTAGTTTAAACTCTCTCCCTCAGGTGCATTCACCTTGTTGTGGCAGGAGGAGGGCTAATTAAAGTCTGGCTTCCCAGCGGGGTGCAAAGCCAATATGTTGTTAACAATAATATTAATGCCAATATTAACATAATTATTATGCCTGTGTCACATGATTTGACCTTCATTGTCTTCATTTTAAATTATATACTGTTGCTTTACTCAAAACCTCATTGTAGTTTTACTTTATTAATATTTTTGGGTTTTCTTTATAAATATATGTCAAACATAACAAATTTAAGAAGCTGGTACTCATAAAATGCACCATAAAGCAAATTAATCAAAAAGGTATAGCAACTTTTACTAAAATTTTAATGTAACAGGGGTCCCATTTACTGCTAAAGAGAGTCATGCAGTAAAAGGCATGTTACACACTCTCGGCGTAAAGTCGCGTAAAAACGAACGCGTGGACTACGATGCAGAGTGTGTACGTCTCTTACGAGAGTCTGGAGCCATACCCGTAGCTGTCACTAATGTACCAGAGATTAATAAATGGTAAGAATAAATAATAAATATTATAAGTTATATTTATTAATGCTACGAATAAATAATAAATATTATAATTTATATTTATTAATGCTATGAATAATTAATAAGTCAGGAAGTCTAATCCAGAACAAATTTCACTCAAAAAATGATCCGACTTCAAACCAAAACGACGTATGATTCAAACTACGACTCACTTCTGAGGTTACAAACAGACATGTTTGGTGATTGGTTTAAATTCAGGACGAAAGCAGGGATTGGTTTGCACGTGTACTGCAATGTCTCCTATGACAGCTGAGTCTTAACGGCGTGGACAATGTTTACAATAAGTGGATAGGATCAAGTCAATAATAAAACAGTGTATTATGTATAATTTTAATAATATATTTCTATTTTTTTTACAATGTTTTAAAAAGCAATATTATTCTACAATGTTTTTTATTGGTTTACTTTATATTTAAAAATATATTTGAAATTAAAATCATTTATTTACTTTGCCATTGGATACTATTATAACAACAAGCGAAGGTCGCTTCGCTCGGGTTCGTCCCTCGTTACGTTTTAACTAGAGATTTACCGACTAGTGGCCGACTAGACGGGAAAGCCAACTATCCGGCCATATTTATAGTCGGCCAAAAGCACCGACTAGTCGGCCCATTACTTTATCCATATTACTATTCTTAAAAAAGGGGGATTATTTTTATTATTAATGAAAAATATTGTTTTCATTAAATTTTATTTAGTAAGTTTATAGGTACTGGGTAGGCACTGTGTGTAACAACTATATAATGCCTTTGAGACGTCTAAAACCTTAGTCTCTCGCGTGACCATGATTGCTGTAAAGCATTCGAAACGTCGGGAACCAAAAAATAAAATATATCCGCGAAAAAATCCGAAAGATACTTTTAATTAAAACTACCGATTTTCTCTCGCTTCGCTCGAGTACGCCCCTGCGTATGGTTTTGTTTAAAATTTCATGGGTTTTCATTTTTTTTTGAGGAACCCAGATTGTTTTTCTTCAGTAAAAGTAGTCTAAGTTCCTCATTATGACATCAGCTATCTATCTGCCAGTGAAAGTCCCGTCAAAATCGATCCAGTAGTATCTTAGATATTAGCCGGAACAAACATACAGACAGACAAAAATTATAAAGTGTTTTATTTTTATTAGTACCGTATATAATTTCATATACATTTAGTAAAAAACTGTTATTTTGACATTAAAACAGATGTTTTAATTTTATTTATCTGCAGATTTCAAATATTCGCGTGAATCTAAGAAAGTATGATATGACTTAATTTCAATTATGTAGTTACTTTTACTATAATACAAACTGTTTTATCTATACAATTCACCGACTAATTTATTTTGCAAAAAAACTACAAATAACAAAATGAAAAGTAAACAAAAATCTGTTCGTACATGTCTGCATCTGTTCGTACGTGTAAGGGATGCGAAGCGCGACCAACATCGCGGAAAGCAATGATCGGCTAGGCCGACTAGTCGGCCGATTAGTCCGCCTTTTTCCAACCGACTAGTCGGCAAAACTCATAGTCGACACATCTTTAGTTTTAACGTTTAGCTCAGAGATGAGATATTTTCCCGCAGTAAAAAAGTATACTATATGTTGACCCGGATAACCGAGTACCACCATACCAAATTTCATCAAAATATGTCCAATGTTTTTTTTCGTGCTGCGGTTACAGACAGACAGACAAAAATTCTAAAAACTATAGATTCGGCCTTGGTATCAATTACAATGTCTGTTTAATAAGATTTGCCAAAAGATATTTAATGTACAGATTCGACTTAGTTACAATTTTATTATATGTATAGATGTATGTATAGATTATTATTGTCTGGCTTCATGTTTATTTCTATGACACTGTCTGCATTATTCCTTAGTCTGAGTTCACGAGTTCACGTCGAATATCATTCATTTTAACGATGTCATAAAATTATACACTCGCGATGATATCATATCACTTGTATCTTATTTAAGTTTCTCGATTAATAAAAAATCAAGGAGATATGAAAAAGTCCATTCTGTGATAACTTTATTTTAAAAGGTCATGGTTCTTTATCGCACTTCTTTACATTTATTTGCTAACAGTGAGTTTGTGTATAGTGTACTGTTAGTATTTAATATAAAATGTAAAAATAAAAAATCTATGTTACACAAAGTAATAAGTCGACGATTAGTATGGAATATATATAATAATATATACATATTATAATTTTGCTTCGATCCCTTGGGTAGTTGCTTGATGACTTATCGCCTATAACCTTCCTCAATAAACGGGCTATCTAATACAAAAAGATTTTTCAAATTGGATTAGTAGTTCCTGAGATAAGCGCGTTCAAACAAACAAACTCTGCCTCTTTATATTATTAGTATAGATTAAAATTAGAGATTAGAGTTTAAGTGCTGAAAATTGAGTGCAGGGTGCACTTTTACATTACATAGCAAATATCAATAGTAATTAAGATGTAAAGTACCGACATTTTGTTTACATTTCTATGATGATGTTCTCCTGACCGATTCCGGCCACGGCGGCCAATCTCATTGAGACTAGCCAACTGCGCAGGAGATATTATAGTGCACAAGTGTACGCGCAGACACAAGTGCACTCTCTATTCCTGTTACTCTCATACTCTGGTGGGACGTACATTTCTATACTAATATTATAAAGAGGTAAAGTTTGTGAGTTTGTGACGTTGTAGGGGGTAATCTCTGGATCTACTGAATCGATTTAGATGAAATTTGGTAAGAAGATAGTTTGGAGACTTTTTATCCTGGAAATCTTCCCTTAAGAGAGTGAAAATGGGGATGAAAGTTTGTATGGGGAATCAATTTAGGGACGAACCCGAGCGAAGCGAGGGTGAGTCGCTAGTGTATTGTATAAACAAACTAAGGTTTCAGATCGTACTTTGATTGACCGCTCAATAATAACATACCTATATTACATTGTGTGCAAACCACAATGTTTGGACCGCGATCCGATATTTGATAGAGTGGAATCGATCCCCAGTTCGGATCGCATGGTTACGATCCGATCCAAAAATCGATTTGATCGTATGACCACAATCCGATCTTCGAGAAGATCGAATCGGATCGGTGCATAACTAACGCTCAAAGCACTAGTCAAACTAATTTGTTAGCCTGTGAAATAATAAATTCTAAAGTTATACATATATCCTAGTATTGTAGATCCGTATTAGTTCAAGAATTATTTATGATAAAAATGGAACATTAATTTAATTTAGCATTTGAACCTTTATCAAACTTATTTAATATACACAAATAGCAAAATGAAATGAAGCAATCAATTTTATATTTGAGATACCAATAATCTCCAATACTTTTATCATATTTATGAATCCATCTATATTACATTTCTTATGAAAAAGTTATCCTACTAATTCCAAAAATCCTTCCATGATACTTACTGTACATATGTCTATCTCTTAAGGATAACATACTATATCTATTTTAATTTAAAGCGTACCTAGGGACGAAACCGAGCGAAGCGAGGGTGAGTCGCTAGTGTAAAATAACAAGTAAGACGGTAAAAAACTACAAATACATAAACTTTAGTATTTACAGGTATTGTAAGGAAGTGTGATATTTTAATGTTATCTCTCGGCCTATTATAATGCATCAGGTGATCGAACTGAGTGTTCCGCTACACGTTATGCCGTAGACAATGATAATTTTATTGCTTAATCAAACATTAATAAAATTGTTTTACGACCAGTGTATTAGATTATGTGCAATCTTTATAAGTGATGGCTTCAAATTTATTTTATTATACGCTAGTTGTAAGATATAAAACTAAACTTTAACTTAAAAATAAGTCATTAATAAGAGAATTGAATTGAACTTATACAAAAAAATACAAGCAAATTATAAGCATTTAATATGTTTTTATTGTTCGAAACGATTTGTTTAAAGTTAGCGATACTAATAATATTATAAATGTTAAAAATGTCTGTCTGTTCGTTTGTTACATTTTCTTTAACTATTTAAAGAAAATGTAACAAACTGTGTGTGTGTGTCATCTATATGAACAGATTTCGATTGAATTTAGCAAGGATATAGATGATGTACCTACTACAAATTACAATTTTTTTCGATTTCTGTATAATTGGCCTCTTGAAGTAATATTTTTTATCTCAAATATACACTTAAGTTCTAAGTTAACCAAACCTAATATAAGTTTGAAATTTGAGGCTTTTTAATATTGTTTCTTGGTCTCTTCGGGTGGTGGTGAGTTAGAAATATGTGATTTTTTTTATTAAAAAAAAATCTTTCTCTATGATAGGCAAGAAACAAACAACATGGTGTTCGGGCGTACCAACAACCCATATCACACAGGACATGTTGTGGGGGGCTCGAGTGGGGGGGAAGCCGCGCTCTGCGCCGCGCTGGCTTCTCCTATATCACTTTGTAAGTTGTATACGTTTTAACACACTAAAGGACTGAGAAATTGTCTAATAATAATAATAATAATCTATACATAATATAATAAAATTCTAAGTCGAATCTGTACATTAAATATTTTTTGGTAAATCTTATTGAAATAAACATAATTATCGATACAGAGGTCGAATGTATAAGTTTTTAGAATTTTTGTCTGTCTGTTACCGTATCACAGAAAAACCACTGGTGGGATTTTGATGAAATTTGGTATGGTGATAGCTGGTTATCCGGGTCAATATATAGGATACTTTTTACCGCGGGAAAATATCTCATTTCGGAGAAAAAATACAAAAACTGCAATGTAAGAGTATACTAATATGTAAAACCTAAAAATTTGGTTTTTAGTCATCTGAACGCGGGCGGAGCCGCGGGCAATGCTAGTATAATATAATCTTTAATAATTTAAAAAGAGCATTGCGATAAATAATGATAATAATGAATAATGCTCAAAAACCTCACTGTTAAAAAAAATATAAATAACACTGCCTGCATTAGATTTCCCCGTATCATACAACCTAGAAGAAAAAGCCCTAGACTGCAACAAATGCTTATGTATTTCGCCAATATAATTAGATATTTGGCGGGAGTAGGATTCGAACCCACGATCTTCATCGGAACGACCGATAATTTCTTTGAATTCTGAGAACTTGCAAAGAATACTATAATAGTTCTATGTTTTCAGGCTCAGACATTGGTGGCTCTACACGAATGCCTGCCTACTTCTGTGGGCTTTTCGGCTACAATTGCACCGCTGGGCACACAAGTTTGAAAGGTATTTTCTTTTCAATATTTATGTCCCACGGGGAGGTCAATTATATTGTTTATTAATTAAATAATCATACGTAATTAAAATTGCTATGTATAATATTATTAGCGGCGTTATTACTTGTTGAAAAATTATAAGCGTTTTTTTAAGAAAAGCTGTTTAGATTTACTTATAGATTTTTTTTAAATCTGAGACTTACATTGTTCAGTTTACGTTAATACTAGATTTTTCTTTAGTAACTCAACTTTAAATCTTACTTGTTTGTATATTTTGATCTGGTCAGTGGTTCATATTATTTCTATAGTTAATTTAATTCAAAATTCATTTCAACTCGTCCAGTAAGGACCACTTGAATTGAATGTTCAATAAAAACAGTCCAAAATATTAATATTATAGCTTTAGATATTTGGAACATCTGTCCAGCAGTTCGTGACACAGGATCAAAAATAAGCAGACAGACAGAAATTCTAAACTTATTTACTTTATAACATGTTTAATTTTTTTCCCAATATTTCCTAAACAATAAATTTAACAGATTTTTGTTATTTCCTTTATATATGCAGTCCTCTACTTAAAAGTATATATAAATAATATATAATAGTAAATTGGCCGTCACGCGACACCCGGCAGATGTGAAACATCTATGTTGATATTAGAACTCATAATTGATAAAAACCTATAATGAAATATGGAGTAAAAGAAAAAATGTAATTTGTTAATAAAATCAATGTATTTTTAGAGAATTTATATTCATAAATAGAATAGAAAATATGTAAGTATTTTTAATAGAGACTGTTTTACACTGGAGTGTATATAGGTAGCTTAGAAGGGGAATGATGGCATAACAGCGTTATGCCATCGGTTGGTTTTACTACTAAGGTGCGCCAATAGATGTTTCACATCAAAACATATTGCAGCAATTGCTATATTTTTGATGTGAAACATCAATTGGGCCTCCCTTCAATACGAGGGCGATCAGGACATAGTACACCAAACTGGCCAAGTGCGGGTTGGCGAATTACATTGTAGGCGCGCGATATATAAAAAGGTTCTTTATGATAATAAAATAATACAATTTTATCGTCAGGTTCAGCTCTGCGCTCAGGACTGGACCCCACCATGGCGTCGATAGGCTTCGTCAGCAAACACTGCGAGGACCTGGCGCCTCTCGTGAAGATCGTTGCGGGGGAGAAGGCGCATTTGCTGGATTTGGACAAGGAAGTCAATGTTAAGGTAGGTGTCTACCGACTTAGGTCCGAGACTAAGGTTTTAGATGTTATATACTTGTTAAAGACTCACCTGTGACCATGGTTGCTGTAAAGCATTAGAAACGTGGGGAACCAAAAATCAAAATGAATTCGCGAAATAATCCGAAAAGATAGTTTTATTTAAAATATCAAATATTCGCGTAAATCTAAGAAAGTAATGCATAGGCTACTCGTTAGGCATCTAGAAACGGACCCGAGCGAAGTCGATACATATTAGGTTATAATATCAATATGTGGGAAAGATAGTGGAATAAGATTAATTTCAATGTTACTAACTAAAATACGTTATACATATATTTCTTTCAGACCCTCAAATTCTACTATGTGGATAGTGTAAAAGACATACGGATAAGTCCACTCAACAGCGATGTGAAGAAAACTATGAACAAGTGAGTAACAAAAATAAAGCTTTATATATTATATTATGAACTCTTCAAGTTGACTGTAGATGGAATTTACATTTTTTTATCTATCTTTGATATTATATTATATAATAATATTATTTATTTCTTATTTAAAAATAATGACTTAATTGTGTTTCTGTATATTCTTAGGATTGAGTTTTTAACATACTCTTGCATTTATATTTATTGTATTTTTTCCCCCAGAATCGTCACAAGACTGACACAGCAAGCGGTGTCGATAGACAAAGTGCCAAAACCCTACTACCACCCGGGCTTCGACTACTGCTTCTCTCTATGGCGACACGCCATGACGAAGGAGACTGAGAATTTTGCTAAATTACTTACAAATAACAAGGGCGTAGCCAACGGGCTGATGGAGTTGGGTAAAAAGGTATGCATTCACCATTTTTGTATTTATGTTCAATAATAAATACATGCTGGATGGCTGGATAGTAGGCTAATTATGATGATATTTCGTTGGTCTAGTGGCTAGCATGTACAGTTGTAGATTTGAAGGTTCTAGGTTCGAATGCCGGAATTCGGTAATTGATAGTATGATAAGAATAGAAAAAAACATTTAGCAAAATTAAAAAAAATACTTAATATCTTCTCATCCACTCATTTTAACGTTCCACTGATGGACACGGGCCTTCTTCGCATAGAAGAATATTATAATATTAAAAGAGCAATTTAGTATAGATATAAATTAATTTTTTATATCTCAGAAACGGCTCTAACGGTTTGAATCAATTTTTTTATTTAGATAAACTTTTGCTTTTTAGTTCCTTCTTATTTTTATATATAAATTACAGGGACTTAAAACTTTATAGGTAACAGAATTTATATCGTTACTAGCATTGCCTGCGCCTTCAGATGACCAAAAACCAAATTCTTAGGTTTTACATATTAGTATACTCTTACAATGCAGTTTTTGTATTTTTTCTCAGAAAGGAGATATTTTCCCGCGGTAAAAAGTATCCTATATGTTGACCCGGATAACCAGCTATCATCATACCAAATTTCATCAAAATATGTCAAGTGGTTTTCTCGTGATGTGGTAACAGACAGACAGACAAAAATTCTAAAAACTATAGATTCGGACTCTGTATCGATAATAATGTCTATTTCAATTAGATTTTCCAAAAAGTATTTAATGTACAGATTCGACTTAGTTACAATTTTATTATATGTATAGATAATGGTCACGTTACCTCAGCAAACACATAAATTTCAATCTTTTGTATAACGTTTTACGAGTAACAGATCGAAATTTTTACAAGCAATTTAACGTTATTATAGCGATAAATATGCAACGTTGCCACACCTATTCATTTAGAAAAGTGCGCGAATCCGCGCGACTTACGAGTTGAGTGAGGCATCGGATCCAATTGATCTACTACAGCTATACTCAACCTGCGGCCTTTGTTATTGGCCCATCTGAATTTACATCTCAGAGTTGGCTTCCGTTTTAAATTGTAATTACTCAGAGTTGTTTGATGAGTTCATCGATTTTGAAAAGGATACCAATCTAGAAATTCTATTTAAAGAAAAAAAGGAAAAACAGACCATGACTGAAACGTGTTTGTGGCCCCTATAAAAAAAAGGTTGGGTATAGCTAATCTACTAGACAGGTCGGGCGGGGAGCTCCCCGCACCGTACGCGCTTTGGAAGCGAACTGGCAACGTTGTAAAGTAAATGATCATATTTTGTCAATTGCAAACATCAACCGTCTGCGAGTTGGACGTATTAATTATTATAAATTTCTATCCTTAATATCTACTTGTAACTTTTTTTTACGTTGATTTTAACTAGTTTAGTTTGTAAATAATATTATATTGGAGATGGGTCGTAAAAAAATATTTTTTAGATGATAATCTAGTTATTGGCCAAAAGTACAATTTTCTTTTTAATTTGTTTTAAAATAAAAAAAAATAACTTGAACAAATACAAAAAAAAACAAAGTAAAAACTGTATATCCCCCACCGGGCTTCGAATCCAGTGTTTGTCAATCTTGCGCCTTGGCCGCTTGACCACGATGCTTATGCTTGCCGCACGAAATTATCGACCAGAATATTGCTTGGAATAGTGCAAAAAAAACCGCATGGAAATTCGAAAACATGCGTTTTCCTAGGCATAGAACTAATCTAGATCGATTTTTCGCCTCCGAAAAACTGCATATACCAAATTTCAGCGAAATCGTTAGAGCCGTTTCCGAGATCGCCGATATAAATAAATATATAAGAATTGCTCGTTAATCGTTTAAAGGTATTAGATAGATGTATTATTTCAAACGTAAACGTCAACAAGTATCTACCAGCAGTCACTTCGTTAAATATTAGAACCTTGAAACCTATTTTAAATATTATATCCTTGTTTATCCACACAGGTAAATCTCTCTCGACAAGCTTATCTCTCTATCATATAAATCTATACATATAATAAAATTGTAACTAAGTCGAATCTGTACATTAAATATTATTTGGAAAATCTATATGAAATAGACATTATTATCGATACAGAGTCCGAATTTATACTTTTTAGAATTTTTGTCTGTCTGTCTGTTACCGCATCACGAGAAAACCACTAGACAGATTTTGATGAAATTTGGTATGATGATAGTTGGTTATCCGGGTCAACATATAGGATAGTTTTTACCGCGGGAAAATATCTCATTTCTGAGAAAAAGTACAAAAACTGCATTGCAAGAGTATACTAATATGTAAAACCTAAGAATTTGGTTTTAGTCATCTGAACGCGGGCAATGCTAGTTGTGTAATATAATAAATTGATGGGTTTGATTTAATTTAAATTTAATTTTCTTGATTCTTCTTTTTAGAGCATTTAAATAAAACCTTGTTTTTTTAAATTACTCTTAATTATTTTTTTTATTTCATTCGAATTCTTCTTAGCGAACCCTTTCATTTAATATCCATATCATGGGAATGCATAAAAAACACAGTTCGCCATCTTTGTAACGTCCTAAAAGTTTTTTTTATTTTATTTATTTACAGTTAATCGGCAAATCAGACTACACAATGGCAGCAATCTTCAAGCTGCTGGACGATCAAGTGATGCCGGCCACGCCGCCCGCCTGGGCCGAGCGCCTCACGCACAGCCTGGCTGAGGATCTCGCTGTGAGTGGACTAATAGTAATATTATAAATGTGAAAGTGTGTTTGTTTATCCTTCTTTCACGTTAAAACAGAGCGACGGATTGGTGTGATTATTTGTGTGGTGTGGGGATAGTTGGATGGCTGGGGAGTGACAAAGGCTACTTTTTACCGCTGGAGGTTATCTTATTCCCACGGGAAATTGAAATGGGAAAAAAATTATTTATGATCAGAATTACTTGAAACTTGGTATTAAAACTCTTCAATACAAATAAATTATAGCCTGGAATAGCACACAGGTTACTTTTTAACCGGAAAAAGTGTACATTTTCCGTGGGAAAGATTTGTTTTTCTCTAGGGACGAATCCGAGCGAAACGAGTGTTATTCGCTAGTGGAGAATAAAATCGGATATAAATCAATTTCCAGGAGACATTAGGTGACAACGGAGTACTCCTGTTCCCGTCGGCGCCGAGCGCCGCGCCCGCGCACGGCGCGCTGTACCTGCGCCCGTACAACTTCGCTCTGTGGGGCATTTTCAACACTATACACTTCCCATCTGTGCAGGTATTGCTTGATATTACTAATGGAGTACAGTTTATTTATTTTTTTTATTTTCTATTGTACCTGCTGTTAATCTATTTCTATAAAAAAACGTGTGTGTGTAGTTATGTACGCACGTAAGAAGTTATACTTCTTCGGCGTAACAGAACAAAAATAGCTAAAGATTTCATCCCGTATGTCACAAGTTTCTGTTTGTAAAAGGAATGCAGCTAACTTCATCATGTCGCTTTTGGCTGTCGGTGTGCTCGCGCATTGTAAATATTTTACTCATATTTTTTTCCAAATGCCCCAAAAGAAGTATAACTTCAAAGATATGTAACTCGATAGCTGAATCGGAGAAGATATTTCATACAGTTAAATTAGGTATAATGCGAATTCAGCAGCTATCGTGTAACATAAAGTTTTTACAGAATAGTACTGTTGTTCGCGAAAATTAATGATGGCCTATTAGAAATAAAGTGAAGTGGATTAAACTATGACCTATGATCTGCACGTTACAATAGGTCTGAACGCACATCTTACTCCAGATGTGCATATAAAGAACACGTAACTGCCTACAGATCCCAATAGGTCAACGTACGTCTGTATATAATAAATACAAATATTTAACACCCCAATGGGTCTGAACGTAGGTCGACCACTGAGTGTGAATTACTGTAGCCGACGTATCGATAGTTTTACTATCGATAGTTCTCATCTAAAACAGCCCTACTATCGATAGTTATATAGATAATATAGATAGTATTGATAATATCGATAGCTCGAAATGCGACAATAATATTAACGGAGGGCAATATATCGATACTATCGATAGTATTATCAATAGTATCGATAAAATCGGTACTATAAAACTTCTGAAAAACAATACTATCAATAGAATCGATACTATCGATACTGTTGAGTTTTGGACCATCGATAGTTGTTAATTTTTCGATAGTATTAGGTAAGTTTTAATAGCAATGTAATTAGACGAAAGTCAGTATAAAAAATTCGATTTGTTTAGTGCCACCGTCGATGTCGATACCATCGATATTATTTAATTTTAGAAACTTCAATAGTATCGATAGTAACGATAATATCAATAGTTTATAATTTGTGAGCACCAATATTATCAATAGTATCGATAGTATTGTGGTCTGTCAATAGTATTGTCACATTTCCATCTATCGATAATGTCGATTGTATCGATGAATCGATAGAACTACCGAAATTCTGACTATCGGTCATTATCGATTAATTATCGATATGCTATCGATAATCGACTATCGATGGGCAACGCTATGCACACGCATATAAAATATAAATAATATAACTGCTTCAAAGGTCCTACTGAGTCGGAACATAGGTCTGCCTCCATATGTACACATAATATGAAGTGAACATTTGCAGGTCCTAATAGGTCTGCTGATGGTTGTACATTAAAAATACTAGCGATTTACTTCTCGTTTTACTCGGGTCCGTAGGTACGTTTTATATATATAAAAAGTATTAATTGTGAGCGTACCTTACGCCTCGTACATATCGTGGATTTTTCATCAAACCTTTTTAAGACCTACAATTTTTTAGTACATCGTTTTGATGTATCTCTAAAGGTTTAGCCAGCGTTAGCCATGTAACCGTACGAAAACAGATTTATCGACAAAACACCGTTTAGGCTCAGCCACTGGGCTACCACTGCCTAATACTATGTATAGATACATATAATCATTCTACATAGGTCCCCATGGGTCTGAACGCGGCGGGGCTGCCGCTGGGCGTACAGGTGGTGGCGGCGCCGCGGCGCGACGCGCTGGCGCTGGCCGCGGCCGCGCACCTCGAGCAGCAGTTCGGCGGCTACGAGCCTCCCTGCAAGGTACTGCACTAATGCTCCATACAGTTTAAGTAGTTATCGATTTTTATTTGAGCTTTTATTGTTTTATCGATATTAAAGATATGTTTGTTGTATCCTACAATATTACTCTATTTGTTGTTTGTTCATGTTATATCATTATTGTGTACTGTGTATCAAATACTATTTTAAGATAAAAATGATTGAATGTAATAGTTTTGATATAAATATTACAGTATCTTTGCTTAAAAATGAGTAAGTAGTGCTGTGATAGTGTGTCGATATTGTTGTCGTTTTGTTTGTTTGTATAATAAACAAACTCATTCAGTAAATTTTTATTCCATTGCATTTATAGTATTATCAATGTTTAAAGTTATTACTGCAATGTATTAACGTTATAAATTTAATTTCTTTTAAACAATGGTTAAACTCTTTAGTAATATATATTTATTTATTTCATGTTATTTTACGAATGTCCAATAACTATATTTTTACATATTATGAAATTAAAAAAAGACTTACTTGTTCTCAAAAAATGGTTGTTGTTGAAATTTTAGATATATATGGATACTTATATTCTATAAAAGTTTAAAAAAATATATGTTTTGGAACTATTTAATATTAAATATTTGTATATTTTATTTTTATTATTATAATGTTTAAGACTGTTGTCTCACTCTTAGTATTAAAATATTTGTTAAGGTGAAAGGTATAATAATTTATTATTATTAAAGTCCGGTGTTGGGTGTTTTATAAATTAAAAGGCTTATAAAATGAGAAGAAATCTTTTTATTCGATTTAAAATCTCTGACAATCCACACCCCCGGCTGACTAGGTCCCTGCTCGCTCCCTCCTGCCCTCTAATCTACATTCGCAACAAATTGACACTACGAACTATACGAGTCAAAAAATCTATGAAGCATACATAAATCTAACTTTGTACATTTTTAAATCATTGAAAATGACACGACGCTTAAACGCTTAATTTGTGCATTAAGTCTTATCAATTACATAAATACAAAACATGATCTTTAATAATTTATTTACAAGACATCTACAGTCAATTCGCTGCGAAGTGTCTACTTAGGTTCTAATCGTAATGGAATGGAACTGGAACATATCACACGCCGCTAGTTTATACATATGCAGTAGGTGTAGTGCCTTCAGGCGCCGTTAGGGCGGCAGCGGCACAGGGCGGCGGCCAGGCGGCGCAGCAGCCACGGCTGGGCGGGCGGCGCCGGGCGGGCGGGCGGCGCTGGGCGGGCGGGGCCGCGGGGCGGGGCGGGGCGGGCGGCGCGCCCTCAGCTCGGGAACTTGGCGTACAGCGCGTAGTGCAGCTCGTAGCCGGAGAAGCGGCAGTGCTGCGCGTCCTTCTGCTCGTAGCTGTTCAGCGAGAACTTTTTCAGTTGGCGGGACGCGTCCGCGCTCGGCGAGTCCTGTTGTGGTGAACGAGTACACATTAATGTTTTAATCGATTGATTGATGTACACCAATATTTTTAAATATCAGACTAAATAATTATGTAGATGCGAGTCCCCCAAAATAAATGTCAGTCAAAAATAATAGCGTAATTTGCTATATATGCTATTCTCGGTTTTGCCATGCAGATCGTTATATATGTGTAGATAGCGTCCAGCAATCCAGCCGGGCGTAAATTCAAAAGACGCACTGGGAGGAGGCCCACTTCAGTGGACGGTGTGCCATGCGGGTTGCTCCTGGTACTTCTCTGACAGCAAAGTGGACCGTGGGAGCAACCCCTTGGTTGTGTGATCTGCTTCGGCAGACATGCCATCAGGGCGTCGGGATTGAGTGCGTAAACGATCGTGCGACACCCCATTAAGACTTTGTTGGGAAGATTCTGTTGGGTTTCAGTGGGTAGTACTGGCTTTTCTAGCTGATGACTATTACATAACGCACAGTGATATACGTAAATGCATATCTCAACATTATAGAAGACTTATTCAAGAAATATGTAATTGAATGAATGAATAAATAAAACAACACCCACCGGCGTAGTGAAGACCGTGACCAGGAACCTGGCGGGGCGGAAGGCGGCCAGCACGCGCGCCACCAGCGCCTCGTAGCTGGCGCACGCCACGTTGCTCTCGAACGACACGTACGAGCACTGCGCCTCGGGCGTGATGTGGATCGTCATGTAGCAGCCCTGGATCACAGAAAACAAACGGAATTATTACAATATGTTAACAAGATTGTATGATCCATGTCTAATCATATGTATATGGTGACTATGTGATATATGGAACTAAAGTACATAGATGTTTACACCTTTATAATATGACGAAAATTCTCAGAAATTACGATTTCGATATAATTAAAAAAGTTTTCACACCCCTCACTTTCGTAAATGGGTAAAGTAGTTTAATAAAAAAAAATTCAAAATTTACATGTACTGATTTTGTGCCCAAATGGCAACCCTAAAAACCATAAACAAAATAATAGTCATTGAAAAAAAAGCAATAAACTTACCTAACTTAACTACTTAAATTGAACTATACTTCATTAGGTTGTCTTACTATTTATATATAAAATAAATATGGTACCTATTGATATGTTCCGTCAACGCACCAATGTAATATATGGTCTCATAACAAAGAAAAATTAATTCAAATAAATGACGTTACACGTATCGATTTGTTACAAAAAATAAACAAAAGATAAAAAAAATAGATTCCAAAAAGGTGTATTATTGTTTTAAAAAATATTCTAAGTATGGAAACGAAATAATGCGATCGTAAATAAAAATTGCATAATTTTACTGATCATTGAAATATCAGCAATCAGATGATGCGTTTGTAGTGTACATTCACAGATGGCGCTTTTACTTTTTATGACTTATTTATCACGGTTAAAAATTGTTCAATTCATTGATTTTTTTTATTCGAATGCGGGATGATTTTTACAATATTTACCGTACGCTAAATAAATCTCGTTTCGAAGCATTAGAATAATGTTTTATTTGTCTTGGCGTTACCAATATATAGTGTATCCAAATGTCTACAGGCCAAAGAGGTTCAACACCAACTTACAGATGGTAATTCCAGCTCCCTCTTTGATAGCACAAACCAAAACACATTTTTGTTAGATATGAGTATAAAAGAATAAAATATTATATATGTATATTATAAGTTTGTTGATGTTTAACATTTTTTTTAATAATAACATGTTTCTTATGTAGGTTTACTTATTAATTACTTATGTTTAAATTAAAAAGTCCATTTAAAAAGAGTTCTATAAAGGTACATAAGTATATTGTATATCTAAAATATAAAACAAAGTCGAGTTTGTTACAACACTTATAACTCGAGAACTGCTGGACCGATTTTTATGATCTTTGTTTTGTTGGATTTGTCATTTCCCCGAAGAATAGAATAACTATTAAAACATCGGAGAAATTATAAAAAAAAATGAAAAATATATCTATTCCATACTAAGCGTCAAAACGTACCTAGGGACGAACCTGAGCGAGGCGAGGGTGAGTCGCTAGTACTTTAAATATACGTGTAGCAATATCATTTTTGTATTATATATTTTAGTAACAATGAAAAATTGTCATAGATAAGATTTCTTATCAGATGAATCACTTCAAATGATTCATTTGTTTCACAAGAATTTATTTTTCTTAGAATTACCAATGAAAATCAACGCTTTACATATAGACTAGTTATTAGATCCTTTAGATTTACGCGCGAACATTTGACATGTTATATAAAACTAACTAACTTTTCGAATTTTTTGCGGATTTATTTTGATGAGATGCTATTTATTTTATTTTTGGAGAGATCTTCCCAGTATTGCTGTAAAGCATTGGAACGTCGGGAACAAAAAATCAAAATAAGTCCGCCCAAAAATCCAAAATGATAGTTTTATTAAAAACTGACTTGTTATATAAAATACATATATAAAATAAAGTTTACTTACATCTTTAGCGACGCCATTCATAGAGTACCCGCAGGGATCGAACAGGTAGTCGTCTATCGCCATTCCGGGAATAAGTTTGTCTATTCCTGACGCCTGGAACATTCAATTACAATTTTTATAATACACAATTTTAGTATACATCAAAATATTAGAGAGGTCGAGATTGTACAATGGATGTTTTTTAAGTTGGTTTTAGAAATGAACTTAAGATATATTAATATAAACAATACTGAGTTTGTTTCGACACGTTTGGCTCTGTTTCTAGTGACCCTGCTTGCTGTGCGGTTGCGGGTTCGAGTCCTGCTGGGGGCATTCAGTGTGATGAGCACGAATGTTTGTACTCCAGTCATGTGTGTTATATTTTATTTTTATTTATTAGGCAGCCTACGTTATATACTAAGAATGTGTACATTTCTTAACTTAACAAAGTTATACATAATAAAGTGTTACAAAGTATATCACAATTACAGGCTAACTCAACATGCAAATAATAATTGTTGAACTAAGATTATATTTATAGTTGATACACTACACATATATAATTTAAAGTTATATATGTAAAGTAATATAAATTGTGTATGTATGTAAAGCTTACCATAGAACTAGATGCTGTGTGTTAATGTCACAACATATTATAATATATACAATAGTCAACCCTAAAGTATACTATAATACAACCGATAATCAATCAGGACGATATTATATATAATTACCTTGGTGGCTTCAGCAGCGTTTGATGAAGAGGCTCGTGTGAAGATGTCCATCACCTCAGGGTCGAGGTCCGACATGAGTATCTCTATAGTCTGGTCGGGTTCCGACGTCCCACACCCGACACTCTCTTGCTGTTCCTTCTCCAGTGCATCTACTGTACCTAAAAGAAAATATATATAAGAGATTATTTACCGAAAATATTTTTTTTTTTAATTTATGGATTTTAAAACTGCACGTGGATTCGGTATTTTGTTTTCTTTTAATTTTTTGACAGCGTCAGCTATTGATAGTTGCAGAAGTAAAGCGTTGTTAAAAAAATTAAAAAAAAAATAGATTGTTGATCTATTGTGTCACGGTTTTGGTTTTGCACTAAAATAAACAGTATCCTATACGTTAAGTCCAATGTTTTCCTTAACGAAGGCACTTTTACTTTTAAACTAACAAGAAATCTAAGTACATACATATGTAGAAGTTATACATTTGAACCTACCCTCTAGAGGTAAGAGCGTGTAAAGATACCAGCAATCCTTCTCCGGGCCCATGATGTACGCGCGACCGTCTCCGAAGAATGAATCCAGCAGCTCCACCTGGCGACAAATATAAATTCGAGCATGAAAACACCATAAGTACGAGTATAAAATTTGAATTTAATACATTTCTTTTTTTTTCATTTTTAAGACCCTTGAACGTAAGGTTTGAAGTCTGGTTTCATTTTGAATTATAACTACCTTTTCGATTTCATTGTTTAATTGTAAGTACCTAGTTAAGGAAGAAAATAATAAAAATATGAACTAAGAATATTTCCCTTAAAATTAAAGATAAAATATAATGTTTGGGAAAATTACTATTCGCTTTATTATATTGATAAATGCTACATATACCATTATATTAAATAATTAAATTCTTATATTACATATAGTATAAGGCAGTGGTAGCCCAGTGGTGACGCGCTCGCTTGCGAAACTGATTGAAGCGGGTTCAAATCCCTGATGTCGCATCTCTAATATCGTCTCCTTTAGGCAAATTTTAGCATTTATAATAAATAATAATAATGTTCTGACCGATTTTGGCCACGATGGCCAATTTCATTGTGATATTACAATGCACAAGTAAACGCGCATACACAAGTGCACTTTGTTCCCGTCACCCGTCTATCCCGATATGACAACTCGAGACGACCTGTGAGAGTTAAGGCGCAGGACCGACGGCTTTACGTGCTCTCCGAGGTACTGGAGTGAGTGAAACACCGCCAACTTCCCAACTCCCGGCTGTTACTAAGAATTTCTTAACAGACAGAAAAACCTAATAACTGAGCTTGGCCCTACCCGGGACTACAACCCAGGACCTCCGGATCCCAGATCTCCAAGGCAAAATAATAATAGTAGTATGATTTTAATTAGATACTCTATGTGTCGACGGTTATCATTAACTACATAACCGATGTTTTGGCATTCATTCTCGGAAATATTCATGATTAATTTTCAGTTCAAATATGACGTAAATTGAAAGAGGTGCCTTTTATTACGTAAAGTATACGTCAGTTATATTTTAATTTTGTGCAATATTTAAATAGACTAGGTAATTAAATAATATAAAAAATATGACAAATTTATTATTTATAAACTACTGACCTACCATCGATTTTATTCAGGCTGTAAATATAAAACAAGCCCTGGGAAAAGGTTTAATGCCTAAATGAAGGGATTGATCAATAAAGTTTTAGAATATACTAATAATAATCAATCGCTTTTATGGTCATTTTGTCAAGTGTTGCTAAAAATTGTCTCCATGCGAGAAGGATCAAGCCATACATACCACCGCACTGGCCAAGGTAGATTGATTGACTTCACACGTCTTTCGAAAACTAATACTAATAATACGGAGATCGCTGGATGTACTCGAAGAAAAAACAGCCTTTGTCACTGGCCAACCCCATAAACTATAACCGACCATAAAGATATCGTTATCCCGTTACAACTATGTTATTTATGGTCGATAAAAATTTGTAATAGACATTTCGTATCTTTAACATAAACGCAGCTTACCAACAAAATAAGTAAAATAGCAAGCAATAATAGAAATTTTGAATTATAATTATTACTAGCATTGCCCGCGGCTCCGCCCGCGTTCAGATGACCAAAAACCAAATTCTTAGGTTTTACACATTAGTATACTCTTACATAGCAGTTTTTGTATTTCTTCTCAAAAATGAGAGGTAAAAAGTATCCTATATGTTGACCCGGATAATCAGCTATCACCATACCAAATTTCATCAAAATCCCTACAGTGGTTTTTCTGTGATGCGGTAACAGACAGACAGACAAAAATTCTAAAAACTATATATTCGGCCTCTGTATCGATAATAATGTTTATTTACAATTTTATTATATGTATAGATTTATAAGAGATGAACTCCGTCGATAAATTCTTAGATTTTCCTCATGCACTTACAATGGGTAAATACAAAATAAATAAAAATAAAGTTTAAGGAAACAACACAAAGGAAATGAACGCAGCTAGTTGGAGATAAAAAAATAGTCTCCAGGGTTGTTATCGTATTAGGACCAAATACATATTATACCTACATACATACATTAAATAAAAATAATAAAATTGTTTTAAGCTATTATTATTCAATTTAATTAAAGATAAATGCTATAAGGAAACTTTTTAAATATTAAAATAAATCTAAGTTTCAAAATTACTATATATGTATGTACATTTCAGTATAGTAATAAAACGCTAGGCAATATTTCGCAAATATGTTATTAGATGTTATATTATCAGTGAAGCAGAATTATCACTAATTAGGCATATTTTAATGATAATGAATAACCATACTAAGAAATGACAGAGATAAAAAGAGCAGCTTTGATAACGTTTAATATTTTTGGTTTTGACGACACGTTTGGCTCAGTTTGTAGTGACCGTACTTGCTGTACCATTTGTTTAGACAACATTCGAAAGATTGGCTATTGATAACATTAGAATCCTGGATATACGTATTTTTGTATTTTAACTAATCTCTTTTTCCTATTACTCCTTGTATTAAATTAAAAAAATCTAACTGAGTCGAATGTGTACATTAAATATTTTTTGGAAAATCTTATTGAAATAGTCATTATTATCGATACAAGTGCCGAATCTACAGTTTTTAGAATTTTTGTCTTGTCTGTCTGCCTGTATGTCTGTGAACGCATCACGAGAAAACCACTGGACAGATCTTGATAAAAATTGGTATCATAGCTGGTTATCCGGGTCAACATATAGGATACATTTTACTGCGGTAAAATATATCATCTCTGAGAAATCTACACTAAACATTAAAAAGTAACTAGACAACCCGAGCGGAGCGTGGGTGAGTCGCTAGTAAATAAATAAATTCGTGCATTTTATTTGTCATTTGAAAGAACATAAATTACGAAACTCTATCAACACGAATCCACACAGTCGAAACAGGGTCACGAAAATGTTTTCTACGCACGTAATTTTTAATAATTGTAATAAAACGAAAAAGCAATTGCTTATAATCACGCCTTAATTTACGTTGAACAAATCATTATAAAACAAAAATAAGGCCGACATCAAATAAATATATATAAATAAAACTTCCGACTTCAAAATTACTAAAGACTAATTACTTAACCCTTAGAGATTTATTGTATTCACGACACGTATATAAAATAACATGTTTTATTCAGCCATTTTTAACGTTCACTGCTGGACACGGGCCTCCGTTCATACGAGGGGGATCAGGCCATAGTCCACCACGCTGGCCAAGTGCGGGTTGGCGGACTTCATGTGTCTTCTGAAAACTTGCTAGGTTCCCCTCAGACATGCAGGTTTCCTCACAGTGTTTTATTTTACCGTAAGATAAGTGGTAATCATGTTGTAAATGATTCGCACATGAAAATAAATAAGAGGTGCGAGAACCGGGATTTGAACCCGCTTCATTCGCCTTTAGGGATTAAGGATATACATATATTGATAGAAAAGAATCAAAAACTGACAATTGGGGAAAACATCGCGTATGGTACCTACACGTGAAGTTAAAGGATCTAATAACCTAATCCTAATATTTTTATTTTTGAATCTATAAGTTATACTAGTAAACCTAGATGTTGTATGCATTTACAATATTAATGGACGACTTAACTAACAAATATCATCATATCTTCATCAGCTTATTAAACTTTCTAAATAAATGTCTTTCTATTAGTAAAAACCATATAAAAATTTGTATAAGAATTTCTGAGATAAGCCCAAAAGCAAACATACTCAGTGAGGCAGGGGATTTCAATTTCCAATCTATATACCTACATATAATAAAATTTTGAGTAGAATCTGTACATTAAATATTTTTTTTGGAAAATCTTATGGAAATAGTCATTATTATCGATACAGAGGCCGAATGTATAATTGTTAGAATTTTTGTCAGTCTCGTAACCACTGGAAAGATTTTTGATGATATTTGGTGTGATGATAGCTGGTTGTCTAGGTCAACATATAGGATACTTTTTACTGCGGAAAAGTATCTCATTTCTGAGAATTCTATACTAACCGTTAAAACGTACCTAGGAACGAACCCGAACGGAACGGTGAGAGTGAGTTGCTAGTCTATACTAATATTATAAAGAGATAAAGTTTGTGAGATTGGCAGTTTGTGACGTTGTAGGCGGTAATCTCTGGATCTACTGAACCGATTTAGATGAAATTTGGTAAGAAGATAGTTTGAGACCCTAGGAAGGACATAGGACTTTTATCCGGACTTTTACCGGAAATCATCCCTTATGGGAGTGAAAATGGGGATGAAAGTTTGTATTGGGAAGCAAGTTAGGGACGAACCCGAGCGAAGCGAGGGTGAGTCGCTAGTATATAATAATTAAATAGAAAAATTACCTCTGAATCAAAGTTATCGTGCGGCTTCAACTGTGCTGTAGGTCTAGCGAACTCCCTACGCGAGTAGAAAACGTTCTGCACGCGAGAATGTCCCGCAGCCTCTTGTGCTAGCTGCAACACTGCACGCAGGCAGCGAAGGGGTGTCGTTTTGCCGCACGTCTTGAGGATCCAGCGACGACGGGATACAAACATGCTACTTTCGCTGTAAACAATAAAAAAATATTTTAACATGTTTATTTATTTAATGGAACATCTCAGATGGCACATGTAGGTAATAGCTAAAAACCATAGAATAAAAAACGCACATATTGAACTAACCCTAATATTTATATTATGTATTAAAAAAAAAAATAGAGTGTTGATACACTCGCTCTTATTATTATTATATTACACTCCGTTTTAAGTCATTGTGTATTTAATGTTAAGTACTACTTGCAAGACTTAATTAAATATTGATCGAATGAATTAAATCCAAGATAAATGATTTGTCAACAATTAATACTAACTGGGTTAATTATCACAAAGGCGTATGAAGTCTTTATGTTTTCTATGTAAGAATGTTACTCTGTACAAAACAACATCGGATTTATAATACCCGTAGAATAAAATTTCTTTATCGTGAACCCTACATTTTATCTAAGTATATCTAATCTAATATAAATATCTCGTGTCACGGTGTTTGTGGTAGCACTCCTCCGAAACGGCTCGACCGATTTTATTGTTTTTTTTTTATTTTTCACCCCCACCCCCATTTTTAAAAGCGATTTCAGTATTTTTATATGAACAATATCCAAATAATTTAATATTACATAAATATACATAGGGACGAAAACGAGCGAAGCGAGGGTAAGTAAAATAAATGTCGCTATACTTCGTAAATTGAACGCGGGCGAATCCGCGAATTCTGCTAGTATAAATTACCTGATTATAATTTTATTTCGGTCAATTTAACGGTATATTCAATTTTACGGTTTCATAACCGTTCTCGAATAATATAAATTTTATTAAAAGAGTTTTAATTTGAAAAACATAATTAATATTATTTTGTATCAAATATATAAATATATATAATGTATCAAAGTAATAAACCATAGTGGAGGATAATAAAACATTTTCCTTATGTAATTAGTGTAAGGAACTAATCATTTCATAAAAAGGTCAGACATGTTACATAAAACTAAATAAATAAATAATAAATATGTTGGTACGTTAACACACAGCACCATCTAATTCCATGGTAAGCTACGAAACTTGTGTTATGGATACCATATAGTTGATACACTACACATATATAACTTTTAAATACACACATATTATAAATACCCATGGCTAAAGTACAAACATTCGTGCTCATCACACAAATGAATCAGCGGGACTCGAACCGGCGACCGCTGAAACAGCAAGTAGGGTCACTACAAACTGAGCCAAACGTGTCGTCGAATAATATACATACAAGCTCTCCGCTATAAAAAAGAACAACGTAGATGCTTAGAATCAATCTATTAAGAAAACAACGGAAGAAAGCCAAAGATAATTTTTTGAAGTGAAACTTCTTTAGAATTGTTGTGATTTGAAATTCGATGAAACGGAAATGCAACACTAAAAAGAGACAAACACATAAATATATAGGATTAAGCCGGCGAGAGAATGAGATAGAACATTGCCATGTTGCCGTGGTAACCGTTGTTATTTGAGATAGAATACATTACACAGGAAGTGAAACATAAAAAAATTAATTACTGAATAATATATAATGTATATTTATGTCAAATAACTTTTAAACTTTGTAAAAATATTATAAAAAATAAACCTTATAATTATCCCACTCCTGATACTCTATATTCATCTCATTCTCTCGTAGCTTATTTTTCTGATCTTCTACCATGTGTGAATTGCACACACACACACTTTTTTAGTATTTGATATCAACAGAAGCAAAATTGGGATTGATTAAGCGAACAAAGGTTATATAGTATTGACCGTAGATAAGTGGTCACTTATGTGTTAACAAAAAATAATTGATACCCTATCAGTGCTACTTGAACTCGGAAACTGATTGGGCACTATAATATAAAACTATATCAAACTAAATTATGCGTATTAATAAAAATGAAAAATTATATCTAATCACTTGCTTCTAGCAAGTTCAACTCTTGTACGAGGCTAAAATCATAAAGACGTATTATCGTATGAACACGCATCGCCTGCGCTGCATTTACACTAGGGGCATTCGGGGCCAGGGCGGCAAAATTCGGGAGGGTGGGGAAAAAATCTCTTCGCGTTATCGAAAACGCTTTCTTTATTTTCCAAAAAAATGATTAAATAAAAAAATAACTAGTACATTTTTCAAAAAATTGAAATCATTTATATTTTTTTAATTTTTTTTTTCAAAAAAAGCAATTAAAAAATTAAACATTAAACTTTACCCATTTTATGCAAAATTATGATAATAGGGCGGTGTCGCCTAGTACTTCATAATCTCTCTGCCCATTTCCCAATCTGTATAACTGCTGATAGGATTTGACAAAAGTTTTACGACCGGCCGCCTACCTGACGTCAACCCTCTTTGGGAATATCCTAGTACAATAAATTTAAACAAAAACCATCTAAAAGTAAGTATTAAACCCTTAGGTGGTGCTTTTATTAAAATTTGAATTGCAAAATTGGTTCACAACTGCAGAATCATATAGGTAAACGTAAAAACAAAAATATCTCTTACATATCTCATACTTTAATGTAGTTCTTAAAAATCATCCAAACTGTTCAAAAAATTAGAAACAAGAGTAAAATTAGCAAATATGTGATTTCTATATATATATATATATATATATATATATATATATATATATATATCACAGCAACTAACGAGAAGCGACTCACCCTAGCTTCGTCTTTTTTTTATTTTATATATATATATATATATATATATATATATATATATATATATAATAGCAACTAACGAGAAGCGACTCACCCTAGCTTCGTTCGGGTTCGCCCCGAATTAATAGATTATATATTATAGTACTGCCTTTCCTCAATAAACGGGCTATCTAATGTAAATTGCAAATAGAATGTTTCAAATGGGATTAGTAGTTCCTGAGATTAGCGCGTTCAACAAATAAACAAACACACTCTGGCTCTTTATAATATTAGTATATTAGTGTATAGATAAATTTGTATTATTTTATAAATAATTTATTTCATTACTATTAAAGCGTATATATTACTTACGCACCTACATACATATTATATAGTCACTGAGTACTTTATCAGTCTTGTCACATAATACTTATCGAGCAGCGCGTGCATTGATTACTATCGACATGAGAAGACCCGTCTGACATAGCGTCTGGTTATTTATATTATATAACTTTATAAGCAAAAACCTTCGACTTCTTACGTCTTCATATGAAAAATGTTAAAAGGAAAATTTGAAAATTGTAAAACAAACTCATCAGCTATTTTAGGATTCTTAATGTTGACTTGCAAAATAAAAACATTACTGAATACTTAAATGTGTACAATTTTAAGCAGCTTCCCATCCCTTCACGCATATTTCACATTTTACTCTGTAGACATTTTCATATAATATGTAGGTACTAGTGATGCAACGAATATAAATTTTTAGGCATTCGCGAAGGCGAATGCAGATGCTAACGTCTCCCATCAATATTCAAGAATGCGAATGCGAGTATTTCACTTTTGAATTTGGAATTTTTTGAAAAAAAAAATTGACATTTTTGAAAAAAATATATTTTGTTAAAAATATGTAAAATGTTGAATAGTGGTTTATAACCTTTTTTGATATTATAATTTTCAATTAATAAAAGAAGATGATCATTTTTACAGTCCAAAATGAAAGTCAAATTTTGTAATAATCATAACACAACATTAAGAGTAGAACACGTTCGATAATTATTATGTCAAGCAAATATTTATGTTTTTGTCTAAAAGAAGTTTTATAGAGGTTATCTTTTTTGTTTTGTTTATTAATAGGTATTCTATTTTGATAACAGAAGACTATTTTAAGTTCAAAATAGTAGACAATTTGTATAAAGACTGATTAAAGTATAAGAGAAGAATATATTTTAGTTTGATGAATGTTAAACATTAAATATTGTTGGTTTTGTAAATTCTAATGAAAAGTTGATTATTTACAATACTAAACCAATACCAAATATTAAAGTGAAGTCTCATTACAATTTAATAAAATTTGATAATTATAATTGCACGATTGTAAATTAGAAAGTTTATGGTTTTGTAATAAATAAGAAAATAATATTTCCTTGTTAGTTTTACCTTTTTGTTATTGACATGTCATTTACTTTTTCCGACGTTCATATTCGCAAAACATCCGCGTAAAATTTACGAATGCGAATGTCAAGAAATATGCTAATATTCGCGAAAACGAATATTCGTTACATCACTAGTAGGTACTATTCGTCATCACAAAGAAAGAAAAATGCTAAAAATGGTTAGCTCCTACAATGCGTACCAAACAATCGTCTAACACATCATTTTTTCCCGAATAAATATTTACTGAACATACACATAAATAAAAATGAATGTTCGTATGTCATATAAATATCTGTATGCGTTTCTAAGTCATTAATCCGATTGTGATGAAATTCTGATGGGTCGCATGCGAAGGTTCCTGGTACATTTTTTTTCTTTATACGTTTGTCTTTATGTGTTCCTAAATCGATCAAGGGACATATCCGAGCAAAGCAAGGTTGAGTCGCTTCTACTATATAAAAAGTTGGTGCTGTTGCATTAACATATATAGTATGTAGTCATCTATACATATAATAAAATTGTAACTGAGTGGAACCTGTACATTAAATATTTTTTCCAAAATCTTATTGAAATAGTCATTATAGTCATTATTATCGATACAGAGGCCGAATCTATAGTTTTTAGAATTTCTGTCTGTCTGTGACCGCATCTCGAGAAAACCACTGGACAGATTTTGATTAAATTTGGTATGATGATATGCGAGGATACTTTTGACTGCGGGAAAATATCTGATCTCTGAGATATCTATGGTAAACGTTAAAACGTAAGTAGGGACGAACGGAGTGAGGGTGAGTCTCTAGTATACATATAGGTAATATTAGTCATCAATGTGTCAATTTTAGTATTGATATAAAACTCGGGTGTAATTCATAGAAGTAATGAAATGAGATCTTATATTCCACATTC